CAGCCCAAGCATAAAAATCTCCTCATCCCCGATTTCGCGGGAATCACCCTCCATCAGCCCGGGGGTGCTGAACTCGACCAGGGTGTCAGGCTGCCTGGGGCCAGCCCAGAGCAGAGCTTCGCTCATGTAGCCCGAAAGGGTGGGATTGACGCCGACCGAGTACGGGGCGGTCTTGTCGTCAGTGTCCGGTTCGATACGGATTCGATACGGGGTGTTAAAGCGGAGCTGGTTCGCGATGAGTATAAGGCTTCCATCATAAGAGCCACCCCGGGTTATGGGCAGAGTGGAGAGGAAGGAAGGAAGGAAGGAAGGAAGGAAGGAAGGACGGTGAGAACCAAAATAGACCTTACCTTGCCCGTGCTCCCGAGGTCATTGGTGGTAATGGTGAATACCTGCGCCGCGCCCACGGTGCCCTCTTTGTCGAACTGCAAGGGCACGCTCTGGTTCAGCTGCGAGGAGAGTTCTCCCAAGAACTTCAGGCGTTCCGACGTGAGCAGATCGCCCGCATTGTTGTCATTGATGACGGTTTGTAGGGTCTTGAGGGTTTGGTCTGCGATGGGTAGGAAACGGGATGTCAGCATATCGTGTGCTTTGTCCACTTTGTTTCCTGTGGAATCCAAAACGATTGCCAAGGTGATGGCATCCGGACGTACCATAACTATTGCCTTCCGTAGGCGCCGCAGGCAAGGACAGCGCCTTTTCTTCAAGGTCGAAGAGGGTAAAGCTGATCGTTTTGTCAATGGAGACCGACGGCGTGGACGTGTCGCCTTGCGCGGCGTTGTCCCGCGCCGCGAGAAGGGCGGCAAATCGCTCCTTCGTGTCCTGGTATCCCGGCAACTTGGAAATGAGGTCCTCGAGGGCCACAACTTTGTTTTGCTGGGGCGCGGAAACCAATGGGATTAGCGGGAAGTTCATCACGGAGATAAAGGGTTTGGAGCGTCATCGGATTTTCCATACCTTGACGGGACGCCAGTTGTAATATGAGCCGACGGTGTAGGCCCATGCCGGGGGGCTAGATCGGGAGCTGGTTAGTACCTCGAGCTTTACCATGGCAGGGGCACACGTACTTGTTGCTCTGCAGGGTATCTCCACCCGTTGCCTCCCATGAGATGGTGCTGATCGAGGAACTGTCCTTGCTTTCGGAGCTGGAGCTGGACGCATTGCTGTGGCTGACGCTGGCCGAGGCCTGCACCCAGGGCGAGGAGAAGGAGAGCGCGGCGGCCGCCCGCATGGACTTTGCCTGCGCGGCGGTAGAAGCCGCGTCGGTGCTGGTGCTTTCCTCGCTCGCGTGTAGCCGACCGCCGAGTTGGACGCGAGTGGGGAAGAAGCGACCTGCGACGGGCACCCTGGTCAGAGAGTGCTTTCTCGTATTGCGCAGAAGGATGCGGAGTCTCACCATATTTTGCCTTGAAGATATCGACGGCCTCGGCGCTGTCAACCGCCTGCAGATCTGCCTTCGCTTCTTCGCTCAGGTCGAGACCGGCAGGCTCGAAATCGATGACGACTCGGGGAAACTATTAAGAACCACAGAATTTAGAGCTATTACCGTGAGGGTGAAGTAAACGAATTCAGGGGCGCTCACGTTATAGGTGATGGTCATCACCCGACTATCCTGCTTCGTGCTGGAGGTGGAAGATGACGACTGGGTCTGACCCCAGCTCGCCGATGCACTGGCACTGTAGCCAAATGCCCCTCCTGAACTGTAGCGGGTAATGTCAGCTCGCTACCCAACAAGCACATGCAGGCCCTTGATTTTGGGGGGGGGGGGGTTCATACATGGCCATCTCAGCTGAGGTCTCAGATAGCGAGTTCTGCGCGATCGCTCGAGCGACCGACTTCTTCGCCTCATATTGAGAGATGTAACTGTCGTCGGCAATGCGGAATCGCGGAATTCGCAGCGATTGCTATAGAGTGCACGTGTCAATCAGATTTCCAGGCGGAATAAATCAATGACTCGCGGGGGGCAAGGCTAGCTACCTTCTGCCCGGCAATGGAGTCGATCTCGGCTGTGGCACTGATCTGATAGTTCCAGAAGCTACGGGGCTTCAGGACGAAGGCTAGGTGGTTTGGTCAGCAAGAATGGGTTCTGATTCAGCTCATAAGCCTTCGCGTACTCGGATACAATGAGCGTTCGACGTATTTGTCCCCTCCCTCGTCGACAACTCGATAGGCGTGCAGCAAGGAATTCGATCGCAAGGTGGCCGACCATTGCTTTTCATTCATATCCGAAGGGTGGCTGGAGTCGTTAGTTCAACATCCTTGGTTCTCTTGGCGAGTGGCACTCACACAATGCTGAAGGTGGTGGTGGGGTTCAGGAAGATGTTGTGGCTGAAACTCGTCGGCACGTCGGGTGTCTTGGGCTGTGCCGCAACCGGCAGCTGCGGAAGTTTCTTATCGACCTCCACTATGGTACCTCGATCCAGGAGGCCATTTTGAATCCCCGTTTCGATGATCTTCTTGGACTTCAGGTAGACACGGTAGGTATCGCTGTTATCCTCGATGGAATCCTGGTCCACTTATGAGTAACGCGACATGGAAATTTACGTTGGGAAGACTCACGCCCGTCTCGCTTGACTATGGTGAAAAGGCTTGTTTAGGCCTATGGCTTTTTCTTTCTCAGGAAGGGGTGCATCTGCGCTCACCTTCTCATTCAAAATCCGAAGATACGTTTTGAAGGTGGTCTCATCACTGACTTTGGCACCACGCTGATTGATGAAAGGGCTCCACAGGCTGCTTCGCCGTCAGTACATGCCACATCTGGATCGGTGAACAGTGGGCCGGGGATAATTCACAGCCGAGGTTCCAAGCACTTTTCGCTGACCAGCACTTTGCGAATATCCGACAGCTTGAGGCCTTCCTTGTCGACGTTGCTGAAGGGAATGACAGTCTTCTCCTTGATGACCTTGGTCTCGCCATTATAGGAGTACACATGTAAAAGTTGAGCGGTGCTGTCGTCCAGATCTAGGGAGAGTCAATCCTTCCGCTGGTCACAATGGTCTATCAGGGTCAGACGGTCACATGCCCACTTTGCCCCTCACGGCCGGGGTCGTCGTCTTTGTGGTGTCCCCCTGGGTGGTCGTCTCCGGGGCGGTGCTGGTCTGCGTAGTGGTCTTGCCATCTAGACCTAGGGAGACACAATCTGGTTAAAGACGTCTTCTTTCATTGACAGGAAGCCCACCTACTGTCTTGCACCTTGCCCAAGCTGTCGTCAACAACATCAGTCGTGGTCTTAGCAGTGCCGACCACACCTTTTGCTACACCAGAAGTAAGATCCTTGAGCAAAGACATATCGATCGAAGGACGGTCCGAGGTAATTGATGAGCGTTAACAGTCTTTGCAGTGGGGAGACAAACAAAATGATCGAGAAAGAGGAATCCCTTGCGGGTGGGTTAGACGAAGAGGTAAAAGACAAACTTATAGGGCAAAAGACCCATTCTTCAGCTGCTTCCCAAGCTATGGGTGCTCTTCCACCGGTTGGAATGCGTCAAATTGCTTCGTGCGGAACCACAGGCAGTTCTGGCGCCATACCCCCCTCCTCTTCGACAACACTCGGCACGCCATCTAGGCCCGGTTTCTGCGCGATGAGCTCACGTTGCAGGTTTTGAGTTCTGTTTCACTCTTCCGACGGAGAACAGCTGAGAACGATCGCCGCATGTAACAGAGTGGCGTGAGAAAGCCCAGCATCGAGGCCCCGTCGGTTGGTTTGAAGCTCGTGCGGGGTAAACCGAGATCTCCGTCAAATAGATTAGATTGAGGGGGTTCTGCATCAGGATCAAAACCAGGCCAACTCACTCCAGAGTCGACCGGGTTGATGCTTGCATTGCTCTATTGGCGCCTCGGTCTCCACCGGCGCGGGGCTTGGCTGGAAATCCTGATGGGCTGAACTTGATCGTCCTAGGATCGGCCCGGCCGAAGCCCTGAGAGGGTCCCGCCAGCCCCGCTGGGTTTGGCCTCATGCAGCTATCGTCGGGTAATCATGTATTTGGCCCGTACGCAGATTAGATACTTTACTTTGCATCACTATCTGCAGCCTGCCCCGCCTCCTGCGACCTCAACGTAACGTCTTGCTCGAGGACGGCATACGGTTCGCCGACGATACTGTCCCCACACCATCTATTTTTCTCTCCGAAAGAAGGGCCACCAGCCTCGACTTTCCTTCGACTTTCGAAAAGACAACAAATTCCGGTGGGCAGTTTCGGCCGGGCTTGTCCCGGTATCGAACAAATCCAAAAAAAAAAAAAAAAAAGAGAAGGGTCCTTCATGGAGGTCAAACCGTGTTTCATCCAAAGAACCATACCCACTGTGGACGCCTCTTCCCACCGATCCGTTCCGCGAACTCTCTCACAGGACCATCCAAAACAGAAGCGAGGTCAATTGCAACTGCATCCGGTCCCGAGCTTGCAGGTAACCAAAAACAAAAAGGCCGTATGGCCCTTCAAAGGACACCATGACGCGAATTAGTGTAAAATTCTTCTTCAATCTCGGAATTGGAGAATCCACATATTCAATCCCACCCCAGCAGGTTTTTCTCCGCTCGCACTTTGCTTTTCGTGGTGCTGCTCCCGACTACCCTGCACCCTGCCCCGCGACGTGCACTAATGCACGCCTTAACGAACTCAGTATGATTCGGTCCATATGTATGATGTATCACATTGTCTCGAATTTGTCCTTTCGAGACCGGTCACAACCTCGCTCATCCTGTCTCTCGATCCAAGTGCGTGATTAGATCTTCCCTTTGATTGGACTGATGACACCCTGTGAAGTAAGGAAGTGCGACCGTGGAAACCAGGTGCTCGTTGTCTGTGTCCCCATTCCCGGATCTGAGAGAAAATATCCTGGTGGGAAGGGGACAACACAACTGGAGTGCCGGGCTCCAAGCCTGGATTGCTGGGCCGCGGGAGCGAATGGAGGGGCTCTCAGATCCTGGTGACATCCTCTTTCCCAAGCTGCCCTCTGCTAGTCAAACTCCCCGTCCCTTAGACGACCGAGGACAAGTTGATTCAACAAGGCTGAACCACGACCTCCCAGTCACCATGTTCCGTTGCAATTCTTGACCCACAGAGTGTGACATCTCTATGTCCCTTTCTGTCTGAGGTTCCCAACGCCACTGAGCTGTGCATGGAGACTGTCTTGGTTGCGGTATTGATGCGCATTCGCGCCTTCTTGGGGTCGTCGATGATATAGGCCTGCATAGCGCTCTCTGTGATTGCACCTTCTGCTCCGTCGCTCTTGAGCGAGGCCAGCTCATAGTGGGTCTTGAGGTCTTGAGCAGTGTGTGTGACTTCTCCCATCGGAGAATTCGGAACTCCGGCTGCAGCTGAAAGAGCAGGTGAACGTCTCAGGTCTTGGGGCTTTGCTTTCCGCTGCTGTCGGGACTCGTGCATAATGGCCCGGGGAGGAAAGTTCCCCGACAACTGTTGGAGCATTGTCAGACGGGTCTTGATTGGTCGCTCAAATGAGGTGCTGGTGCAGGTCGCTGTGCAGGGAATGCACGAAGCCAGGTGATGTGATGTGAGGACGTTGGGCTCTTGGATTGTCTCGAGTCGTTTGAGGGTCAGGTGTGGATTCGATGATGTTGTGGGGAGATGCGCTGATGCCTCAGGTAACGGAATGAATAATGAAGCCGCTGCCAACAGCCGGGACTGCATATCATCAACTTGCTCAAATACCGTATCGTCGTCTGCCAACTGTGGCTGGAACGGTGCTGCCCACAATTGATGAAAGTGCGACAGCAGATTTGGCTAATATTGTCAGCCACTACACTCAAATGTTGGCATAAACCCATCACTTACCGGAGCATCCATCATCATATCCACGATCTCTGCCGACACCAACTCTCCATCAGCAATAATGCTCGCAGCCATCGCATCAGCAATTCTCTCCTCCACAGACCCCGCCTTCAAAACCCTTCCCCCCCAGGCGATTAACCTGTCCACGTTTCCCCGGCGACGTTCTCAACCGCAGCACCAAGCCCAGCAAGCGCGCAAGCTCTCCCCAAACGACCAAGTACCGCACTGGCGAGCCGCTTTCCACCAACAACCGCCCCGCCGCCGCCTGCAGCTGCGCCGGCGACGGCTGCGTCGTCGCGAGCACATCCACCGCATCGCTCAGCACCGCCGGCGCCGTATCCGCGGAGAAGCTATTCCAGTCAGATCGCCCGATACTCCGCAGGACTCTCGCGATGTGACCCTTCCGCAAGAACGCAGTATCCTGGCGCCAGAAATTATCCTCTACCTCTTGTGTTCCGAGCAGCTTCGTGCCCTGGTGCGCTAGCAGCGCCACCGCGCGGTGGAACCCGTCGGCGTCAATCCTCTCCTTGGGTTTCTGCGGGCTAGGCACACCGGGGAACGGGTGCTGTGCGCAAAAATAAAAACATATCCAGAGCAGCTAAATCTCGACCCCGAAGAATTCAACCTTCGGATGCGATCGCGCAATGTGGTTGCGCAGACTTTGTTTTGGCCAGACTGGAGATCAGGTTCGCCGGCTGAGGTCGGTGTCGGGGCAGATACTACGCGTACAGCGTCGTCGGTCGGGACCCTCGACGCAGGAGGCATCGAAGGTAGTCCATGGGCTGTTCAACGTCGCCAGCATCCATACCAGATGCGTACCATTGTCTCTACAAGCCACCGCCCATGGGAAAAGACTTGTCCGATAGGTGTCCCTCAATTTGTCTGTGACCCAAATTCAATATATTCGATTCAATTCAAGACCTATTTGCATAATTGGACCCCCTGTTTGTAGCTAGCTCGGCGTGCTGCACGACGGACTCCGCATGCTGGAGGTGCTGTTCCCGGTCTGCCCGGTGTACCTGCGGCGTCGGGAATGGGAGCTACCCGGCCAGCGCCTCGACCTCCCGCATCACTTCGTGGCCGCGGCCTTTCTGGTGGAAGGGCCAGTTGCGCATGGCACGCTGCACAAGCTGGTGCACATCGATGGAGCTGTCGCTGCCATTTCTCGGAGCTGGAGTCGTGGGTGCCAGGCGATGAAGGAGTAAGAGATCAGGCTGTCGAGCACGGCCTGGACATTGACGCCTGGTTGCCGTTGGAACAGCGAGACGGGAGTGTTCTTCTCCGCGAAGACGGCGATTTCTGTGAGAATTGGCAGGGCCCCTGAGCTTCGGAGATGATCCGGTCTAGCGAGATGGTCCACGCTTTGCCTACAATGTGATGGACCATGCGATTTTCCTGGCCGTTCCCAGAGTCGCTGGACCCCTCCCGGCCCATCTGCTCGCTCTGCTTCCAGAGACTGGCATACTCGGCGATGGTCACCGTTTTCTGTCGCGCAATCTACTCCGATGCTATTTTGATGACCTGAGGATGATGCATCGAGCCGGTTTTTACAGCTTCTTCAACCGACCCGTCTCATCACTCTCACAATCAGCGTCAAATGGCCTAGAAACTTTTTGTATGATTTTCAATGAGGATTTGAATTAGAATCTAGCATTTTGACTTCAGATTAGCTATTTAACCATTTATCTAATCAATATTAATCTAAGAGTCGATAACTTTAGTAACAGGTCTTGTCCGATATAGTGGTTTAGTAATATTTTTGAATTTCATTTATCTATATTAGTACCTCAGATTCAGATAAATATTAGTTATATATTTAGTAGTTTGAATAGTTCCAAAACAACTAAAGTTTTTTCAATATATACTTTGTAGGTAATCTATTCATATTCTAGAGTATGCGTAGGATTATTTATATACTGCTTCTACAAAAGCAACAATATTTCAACTAGATAAGCAAATAGAAATTGCAGCAAAACAGTTCACTTATACACTACTGTAACTTAACAGTTCCCCAATTTTGACAGAACCCCCCACCTCTTCCACAAACTCCGACCGGTCCAGATTTCTCTTCCCGAATCTAGACCATCTCCATGTCCTGGAATCTAGGCCGTTTCCAAGTTCTAGACTATTCGGCTTGTTTTGTTTTTTTCTTCCCATCATCCTCTTAATATGCACAATCTGCGCACTACCGACCCTGAACACAGATCGCCAGGACCGCGGTTATGTCACCTCTTCGCCTGCCTCGGATCACAATCACGATGCCTTCAACCTGTGAGGGTCTAGACCCGCCATAGTCATTTCCACAACGACCCGGGCTGTCTGAGCTTCGCATCGTGCATGAGGTTCGACCGCGAAGCATGGTAGACTTCAGAGATGTGCGAACTTCAGCAGTGATGTGAGTTTGGTGATGTGCAGGCCAAGAGCACTATCGCAAGCACACAATGCTTGTTGTCTACCAATCTTCGCTACCTCTTCGCGACACGGCTGCTGCCTGCTCTTCTCACAGACTGCGCGCTTGTCTCTGGGATGATTTGTTTTTCCATCTAGACCTCCACAATGGTCGTTGCGAGGCTGAATGAGCCCTTGTCGGATATTCCAGTTTTGATTCTTTCTCACCGTTGTCTTTCAGATGGTCTTTATTGACATGGATACATTACGAGGATGAGAAGGTGGGCAGGCGTCTCTTGTCGCAATGCAGCACCATCTTGATTCTGCTACTTTCCCTCAAGCACCGGAAGTCTTCATCGAGACCGCAGAGCTATCGCCGTTGTCCAGCGTGAAGTCACGGAAATCTGCTGTGCCCTCATACCTTGTATTCATAGTCTTCTTGTCGTGAAAGCGCCTGGCGGGACTGGAACGGTTCAATATGCCTGAGTAAGTCCCTGTCTTGCCCTCGTGGTTCAGCGATACTGCACACGCTGGGAGGACTATTCGTTGACCCACAATCCATGCACCTCTCCAGTACTAGCAAATCAACGTCTCCCTCCATTCATTCTGATCCGTCGATGGCGACTACAGGCGATGACCCTAGTGCTTCACTATCACAGAAGACCAGGAACGATGAGATGCTCCGGCGGTACCTGGAATCTCCGGCTTCCGAGGATCCATACCTAATGCTCTATGGCAGGCCCACTGATCGTGAGGCACATCTAAAGGAGCTCGAGAAGAAGTTAGCGGAGATACACGCAGTTTTTGGGAAAAGGTCAGAAGAGGGGGGCCGCAAACAATGAGATAAGGGGAGAGATGCTTGGCTGGGGCAGCCAAAGATAGGCTTGAGGCTGGGTCCTCGGGTCCTCGGGCAACGAGCCTCACATATTGATATCCTGCATAGGATCTGCTCTGTCATGGAGATCCCAAACATCGCATAGACATTGGAGGAAACCTTTTTCTGAGCAACTGGTGGCCTTGTCTAGCGAAGCACTCACCCAGGGTCAATAGGACTCGTGATCGGATGAAGTTCTAAAACTGACGCCAAGTGTACAAAGCTGTATCTGGCGCTTGCCTTGTCAACAATGAACTTTTATTTAAATCAGTGTCATCTCTCGTGTTCAGGATTCCATCCCTTTGATCTCCCCGCGTGCCCCTTGCTGCACTTTCCAGGGCCAACCTTGTAGTTGACATCATCTCGGTCAGCTTGATTACAATAATGGCTTGGCTGTTGTACATATAATAATGGTAGCATTGGTTAGCGATGGCTTCTTGATATTGAAGCATCATATTATAGTAGCGCCAGCAATGGCAAGACTGTCTGTCTGAAGCGAGAGTTCCATCCCCTGACGGTGGTGGAGTTTGTAGATCCCCGATTGTCATTGGCGGTTCCCAAATATAAATCTCTTGGCAGTATTTCCAGCCCAGCAGTTACTCAAGAGTCGTACAACTGGTTCTCCATTCATCCTCGTTTGTCCGGCAGAGGTGGCTGCTATTATCCTCCGAGGAGGGTCCCTCACCTGCCCCTCTTTTCTCTCAGTTTGCTATTCACATTAATCACTCATATCATGAGGTTACATTGGAGAGTGGAACAGAAGGGGGGGAGCGGAGGGGGATGGTGGGTGCCTGAGGCTTGGCAAGTGCGGTGGAAACAAACAAACAAACAAATCAGCGTTCATTCCTGACTTTCCTCCCTGACGATCTTCCCCAAATCCTCCCAACCTCCAAGCCATCCCAAGCCCCCCCAAGCCTTAAGCCTTGACTTGTCTCTCTTCTCCTCTGAGTCCTCGCTTCGCCTGTCCGACGGTGTCCGTCCTGAAAACATGCTTCGATTGACCTTCAGATCCACCGGGCGGAGCCAATCACCTTCCCAAATGGGGGAAATCGGCATGCACATCCAGGCATCACTGGACTCAGTGAATTGCATCCCGACTGGTAAAAGGACCCCAGACATTCCCCCTCTCTCCGAGGCTATCACGCGAGATGCAGCTCCACTCCGCTCCGTTGCACAACTCGCTGTCAAATAAATACACCTCATCTACCTCCCTTTCCTGTTGATTTCACCTGAACCTCGTCTTTGTCAATCCTTCTTTTACTCTTCACAATGCTGCCCTCGCTACTGAGCAATGGCGCAGTTCTGTCACTCGCTGCCCTTGCGCTGCTTCCGTCTCTCGGAGCAGCCGAGGTCTTCGAGAAACTAGCCGGAGTACCCCAAGGTAAGCGACTCCAATTCCACAGTACAGACGCAACGAGCAGCGACCGCAAGGCTAGCATTAGTCGATCTCAAACTCACTATGACTCCATGATGTAGGCTGGAAGTTCTCTGGTAGTCCCCGCGGGCATGAATCTCTGCGCCTTCAGATCGCTCTCTCGCAGCACGATCTGGCTGGGTTTGAGCAGGCACTCTTGGACATGTCTACACCCGGGCACGCCAACTATGGAAGACATTTCCGCACCCACGATGAGATGAAGCGCATGCTTATGCCTACCGACGAAGCCGTCTCGTCAGTTCGGGAGTGGCTTGAGTCGGCGGGAGTTAGCGACATCGAGCAGGATGCCGATTGGATCAACTTCCGCACTACCGTGGCCGACGCTAATTCCTTACTCGATGCCGACTTCAAATGGTATGTCAACGAGAACACGGACATCCGACGACTGCGCACCCTGGCCTACTCCATCCCTGACTCAGTGGCCCCGCATGTGAACATGATTCAACCAACCACTCGCTTTGGCCAACTCAAGCCCAACAGAGCCACCATGCGTAGCAAGCCCAAGCACGTTGACGAGAAGTCACTGGCGTCCGCCGTGCGCGCTCAGAACACCTCGCAATGTGATTCGGTGATCACACCTCACTGCCTTAAGGACCTTTACAACGTGGGAGACTACCAGGCCGATGCTAAGTCTGGCAGTAAGGTCGCATTCGCGAGCTATCTGGAAGAGTATGCTCGGTATGACGATCTCGCCAAGTTCGAACAGAGACTTGCTCCCTCTGCAGTTGGTCAGAACTTTACCGTGGCCAAATTCAATGGCGGCCTGGACGACCAGAAGTCAACCAAGGACAGCGGCGAAGCCAACCTCGACCTGCAATACATCGTTGGCATGAGCTCTCCACTCCCTGTGACTGAGTACAGTACCGGCGGCCGAGGCCAGCTTGTTCCGGACCTTAGCTCGCCTGACCCGAACGACAATAGCAACGAGCCGTACCTGGAATTTTTCCAAAATGTTCTCAAACTCTCCGACGCAGAGCTTCCTCAGGTTATCTCGACCTCATATGGCGAAGATGAGCAGGTACGAACTCCTAATCCTGTGTTATCCTATGGGTCGCATTTCGCGCCTTTCTTCAATCTTCGTGGTTTGGCCTTGCTCGAAGTTAACCACTACTATAGACAGTGCCCAAGTCATACGCCTTGAGCGTCTGCAACCTCATCGCCCAGCTCGGTAGCCGTGGCGTCTCCGTAATCTTCTCTTCCGGCGACTCGGGTGTTGGGGCTGCCTGCCTGACGAACGACGGCACTAACCGCACGCACTTCCCCCCTCAATTCCCTGCGGCCTGCCCCTGGGTCACCTCGGTCGGTGCCACTACGCTGACTTCCCCCGAAAAAGCTGTCTACTTCTCCTCTGGCGGCTTCTCTGACTACTGGGCTCAACCCTCCTACCAATCCGAAGCAGTGAACGACTACCTCACCAACCTGGGACCGAAGTTCGCCGGCCTCTTCAATGGATCGGGTCGCGCTTTCCCTGACGTCGCCACCCAGGGTACCAACTATGCAGTCTACGATAAGGGTGCTCTCGGGCAGTTTGACGGCACCAGTTGTTCGGCACCCACCTTTGCCGGCCTTGTTGCTCTGTTGAACGATGCCAGACTGCGGGCGGGATCACCCGTCCTCGGTTTCCTGAACCCATGGCTCTACAGCGCTGCCGTGGAGGGAGAGGGTTTCAATGATATCACTCAGGGAGGCAGTTTGGGTTGTGACGGACGTAATCGGTTCGGCGGCACGCCCAACGGCAGTCCCGTTGTCCCGTTCGCCAGTTGGAATGCCACGGCAGGATGGGATCCTGTGACGGGCCTCGGATCGCCCAACTTCGGAAAACTCCTCGAGGTAGCTCTGGATGCTTGATCCTCGTGAAATTGTGTTTCTTTGTCCATATTTTGTCTCCGGCGGAGGTGAAAATATCCGATCTAGTTCTGAGCTTGCTTCTCGGTTACTGGTCAGCGATGCGGCCAGACGTGGGTAGCGATGCCATTTCATGATAACTTACCACTTTAATCAATGCCAATCTTGAAGATATTTTTCTCTCCTGATCAAACCCGTCCAGCACATAAATGCCGGCGACACTTCGCAGCAAACGTTGGCTCTCATCACCTGATTAGCTGACTCATCCCGCATGTCCAAACAACAGAACTCCGGCCTGAATTGCGATGTCACCATTGATCTCACGGTGAAGATGAGTGCCCGAACATCACAGCATTGCATGCACTCGGTCCGTTTTCAGATCGGCGAAGCCCGAGGGAAGTTAGAGGCGACCGGGGATCCCCCCATAGCCGCCCATGATGACTACACCAGCGTGAACATAAAGACACCAGGGAACGCCACCGTTGAAGGGTTGAAGGGTCCAGATCTCTTCCATAGTTTGTCCTCCGACCTCAACCCGACCTCAACCATGGAATCTTCCACCACCTGCCCCCTGATTCGTCTGGGTACTACGCGCAGATTCGGCCACCGACTCGTGTATAATGGACTTCACCCTGGCTACTATACCTCTTCCGTTCGGTTTCGGCCGGCGCCTTTTTCTGCGTAACAAGTCATGACGCCTCTGTAACGTCGACGAAAGCTGGGTTCTGAGGGGGGGAGGACGGGGGGAGCTTGCAGCTCTGTGCTTTGTCGCTTGAACCCTATAAAGCTACGGGGCCTCCTCTTTATAACGGAAATGTTTGGACACACCTTTGTTGCAGCTGGCAATTGCACATAGCACGGCCTGCTTTTCTTCCTTAAAGGCTAACTGCATCGCCCCAACCTCGAAAGTTTCCTATTTGTGAATATGAGAATGCCTCAATGGGTGCCTGGGTCTCGAAAGAAGCCCGACGCCTCTCCTAATCATGAAACGTCGGACCCTGCTGCGCCCACTCGCAATCAGCTGCCCATGCTGCACCTTGCTGACACTGCGCGGAACAATCTCGTCGCCGGTGTGGGTGAATTTGTGGGCACGTTTTTGTTCCTGTTCTTCTCCTTCGCAGGCACCCAGGTCGCCAACACCCCTAAGCCGGCCGACGGCGCATTCCCGAACACGTCCAATCTGCTTTACTCGGCGCTGTGCTTTGGGTTCTCGCTCATGGTCAACGTGTGGGCCTTCTACCGGGTGACGGGAGGATTGTTCAATCCTGCGGTATGTTCCATCATCCCTACGCACAATCTGGCGCAAGGCCTTGGCGATCTGGTGAACCAGGGAGAGTCCGGTTGACTGAGACCCGTCGTTGCACACAGGTCACTCTGGCACTCTACCTGGTAGGCGGCCTGAAGCCGTTCCGGGCGGTGACGGTCTTTGGAGCCCAGCTTGTGGGCGGCATCGCGTCTGCGGGGGTAGTCAGCGCCTTGTTCCCCGGCTCGCTGAACGTGGCCACCCGATTGGGCGGGGGCGCCTCGATCTCGCAGGGTCTGTTCATCGAGGTCTTCCTGACAGCCCAGTTGGTTTTCGTGATCATCATGCTGGCCGTGGTCAAGCACAAGTCCACCTTCTTGGCCCCGGTGGGGATTGGGCTTGTCTTCTTTGTGACGGAGCTGGTTGGTGAGTTTGTTCCTCTCTCTTCTGCCTCCCCAAACTCAATTAACCAAGCACAAAAGCATTAAATTAACCTTGCTTTTCTTGTCACTTAACTAGGCGACTACTACACCGGCGGCTCCCTCAATCCGGCGCGCTCCCTCGGCCCTGATGTCATCAACCGTAGCTTCCCCGGCTACCACTGGATCTATTGGGTGGGACCCCTGCTGGGCAGCCTGCTGGCGTGCGGGTTCTTTGCCTTCCTCCAGCTGTTCCAATACCAGTCCGTCAACCCGGGCCAGGACTTCAACGAGTGGGAGGCGAAGCTGGGCCCCGGCTCGTGGGATTCCTCGATGCATCGACCCTCGGTGCTCTCTGAGGCCAGCACGCTCGGGCGCGCGCACTCCCCGACGAGTGAACGGTACCCGGTCCAGGGACATAATAACATTCCTCACGGGGCTGAACAGGTTTAATGGGGAGGTGGTGATCCGGCCGGCCCGGCAGCGCTTGGTTTGGTTCAACCATGGTTCGAGAACTCCCACCCCCCGCGCGCGCTGTCATGGCCATCTTCTGGCCCACTGGCCCACATGGTGTAAGAATGACGGATCGAGTATGTGGGGATTTGTGCTGTAGGGCGTAGGGTGGCCACTGCGTGTTCTGGCTGATGACCCGTAGATATTTCTTCTGGTTGTGGTCGGTGCCCAGTGGTTCGGGCGTTAATTTCTATTTCAGCTAGCCCATTGAGAGAATTCATCTCAGTAACCTTGCATGATAATGCATTCAAAGCTCCTTGGATCTGCCATTCCAGATGAGCAGCGATAACTAATTCTAATACCAAAGAGTACTTCACCGTACATCAACATACCATCCGCTTGAGACCGGCCAGACCGGTGATTGGGTACCCATGGCCACATAAACCTTGTGGTCAGTGTAGTGTACTGTATCTGTATCCTGGCCGGGTCTCGCTCTCGCTCACAGAATGGGATGGGCTCAATCAACCCTGTAACTGCACCGCAATCGCCCCCACTATCCACTTCACTTGAGCAGTAATCCTGTTTCCGGTCAATACTGGTAGCCCCATCCCCAGGTTCTCTTCGCGGTCATTTCATCTCATCTCATCTCAAACCCCCACATCTGACCTTTTTTTTTTTTTTTTTTTTTGACAGATGCAGATAGTCACCTTCCACCTAACGGAGGAAAAAGCAACGCAGCTCGAGGGTCCATGTTAGTTCACTGGAGGGACTCAAGCAGCCGCATCCACGTCTAACACCTTCACCATGCATCGTCTCGCTGTCGGAACCTTCTCTTCTGGATGCGCCAGAGCAAGCGGCAAGCGTTGACTTTTGGCTGAGGTGGATTAGGATATTAATCTCCATGAGTGGGATTTTGTTAGGGTAGAGCGTATTATCCCCAAGGCTGGGGATTGAGAATCCTTGTTCGCTGGGGTTTGGATTCGGGGGGGGTTTGTTGGATAGTGACCAGCTTGGGGATGAGTATTGGTTTTCGCGGAGGGCGGAAGATGGTGTGGTGTGTTGTGGTGCTGTGCGTAATGTGCTGTGCTATGGCTTCATTTTTATTAGAGGTGATTGTTGGCTTTAGGTGGTGTTGCAATCTGTGCTGTTGGATCTTGGTATGGGATGTGGATGCTTGGGTATAGATAGGAGGGTTTGGGTTATTAGGTTATTGGGGTGTGAGGGGTGAGGTCCACGAGATAGGGACGCCGATTTGGACTAGGGATGAGAGGCTTCTGTGCTCAGTGTGGAGATGGTGAGGACTTGGTTCAATGGTCTGGGGTTATATAGATGTGGGATGTTTGCGAAGATACTTATTGTTTTGGGCGTGGGGGTCTGGGGTTGGTGGTAAAGATTTGGGTTGAGAGGGTGGGAATTAGGGAGGGTCGATGTAGGATGAATGGGTAGTAAGGAAAAAGTGTAACTATCAGATTGAGGTTTCTGCTTTCCTGGTCTCTAATGGAATGATACGGTGCTGGGGTGTTGTCGAAGCTCGAAGCTGCAGGTGTTGATCGTCATGTAGGATAACAGAAGCGGATGATAGCTGAACAGCCTCGCCCTCACCTTATCGTCGCGCTACGGAGTGCAGTACAGTATATCGCGAAGCGTGGCAAGGCACTTCAGCCCACGTCTGATTCAGTATATAGTCCATCGGTGCTAGCAGCACACCCCCTAATGCACCCATTCAATCACCCTTAGCCCACCCCCCGACCAGACAACATCACACCACCATTCAGCGACTATATATCATCCCTACCATCCCTCCGCTCTGGGCACACCACGCACCCATCTTCTCTTGGATCCTCCCAGACAATAATCCACCGCTGTGGCGTTCCACCCCAACCAACCCTATCTCTCCCCCAAAGCTGTTATCTCTCGCCAATCATTCCGTCTTGATACCCTGCCACGCAAGATCCTTATCACCGCATGGCCCTGCATCAATCTGGCCAATGCACTAAGCCCCAGAAGGCGCATTGATCCGGGGTCACCATCTGGGATCCAATCGATTCAACCATAGCCCGATAGCTCGTGGATCCGCATACCTTATCGGTGCGGTATACAGGCGATCCCTGGTCTTGGCATTGTGATATCATCTGGCCCGTGGGTGATTACAGTCATATCAATCACGCTGCACTGGTTGTGATGGGGAACATTGCGCTGCGCCAAGGGGACTCGATAGGGCTAGGTGCTTGCGAGAGCCCATTCTGCTGCTTTCAGTGGGATATTGATAAGGATCCTGCTTGGCATGGATTTCCCACCATCAGAATGGAGTAACTGTGGAGCCTCGCGAAAGGTGGATAGGATTGAGTCAGGCCAAGAAGATGTAAGGCTCGGACAGTACATATAGAGTGCTTGGAGCGAGGGGCGGGTGTCTTTCCCTTGCCAGCGAAACGAGAATCGGACCGGACGTGGTGGGATATACTCCCTTGTTCACAATCTCGGTATAATCTGTCCGACATGGCTGCGGTAAGTGGGAGGTCCCAAAGTATGTTTTGTTGTTGCTCGATGTCAAAACTGATCATCTTTCTCCCGAACAGCCGGTCTATAATGCCTCAATGCCCGGGGGCGGCGACCCGCTCACCGTGGATGTCAATGCCCAGTTTGTGGGTTACGAATATAATTATGTCTACATCGTCGCGTGCACCTTTATCGTGTTCATGATTCTGCCGGGGATCGGCTTGTTGTATAGTGGTTTGACGCGGAGGAAGTCTGCGATGGCCTTACTGTTCCAGGCTTTCATGGTTCTTGCGGTGTGAGTTCGCTCCCGCTGCAGGTGCTATGCGATATTTCGTTACCCCCCGTGCTGATTCTCATGCAGCTCAACCTTTCAATGGCTATTTTGGGGGTACTCGTTGGCCTACTCGAGAGATGGAGGCCCCTTCATTGGCACGCTGAAGAATTTCGGCTTGATGGAGGTCCTTGTAGCCCCCTCGCCTGGCTCGGCCGTCCTGCCAGAAGTGGTGTTTTGCCTGTTCCAACTGCTCTTTTGCGCATGCACAGTAAGACTCCCGTCCCAGTCCGCCTCCGCATAGTCAGCGCTAAGAGCCACAGGTGATGATCGTTGTTGGGGGCACTTTTGAGAGAGGCGCTATCCTCCCTTCGCTCGTCTTCAGCTTCTGGTGGGCTACGGTCGTCTACTGCCCGTTGGCTCGATGGACCTGGAGCAGTAACGGATGGCTGTACAACCTTCCCGCCATTGACTTTGCGGGTGGCGGTCCGGTGCATATCGCTTCCGGTGTCTCGGCCTTAGCCTATGCTTTGATTCTCGGCAAAAGGAGGGATTACGGAGCACCTTCTTTCCGCAAACCTCACAACACTACACTCATCTTTCTGGGAACCGTCTTGATCTGGACTGGCTGGCTTGGTTTCAATGTATGTGTCACGCATGGTCTCGTGTTGTGCATACAGTCTAATATTCGAGGAACGCAGGGCGGTTCAAGTCTCAATGCGAGCATGCGTGCCATGGTGGCCGTCTTCAACACCAACACGGCCGGATGCACAGGTATCCTCGGCTGGGTATTGGTGGATATGATCAAGCATCGCGGAAAATTCTCAATAGTTGGTGCTTGTGAAGGTGCGATCGCCGGATTGGTCGGAATCACCCCAGCTGCCGGCTGCGTGTCGTTCTGGCTCGCTGCGTGCATTGGATTCATCACCGCGGTTGTCTGTTCCCTTCTTCAGAACGTGAACGAGTGGATCGGTGTCGACGAAGGCTTGGATGTTTTCAAACTCCACGGCATTGGTGGAATGGTGGGTGCGTTTCTGACAGGGTTGTTCGCCAGCCAGAAGATTTCGGCCTTGGATGGCAGTAGTCTGGCGCCAGGAGCGATCGATGGAAACGGAGTGCAAGTTGGAAAACAAATCGCGGAGATCTGCGCCATCTCCAGCTATTCGTTCGTGGTGACCTGCGCTCTGCTGCTGATTCTCAAGTATATCCCGGGCATGAACCTTCGGGTCAGTGAGGAAGCCGAGTTGTTAGGGTTGGACCAGACCGAGTTCTTCGACGAGCAAATCGGGGACTGGTCGATCACTCAGGGAAGTACTAGTCCTACCTTGATCGGAGTGTCGCAGAATTCATCCGGCTCCATCACGAAGGAGGAGTGCCAGGTGAAGGGGAGCGGGGTATAGACTTGCTGCAGTGTGCAGTGTGTATTGTTTATTCTTGTGTTTGAGTGCAAGAACTTGATATCGGAGCGTTTGCCGATCTCTATGCCTGTAACTGCGGAAAATCGATAGATTCAGCAGCAGCAACACTGTGGTAGATTATTAAGACGCGCGGCCTCCGATCGTCCACCGTATCGCGTTGTTGCATGGGTTGCACAACGAGATTCATGGTTGCAAGGTATTATTGGGTGTTGCTGCTCTGACAACGTTGATCGTAAGCCGGGCGTGAGCTGTCAAGCTCGGGCCGGATAAGTGGAATGATGCCATATCACCACCGTCGAGCGACAACAGCCTGGCAGGGTACGGTGGAGCTCCGGAGCTAAATCCGGACATATCGTCATCGTCACCGGATAGCCATGGATGGTCGGATACATCCGACGTCGCTTGGTGGTCTCCAGAATAAAGAGATGGCTGGTTGGTGTCAGGCGTCCAACCGAAGTGAAAGATGGAGTTGATGCGGGAGAGGATCTCAGACTCTCAGACGCTCTCAGTGGAACGAGGGGCAGCCTGGAGGACAGGTGGTGGAGGGCAGGTAACCAATCACCGGTTCAGGCGATGGAACAAGGCGTGCAGAGCTTACGTCAACCCCGGCCGGGGTATTTTCACAATTTGACTGGATTCATTTGATTCACTGCATTCTTGGACCAAGCAGGCTGGCCGAGACCCTTCCACTTAATCTTCCCGAAGATACTAACTTACTTAGTAGATTGCAATTATCTACTGTGTACTGTGTACATAAGTAGGTGAGGATGAAAATGAAGAAGACATCTACTGGTGAAGATCATCGATCAGAGTCAATCTCATCATCGATCTATAATTAACATTTAACCTCATCAAACGATCCATGATGCTCAATACGAACTCCCTTCGGGTTAAGGTTGGAAAGGGACCTCGGAAACGTGGTGCAGGCTATTATCTGCCTTTTGTATACGCAAGTCTGGCCGCTTCCCGACCATTCCCGGATAGGCTTGGAGGCTTCCTCCTGCATCCGTTCCCGTCTTATCGGTCGGACCTCATCCACTTTTCCTTTTTGCCTTTTACCTTTTTGGCCGTTTTCCCTTCGTCTCCCTCCTCGCCAAACTAAACCATCACCCTTTCCGACTCCTCCTCCTCTTCCTGCCATTCTTCACCTCCCCACTCCTCATTTCTCCCTTTACACTCCTCTCGTTCCGTCCATTTCCACCTCTAACTCTGACTTCCGGATTACATCTCTGGTTCTCCTCTACCTTTGACTTTCTACTCCATCTTGCTTCCTCGTAGCAAGAGCCATTCGTTTGTCACCGTTCCTCCCGTCGACTGTCGCATCTCTCTTATCTGCGACCGGCTCCCCGCCCGCCTTCCGTACCTTTTGCGATCACAACATCCACACCTTGCTTTGCACCCCTTCGACTGCTGACAACATTCGCTATTCACCTGCTTGGTGCTGGCTCCAAGGTGGTCATGCGGCTCGGATTGTTCACACATTTACAATACTAATCTTAATACCACCGCCGCGATCCCCATGGGCAAATGTAAGTTGTCGGTCGCATTTCCCCACCGGAAGTGGATTTTCAGGGTGCTAATGCAGGGTCTCATAGGGCGCTATGGAGTCGTCTTGGACGCAGGCTCGTCTGTATGTTGGATCCCGGTGGGCTCGATAAAGATTACTTTCGCTAATGCCTCGACAGGGGACTCGAGTTCATGTCTATCGATGGTTAGACAACGCCATCGCTCGCAAAGAGGCTGACGGAGATAAGCTCAAGTCTCTCCCGGAAATCAAAACAAAATCCCACTGGACCAAGAAAATTCACCCAGGTACGACTTCTAGGATGTAATGGATGCTTGAAATTTGAACCCCAGATTAACACTCATGGCTCATAGGAGTATCTTCTTTCGCCAACAAACCAGAAGATGTGGGACACGAACATCTTGCGGAACTTCTCGAACATGCCCGTGAAATCGTACCCGATGATGCTATCAAAGACACCCCGATCTTTCTCCTTGCCACTGCCGGTATGCGTCTGCTAGGCGATGTCGAACGGAAAGTCCTGCTGGAGCAGATTTGCTCATACGTCGGCGCGAACTCGGATTTCTTGCTTCCCGACTGCGATGTTCATATCCAGGTTATCCCCGGAGTGACGGAGGGGTTGTACGGTTGGATTGCCACGAACTATCTCCTCGGAAGCTTCGATTCGCCAGGGTCTCATGATCACGGCAAGGGTCACCACACGTATGGGTTTTTGGACATGGGTGGCGCATCGGCACAGATCGCATTTGCGCCCAACGCGACCGAGAGCGAAAAGCACGCGAACGACCTGACGCTACTGCGGCTGCGCAACATTGACGGATCGGACCAGGAACACAGGGTTTTCGTCACTTCATGGCTGGAATTTGGGGTGCATGAGGCTCGGAGGCGCTTCGTCGAGTCTCTGCAGGCGGCCAGTGCTGTTGGAGGAGTCACGGAGCTCCCGGATCCCTGTTTACCTGCAGGCTTGCGTACGACTATCGATGGAAAGCCACTTCTCCCGAAAGACGACAGTATGCATCTACTGGGGACTGGAAAGTTTGACGAGTGCTTGCGTCAAACATATCCTTTACTGGACAAAGATGCGCCTTGTCCGGACCAGCCATGTCTCCTCCGTGGTGTGCATGTACCAGCCATTGACTTCGATGTAAACCACTTTGTCGGGATCAGCGAGTACTGGCATACGACTCACGAGATCTTTGAGATGGGCCACAAGGACAAAGCCTACGATTTTCACACCTACCAGGATCGCGTACAGTCTTTCTGCTCTCAAGACTGGGAGAGCATTGAGGCTGGAATTGAGAGCCATCAATGGGGCAAGAAGGTCGATCGGGAATCAGCCTCCGAGGTTTGCTTCAAGGCATCATGGATCATCAATGTACTGCATGACGGCATTGGGATCCCTCGGGTAGGATTGGACGAAATGAAAAGCTCGAGCCACAACGGGACCAAGGAGGTGTTGTCCCATGGTCAGAGCAAAGGCTTTCTGGACTCTTTTCAGGCTGCCGACAAGATTCAAGACACGGAAGTGAGCTGGACTCTCGGAAAAATGGTTCTGTATGCATCCTCGCAGATTCCTATCGAAGCTCAAGAGGCACTTCCGGTAGGCTTCGGCAGCAATGTTGCCGGGGTCCCTAGCGACTTTCAATATCCGAGTGCCGAGCTGCTGCCCGATCCTGAAGGCGCACACAACGGATCATGGCGCGACGCCATGCTCGACAGCAGCCCATCCCGCAGAGTGCCTGGTCTCATTCTCTTCCTGCTTATAATAGTTGTGGCTGCATTTTTCCTCTGCGGGCGCAGCCGCCGGCTCAAGATGTATCACAAGATTCAGAACGTCTTCGGTGGCGGTGGTCCTTCTCACCCCAACTACCCCAAGAAACGGAGAGTCTTTGGCGGCAAGCTGCCTTTCTTCGGGCCGAGAAGTCCCACATATGAACGCGTTCTTGAGGATGGTGCTGCTGCCTATGATCTCGGTGAGACGGCGTCCAGCCGCAGCTCCATCGATGGGGGACGTCCATCGGAAGCGGACTCCGCGAAATTCATGGCACCGAAGCGGGCATCGAGCTGGGGAAGCGGTAGCAATACACCCACTTTCAAGTATGCGCTGGACAACTCATCTTCAGGGACTATTGGACTCGGTATCACTCCGAGTCCGGGTGTCTCGGCGATGGATCGGCATGGTCTCGTGGTGAGGACCGAGAGCAGGGATCACCTGGCGCCGGTGGCACTGGGCCCGACGATGAATGGTCGCCGGTCCAGAGCTGGCAGTCCTTCTCGATCTCACCCCAATAAATCGCCAGTCATGACCCCTCTTACAGATGAATGATCCTTCTGTATGATTATGATTATGTTCGCCGTGTTGCATTTCCAGGAGTTGGTGTTCCGCGTTGTCAGGCCAGGACTTGGATTGGTGTTGGCCGTGTAATTTCCGGAGTTGCTTCTTGGTACGATATTGTCGGAGCACGTGCTCTTGAGTATATGGTTACTCTGTTCGAACCATTTGTCAAAGTATTAGACATAGCCGATTTAGTCAATGCCAGGTGCAAACATTTACTTTCATGAAACCTTGTTCAGATCTGGATATGGATACTGTAGAGAAGAGCGTCACGTGCGAAAGGTGCAAAAGCTGAGTCAGTCGCTACACACCGCCCTGGCAAAATCATCCGTGATTGTGAAGCCCGGACAGGGCCAGTCGCAGCGGACGGAGCTCCCGACACTCATCCTGTCTGTCACCACCCACCGAAAAGCTTGCGATTTGCTGTCGTGTTCAATCCACTTTCCTTCCGATCTTCTTATCCATTGCTTTGTGTTTCCACGCGCATGATACCCTAGTTCCAAACACGAAACCACACATCCACCGCCACCATGCGATTGACCGTCGAACTGATCCAAAATTCCCTTTCGTACATCAACCCGCTCAAGGACCGCGAGCTAGATCTCCGAGGTGCGTTTTGAAGCCCCAAATCAACCACGGCCCCCAACCTCCCCGGGAAATCTGAAAAGTCAGATACTACATCTTGTCTAAAGGAGCTGGATTGATATCGAATTGTTGGCGCGATTGGTGGTATGTAGGGCACAAGATCCCCGCGATTGAGAACTTGGGTATTGCCAAGGTGAGTTTGCCTTTCCCCCTCAATTGTTCGCAGTGGACAGTATGTGCAAGAAGTCAAGACCTCGCTAACCGGGGACTTTTCGGGTGTAGGACCAAGATGCAATCGACTTGACGGACAACGACATCACCACGCTGGGCAACTTCCCCTTCTTCCCGCGGCTGCACACCCTCCTCCTGGCGCGGAACCGCATCAAGCAGATCCAATCGACGCTGGCGGCGTCGGTGCCGAACCTAACGGCCGTGAACCTGACGGCGAACGCGGTCGCGGAGCTGGCGGATCTGGATCCGTTGCGCGGGTTGACCGGGTTGACGCATTTGGTGGTGTTGGAGAATCCGGTGACGAGGAAGGAGGTTAGTTTTCCCTTAGGTTGTGTGGTTCAGGGGATTGGGTGTATGGCGGGGCGGGGGCGGGGGCGGGGGAGTTGTGTTTCGTTTACTTTGTTAAGCATGCTAATCGTCTGGCCACGCACAGCACTACCGCCACTACCTCATCTGGCGCATCCCCAGCCTACGGTTCCTGGACTACCAGAAGGTGAAGGACGCGGAGCGCGAGAAGGCGACGGAGCTGTTCGGCACGGCTGAGGAGCCCTCGGCGCTGGCCTCGAAGATCATGGGCGTCAAGTCGCGGACCTTCGACGTGCCGGCAACGGCGCAGCAGATCGGGGCCGCCGCCGGCGCCGGGGACCGCGCGGTGCGGGTGAAGTTGACGGACCGGGAGCGCAAGCGCGTCGAGAAGCTGATCCGCGAGGCCAAGAGTCTGCAGGAGATCACGCGCTTGGAGCGCGAGCTGAATGAGGGGCGGATACCGGGTGGTGCGGTGGATTATGCGGATAGTGGGGATGAGATGGAGACTTAGTCATGTTGGGGATTCTGTTGTATTTGTGGGTTTATTGTATACGGATTCTGTTTCAATGGAGTGTGGTTTGGTTTGGTTGGTTTGGTTCGCGGTCTTGTGTAAAGGTGGTTGATTTGATGGATTTCTTGTGGTTCAGAGGTTGGGGACTGGGTAGGGTTGGCTATTTTACAGCTCAAGCTTGAGTATGCGACAGCTCAATCGTTTGGCCAGGATCTCGCTACTCTAGTGTCTGTGATGAGTTTGTACAGTCCCATTGTCAGGCCAGCACAATCACAATCACAATCAGATATCTTCACGTGAAGATAGGCCCCGACAACATCCGTCTTATAGTCAAAACGTCATCACCTCCCATATTTCCCTGATTCCCACTGAATTGATTTCTATTAATCCCACCGACTTACTCCTACAATCTCCCTTTAATTAACACCCCTACAATCATCCCCAAATCAACAGCCCAATAACGGTAAAAATCAAGCTGGCATCACCAAACCACCGCCTCAAACACCTCACCCGCCTCTTCCAAGTCCAACTCCAACCCCACCGACCCCTCACCACCACCATCGCCGCCCAAATGCCCCAAGCAAAAGCAAAAGCACCAGCACCCTGGTCCCCCCTCCTCAAAACCCACCTAACCTCCAGCAAAAGCAAATCCTTCACCCTCTCCACCGTCACCCACCACCCAACCACCGGCCTCCCCGTGCCGCGCTCCCGCACCTGCGAGCTGCGCGGCTTCTTCCCGGAGGTGCTGAGCCTGCACCCCAGCGCCGCCTCGGCGCTCGACGCCCAGGGCATCGGCCGGAACCCTTCCGGGCTGGAGAGCGACATGCCCGTGTTCACGACGGATATCCGGATGGCGAAGGTGGGCGAGTTGGGGGTCAGCGGCGGGCAGGTGGAGGGGGTGTTTTGGCTGGAGGAGGTGCAGGTGCAGTGGCGGGTGAAGGGGGGGACGTATGTTTTCGGGGGTAAGGGTGGCGAAGAGGAACAGAAGAGGGTTTGGGGGGGGGTTAGGGGGCAGGATGCGGGGTGGGCCGAGGGAGACTGGGACTGGGAACGGATGGTGACGACGTATTTTGCGAGTCATTCGCCGGTCATGCGAGGTTTGTTTTCCTTTGGCTTTGCTTCCGGAGGGGTTTTGAGGGGCTGGTTGGGCTAATGGGTTACGGGTGAAAATCTACAGGCACGTTTAGGAACCCGCCGCCGGGACAGCCGCGGTCGAAGCACCCGGAGACTTCGGAGCTGAAGATCGGGCAGAAGGTTGAGGACTTGCGGGACCCGGTTGCGAGACGGAATTTCCGCGTCGTGGTCATCAAGCCTGAGGAGGTGGAGATGTTGGATCTTTCCAGGGCGCCGGATGCTGTTCGTAAGAGGTGGACCGTTGTGAGGGATGGGGATACTGAGAGGTGGGAGGAGGTTGAGCTGTGGCCTTGATTTTCCTGGTTACTGTTTCGGGAGTGTGGTTGGCACAAAGACAGTGTCTTCTGGAGTGCTTTAGTTCTTTGGGTCGACAGCGGATTCAAAAGGATTGGTTAAAAGTTCAATGACTCTTTCAGGACTCTATTGCTGAAACCATTGTTGTCTTTGTTCAAACAAAGGCCTGTCTTGTATCCCGATATAGCTCGGTCGGATTTAGACTGCCATGCCTTCAGGTTGTTCTGGATATAGATCGATTTCGTCTCAGCTCCTTGTATTCGGATCGATTCAATGAGCTATCATTGTCGTTATCCTCATGCTGAAGGCTTGAGTAGCTCTATCTTTGGGATATATAGACTGGCGGTTGGGACTCGCACTGGATATTGACAGCAATCTCACAGCCAGCTAGCTACTATCGATCAGTCCACTATTCCAATCACTATAGCTCTACATCCCAACTCCACAATAGCTTATTCCTACATTTGCAACCATTCGTTGAACCATGGCTCGAGTTATAAATACAGGACCCGGAGACACCGGTGCCAAAGTTGCTGGAACGGCCCAAAAGAGGCAGACTAGGTCTACCACCGCTGGAACTGCACAGGCAACCGCTGGACCATCGACTGCGAAGGTGCCCATCACTGGAAAGCAGGCTGCTCAACCTACTAGCTCAGTGGCCGGACCATCGACAGGAAGAGTGCCTGCAGCTGCAAAGCAGGCTGCTCAACCTGCTAGTTCAGTGGCCGGACCATCGACTGGAAAAGTGCCTGCCGCTGCAAAGCAGGTTGCTCAACCTCCTGGCTCAGTGGCCGGACCATCGACCGCAAAGGTAGCTGCACCGACAGCTGCGAAGAATGGAAAGGTTTGTTGCGCATTTTCAGAGAAAGAAACTGTCTTTCGCCATGCCTGTACTAACTGTTGCAATATCAGCCCAAGCGTGGCAGACCTAGAACAGCATGCTCACCATGTCGCCGCGCCAAAAGGTCATGTCCGCATATGAGAGAGGGGGAGGAAGAAGAAGAAGAGGAAGAGGATGATGATGATGATGATGATGATGGTCAGAAGAAGCTTTCTGAAAAGGCGAAGGGCAAACAGAAGAGAAAGCGTGCCGATGACGATAATGATGACGATGACGATGATGATGCTCCAGGCCCAAAACCAGCTAAGAAACGGGGTCGGCCTGCTAAGAATCAAGCAGCTGTTGCTGGACCTTCAACCGTCCCTCAAACTGTTGCCGGTCCTTCAGGGAGTGCTCCTGCGCCTGCAGCACCTGCAAACTTATCCAACCCACTGACGGCTGCCGGGCACATCGTAACACACCAATACATGAGTCAGCAATTAGGCCAGCGACTCGACGAGGCTGAGAAGAGATGGAAAGAAGCCATGGAGGCCATGATGAAGGCCAAGCAGGCTTTGGATGCCTGGAAAGACTTCTACTTGAAGCACAAGGGATCGCCCAGTTAGCCAATCTCGGGCGGCGCCAGCTCAGCAGCTGAGCTCAGTTAGCATGTATAGAGCATTTTTTTGCGGTGCAATAGAGTTCGTTCATTTCGTTTCACTTGGTGTCTTGGGTGACCTCGACCATGAGATCTCAGAGACGAATTTGTGGCTGATTGAGGTCTATGATTCGAATAATGTTCGGCGAAGCCAGAATTACTCGGCATAAGACTGGTGGCTTGCACATGGCGAAGCTGTGTTCCGGAGAACAATCAATCACTGCACAGGCAAAAGCGTCCAGCAAAGGTTGTTGATCCGTAGAAAGTTGGCAAGGTATTGTTTGGCCCGCATGCTCTCTTGCGGGACATTTTCCGAAGTACTATTTCGTGCGTTGTGACCGGTGGGCGGATCGATAAGCAATAACATCTCGTGCTCGATACGGTACCATTATGTTCACCCACCAAGGAATCACTGAAGGACATGTCATCGCGGCCAGGGGTGTCACCTCCCTTCAATCCGGTCTTTGAAGGATCACACAACATTAAAACCACCGGGCCAACCAGCTGCCGGTTTCCTGACTTGGGGCGATCGGCATTTCCATCCAGTCAAACATGATAGAATGCAAGACATGGTAACTTGACAGCTACGTGGGTTTTTTTTTTTTTTTTTTTTTTTTTTTTTTTTTTTTTTTTTTTTTTTTTTTTTTTTTTTTTTTGCTCTGGGGGGGGGGGGGGGGGGGGGGGGGGGGGGGGGGGGTATAATGTTCGGCTATAAGCAGCACGGTGAGGATGCTAGCGTATCGCCGCCGTCATCCGTCGCAAGGTGCATGTAGACCGTTACGTGTCATGACTCGCTTGGGTAAAGTCGCCGTTACCATAATCAAACAAAGCGACCATTGCGTTCGGATCTCCCCTGCTGGTTGCATCGTTCATGGATTCCTTGCTTGTTCGACAGTCATCGGCACCAGGCAGGAGGAGGAGCGGAACGGTTGGACAAGGTGCATGCTGGTTTTCAAACTCGCTTGTGGTCGCCGAGGCACGTGCTGCCACTTCAAGGCGTCTTGTCGCTACTCAGTACAGTACAATCGATCGAGTCGTGAGACTTCCCCTGTTTGAGATTAATGACCGGTCAGGCTTCGAGAAATCCTCAAACATATGGAGGGTCTCATTTTCTAGAAGGTACTTCGTCTTCGACAAGTATTGCGGCTGAAGATGCGAGTCAGCGACTTTAGTGGAGGGGAGTCAACGGCCCCCATTAATGAATCAGTAACTAAAGTCGTAGTTCTCGTGCATCCAAGCAAGCAGTGGAAGGAACCGTAGCGGTACTTCGTTAGCGGCTGTTCACCGCTTGTCCGTCTCTTTGCAGGGGACATGGATGTGATTCCATCTCGGAGTCGATTGTTCTTGGAATGAAAGCGACAGGAAAAGTCACAGTAGTAATACTCACTAATAGTAGTAATTTCCAGGCATCACATGGTGATTGAGAAAGGGAAAGAAGCTTCCGTATTGTCCGAGTGGCCGGAAGGGAGGAAATGCAAAGTGGTACTGACTGTACTGACTGTACTGACTGGTACGGGTAAGATTACGGCCAAGTTCACAGACCCACGCTTCGGGCTTCACTTTTCGGGGACGTCACTTTTAGCTTCCTCTGTAACTTCTTCCCGCCAAACCTACCAGTCTTCATTCTTACTCTCTTTTCCTATGGCTGTCTCTCTCTCTCTTCCCTGAGTCCTTTTCTCCAGCATTCCCCCCTCTCTTCTCTCCCCCCTCCCTCCCTCCTTTCCCCTCCCCTCATTTAGCTGCTCTCACTCTTTCCCCCACTCAACTCGCTGGAAATTTACTCTTGTTCGTTTTTTTTCTGATGTTATTGTTTGCTTAATCTAAATCTCCCGTCCGCTAATTTAGTGCCACACACCTTCGCGTGCACTAGTCCCTGACCCATGGAGCCATCATCGTAAGGGTCTTATTAGAGTAGCTCGCCCGGGCTCAACTTTATCATCACCATACTCAATCTTCTCTCCTTTATCGGCCATTCTTAACGATCTCACGACGAGACGACCTACCATTGTACCGCCCCCTTTGATCCTCCTCCTGGCCGGTCAGCGGGGTAGCTTCTAAATTTCGGGGACTATCGCGCGGTCCCACAACCTTCCAGATCGACCTCGGACTCGGAAGTACATATCCGGGGGCCGAAGTGCACTTTTCACCCCTTTCCCAAATCAAAACACCAACCCACACTATGACCCTCGGCGAACAGATGGACGCTCTGGGAGCATTTTCTTATCTATCAGACAATGCACCGACTTGGATAGGTCAACTGTCTGATCTAGCTAACCACACTGCCGCCAAACACGCCGAATACGCCAATGCCTACAAACGACACGCCGCCCACAGAACCCGCCGCCGCAGAAACAGCTCTATCTGCTCCATTCGCACGGATGACTTGAATTCGACACTTGCCAACACCGAGAGTCCGTCCCTCTCATCTGCCCCTGAAGCTCGAGAAGGAACTGCAATCACCACTCCGAATACCTCTCAAAATCAGCCGAACTCGAATCCCCGAAAACGCGGAGCCGACGAGGCACCCTGGGTGGACTCGAGTGATGGGGACATCTTCGTCAGTACACGGCACAACCTTATCATTGAGTATGATGGACACACACAGAAGACCTTGGAGGAAATGGTCCGCAATATTGGGACTGCCCGCAACAACATTCGCAAAGGAAAGATGTCACAGCTGCGCACATCCGGGTATCGCAGTGCCATGATGAGTCGCGGTTCAAGGATGTCGCCAATTAACGCCTCGCTTGCAAGCCCTACCTCAACGGAGGATGAACTCCTGACCAGCATCCGTAACGCTCGGAGACAGGGTCCCCCGGCGTCCCGAGCCCCGGCCGCGTCGCAGGCATCCCCCTTTGATGCCGCCGAGAAACAGCTGGAGGTTGTCCATGGACTGTGTGAAACCGCCGCCTACCATTTTCTCCGGGCGGGCGACTGTTCAACAGAATTGGTTACGGTGAAGCAGAAGCTCCAGAGTTTGCTCGACCTGGCCACCAAAGAAGTACACCGACTCAAGGCAGAGCAACCACACGTGGCTGTGGTGCAGGAGGAGAAGAAAGCACCAACGCCTGAACCGTTACCTGGCCCAACACAAACAACTAGGGACGGTGACCATTCCGTAACGAAGATGGCTACCATTGAGGTAGATGACGGATCAGACTCGGTCGAGTCCATTGACTTGACGGTCTTTCGATCCGGCCGGATCCGCCGATAGAAAACGAAGGTCCAGAATTGAAACACAGCATTTGGCGGGGACACTCATTTTACAGCGTGCACTGGGGGAAAAAACAAGCATTCGTTCTAATCCTGCACTGGCGATGATACCACTGAACCACACATACCAGCATTTCCTTTTTTTCGAATCTCTTGGGACTGATGCACTTAACCCAGCGTTCTTCCATATATGCAAGCGAGCGTGGCTGTCATCTAATCAATCAATAGCGTGGTCTGGTCTTAGCATATTGGAGTTTAGCCTTTCCTCTCCTTAGCATTTACATTGACATAGATTACAAAGTTGCTTTCATCAATTGTATTTTCCATCAACCATAAGGTACCTCACATATGTAACCATCAACCCTCATCTATAAGTAGTAACTTATAAGCGATCACTACTAGGTGAGTAGTGCACCCGCTCCCAAATCCCCATCCCAACCCCGACCGACTAGTCTAGTTCAAGTGTAGCACTGTAAAAACCAAAACCCACCAGAACAATACCGGGCTCCATCCACCCGCATGATCGGGCTCCACTCGTCCACGGCAGATTCGACAAATTACATCATTGGCTAATTTCCATCTGCAGTCTGCCAGCAATAAAGAAAAACAAAGTGACAGGGATCTTGATGCATCCATCGATGGGAGAAGGGGGGCGGGGGCGCAAGGGAAGCCACTCCCGGCTGACGGCTGACGGCTGACGACGGCTCGGGGCAATCAAACCTTCCTACTACCCAAACCGTCCTAAACTACCTGGACTACTACGGAGTACATAAGAATGTTTGGTGTTGACTAGGGACTAAGGAAAGCAAGCTTCTTGACTCGTGTCCCGATGGACCAATGATGGGGTCGTCCGGGGTGGGAATCGGGGGGGCCATCGGGGAGGGAGATGGCTCGGTACTTTTGAGAGAGTAGTTCTTTGGATTTGTAGACGCATGTGTGGGTATTGGTATGGGCGTGTATGTGCTGTACTCAGTAAGTGAGGTGTTGGGCGGTGGGATATGCGCTGCAGAAGTGGCGAGCTTGGGAGGTGTAACCTTGGTAACTTGGGGGTATTTTGTTCTGGATGGGAATGTTTCGGGGGTAATTGGCTGTGGTGATGGCGAGCTCGGGAGAAAGGAGTTTTGACTCTGGGTGTGAGTGTGAGTGTACACAGTAGGCGGTACTTCCTTAGGGCGATCGGGGAAGTGGGAAATGTGGTTGCAGAACTGAACTTAAGGGTGGGGTGGGGTTGACAGGTAAACCTGGTAAGGGACTAGACCCAGAGGGGGATAAGTTCGTGGCCGTGACAGCGGCCGCTGCCGGGGCTGGTTGGATGTGCTCTAGGGTTGAGGGCTGGTGAGTATCTTACTGTGGTTTAGCCAAGTTGAGGATTATTGCCTGAAGCTTTGTTCTGGGCTATAATGGCAGCAGTGTGTTATTGATGAACTGAAGTTAGGATCTAGGATCCATTGTCTCGCTTTGAGCCGTTGCATCGCCAGTTGAGTCGCTTGCTGTTTGATTCGCTTCACCATGACATGGTTCGTGATATCATGGGCCCTGCTGCTGAGCATATTATCTGTCGCATCACCCAAGCCTGCTACCGAGGGCTAGAATTCCAATCAATCTCGAACTGAAAGTCGAATGCTCAGTCCAGTCGCTACCTCAAATACCTTTAAGACTCTCGTGCTGGGATAACTGAGGTTTAGCGATGATTTCTTACACAGCATCAACAGGACTCTCGAAATGAGACACAGTAAGCTATTGATCCAGTACAGTGCATCAATAAGCTTTATCATCTTGCAGTCATCTAATAACATGAGCGGCTGATCTTATCTGATCTGATATCTGATCCGACTTTCTGTCTTACCTACTCAGTACTCTTCACTATATCCTGGCTGATCTTGGACTAAGCCACCTGGCCTATTGGCCCAACCTGAATGTGACTCTGTTCTGCGAGCTCTTGTACAACGCAAAACTTGCTGACTAGTTCCTCTGCTTGGTCCCGGTGCTTAAGAGGTGCGGGATAGGAGGGAGGTCTGGAGAATGGAAGGTTATAGAATAGGCTGACAGGCACATGTACAAGATGCGCGTCGAAGATAATCCATCTACACCTGTATCAGACACTTGCCAATGACCCCATGCTGCTATCTCATGTTGTTAACTTTCGGCTCTCAGGTCTTTTGACAATGAACTGTGATAAAAGCTCGTGGTCTGCTTGTACTCTTAGAATCGGGCTTGCGAGTACAATATAAGGTAGATACCGGTCATTCTATCAGACAACCCACTCGAGAACAGTCAAGGACCCCATGCACATGACCAGATCACTCACCTTGCACCGACAGGAGTCATTCACCCGACCGTTGGATTGGGGTAGTACAGTCCATCAGACGCGGACCGGGAGTGACTATGAGGGGCGGTGGTGCCTGCCATTCCCACAACCTACAGCAGGACTATCTCTGAAAGAGAGTGAATACTCCTTCCAGGCATTCACAACCATCTATTATCATTGTCTGGCAATATCCTATTGTTCACCAGCATATCTATTGTTTTCCAAGCCCGTTATCCTCACGTTGGCATATTCTTATCAAATCTCCTATAAAACGCCTAGGTCCACCATCTGATGTTGCCGATCTTCATCTAGACCATGGATCTAGTTCAACTTGGCTCTATCACACCAAAGGACGTCCGCGATGAGCAATCGAAAATTTCACGTCATCATAGTGGGCGCGTCGATCGCGGGCCTGACTCTCGCTCACTGTCTTTCCAGCGCCAATGTCGACTTCACAATTCTGGAGGCCAGGGCCAATCAGATCACTCAGGGTACTGGGCTCGTACTGCAGCCGAACGGGGCCCGGATTCTGGATCAATTGGGGTTGTATGATAAGGTACTGCGCCAGGCAGAGCGCATCGTGTCGTACACAACATATTTCGACAGTGGGCGCCTCCTACTGGACATTGACACACGGCACATAACTTCTCGGCGGTAAGATCTGATTGATGTGATTGTTGTTGAGCGGAGCTGATCTGAAGGTAGGACGGGCTATCCGCTCTCCATCATCTCACGGCAAGCATTATTGAGCATCCTCTTCGACTACCTTCCTCGCCAAGACCGCATCCGCTTCAACCAGAAGGTTATTCAAGTGGCTCCATCGGCCAGGGAAGTTACTGTCCACACCGCCGATGGTTCACGACTCTCTGGGGATATAGTGGTTGGGGCAGATGGTGTACACTCCATTGTACGCTCGCAGATGTGGCAATACATCCAATCCAACAGACGCGCTGCTCGGTTTGTTCTGGCGAGGGAGATACCTCTGAAAACATCGTTTGCTGGAGTCTTTGGCACTGCCAACCCTGTCGCAGGACTCAAAACGGGCGTGGTCTACCGTACATTTGGAGCTGGATGGGTAATGCTCATCATGGTTGGCAAAGATGCACAAGTGTTCTGGTTCATCTCTATAGCATGGCCGCATTCGAGTCGGCAGGCTTGGAGACGTCAGCAAGGGAAGACGAGCGTTGCACCACTCCTGGCACCATTCCTCGACAAACATGTATCCAGTGAGGTCACCTTCGGGGAGCTGTATGACCGCACAAATTCGTTCACGTTCGTTCCGCTCGAGGAGTCTTTCCAGAATCAATGGTCAGCAGGCCGATTTGCATGTATAGGGGACGCGGTGAACAAGGTAGGCAACCGTGCCCTACCATACCATCAGCCCCTAGGCTAGAACTGATCAGTTTGCAGACGACTCCCAACATAGGGCAAGGGGCGAATTGTGCCATGGAGACAGCTACTTCCCTTGGAAATTACATCATGCTAGCCAGCAGAACCGATGCTCCCTGGACGGAAGCCTATCTGGAGTCACGATTACAGACTTGGGAGAACGAGTACAGAGGTAGAATGAGGCTGTTCTCGTGGGTATCGCAGTCAGTCGCACGCGTGGAGGCAGGTAGTAACTGGTGTCTGAGACTTCTCCGATCTTACTTCAGTTACTACCATGCCGCAATGGGCATTGCCCTTCTCGGTGATCTAACCCCACAAACGGCACGAGTACAGCATCTTCCTTTACCGCTGCGACGAACAGCTGCTCCAAAGAGTCAGAGTGATCCACAGGAGAAGATATGGAGTGATCGGTTCTCAGGATTGCCTGTGGTGTCAACCATGATTGTGGCATTGCTATTCATTGTCCAGTCGCTCACAAGACCAAAGGATGGTGGAGTAGATTAGCTGGCTTAGCTAGGGCCATATCTTAGATAGAACAGGAGCTGAACTCGCACTACAGAATTCTTTTGCGCGATATGATTTCCGACGGGGGCGATATAATAGTGAAGGAGGGAAGGCAACCGTATTGTTTGAGGCGGCATGAAGCGAAAAGAGGTTTTGGCTCGCTTCCCGCTCCGCCAGTTGGGCCCATTTGCGGGATTTACCAAAGCCACTGATCTCAGTCTCGTACCAGCATCAGGTCCAAGCTGCTTTGAGGAGTGGTTTGGATTAACCCCTCAATCTCGCACTCCGCATGTGGTGTTGATGACAATCGACTGGGCCCTGCAAAAATCTCGCATGGCAGCTGCATAGCGTCAAGAGCATGGTTGACACATGACAGAATGTGACCCCAAGTATAAAGAGCAAGCAAAGCACAATACGCTTTTGCCTGTGTTATTCTCCCTCAGCTTTCTCTCTTTCATCTATCTCTTCGGTGTTTGCTTTCCTCAGAGGATCTCTACCCTCTAGTCCAACATGGCGCGCCAACGGTCAAGCTCGCCAAAAGCAGAGGCAACCCGCCTCCGCTGGCAGGAGGTAGACGAAGAGACTGGTCTCCAGCCCAAGAAACTGCTTCCAGATCTCTCAAGAACTGTGTCAACTATGTCAAACAACTCTCAAATGTCTGCGCGGGGTCGGAACCGGAGGGCAACTGTTGATCCTTCACTTTCATTGCCAATCCATTACCGCACTGTGTGAGTGCTCTCTCTTAATAAATCCTGCAAGCATAGCAGATAAACTAACAGTGACCGCTGTAGCTCCTTCGACATCGATGAAGCAAGAGAAAAGGAACTGGCTGAGACCGCCAAAACGAAGAACAATGTCGTGACAGGTAGACATCCTCAACTTGGAACTTGTTATCCTGCGGGTTGTGGCTGACTTGTAATCTCTTTTCCAGACCTCTCGAATCTCGACTGGCATCAAATTTCCACCGAAGAGCTACAGAAACGATGGAAAGTCGATATATCGCAGGGGCTCTCACGCGAACAAGTCCAGCAAAGCTTACAGGAATACGGAAAGAATGCTCTCTCGCCACTGCCACACCAGTGGTTCTGGCAGATATTTGGTTACTTCTTCAAAGGCTTCGGTGCCATCCTCCTTATAGGAAGTGTTCTGGTGTTTGTCTCATGGAAGCCTCTCGGGAATCCTCCAGCTATAGCCAATCTTGCCTTGGCTATCGTTTTACTTGCCGTGTTCTTCATTCAAGCTGGGTTCAATGCGTGGCAAGATTGGTCATCATCACGAGTCATGGCGTCGATCACTGCCATGTTGCCGGAAAGTTGTCTTGTTCTCCGCGACAGCTCACTCACTGTGGTCTCTGGACCGGAAATTGTTCCTGGTGATGTTGTGCATCTCACAGCCGGAACCAAGCTGCCTGCTGATTTACGCCTGGTCGAAGTCTCCACTGACGCGAGCTTCGATCGTTCGATTCTGACTGGTATTCCCCCTCCCTAAGACACATGGCAGCTTGTTCTAAGAAGTGTCTGAAGGTGAATCCGCCCCGATCAATGGAACGGTCAACTCTACGGATGACAACTACCTCGAGACACACTGTATTGGTCTACAGGGGACACACTGCGTGGCTGGAAGTGCCGTGGGCGTCGTCGTCTCCACTGGTGACTCGACCGTCTTTGGTCGAATTGCCAAGCTGACCAGTGAGCCCAAGAAAGGCTTGACCACCTTGGAAAAAGAGATCCTGCGCTTTGTGTCATTCATTGTTGCAATCATGCTAGCTATGATCATTCTTGTTGTTGGGGTTTGGTATGTTTTGCCTGAGCGCAGCATGTTGCTCGATACTCACAATCCATAGGGCTGGATGGCTTCGAAAAGAACACCCTGACTGGATCAACGTTCCTACTCTGATCGTCGACTGTGTGAGTGTCGCTATCGCATTCATTCCTGAAGGCCTTCCAATCGCCCTTACCGCAAATTTGACAATCACTGCCAACCTCATGAGCAAGAACAAGATTCTGTGCAAATCGCTGAAGACTGTGGAGACTCTGGGTGCTGTCTCTGTAATCTGCTCCGACAAGACTGGAACGTTGACAAGGGTTTGTCTTATGAAATTGCCGGAGCGTCACTGTTTACTAATCTTGTGGCCTACCAGAACAAAATGTTTGTTACAGAGTGTGCCATCTCGACAACCTGCTTTAGCCCTGATTCAGCAAGGGATGAGATGAACAGGAAAGGCAAGAAGAGCGGAGTCCACCAGCTTCGCGCCATGGCCGGTCTCTGCAATGCAGCTGAATTTGATGCCGCATCCATGCAGCTCCCGCTCCACGAGAGAGAGATCCACGGAAATGCCACTGATCAAGCCGTCCTGAGGTTATCCGAGGGTTTGGGATCGGTAGCCAAACTGCGTCAAACGTGGAAAAAGACCTATGAGCTGGCTTTCAACAGCAAGAACAAGTTTATGGTACGGACATTCACACTTGCTGAACCAGAGGGACTAGGGCTCGCGATGTCTGCCGCAGAGTCTTCGCAGTTTAAGCGCAGCGATATGTAAGTTGGCAAACGCGCATTCATTTGGGCAAAAGTACTTACAGGCCCTGGGTAGTCTCTTCACGATTAAAGGTGCACCGGACATTCTTATCGACAGATGCTCGCAATTCATTGATCTTGATGGTAGCGTGCAGCCACTGGAAGCGCGGATGCTGGCTCGGATGAAAGAAGTCAAGGACCAGTGGTCTGCAGAAGGAAAGCGCGTAATTCTCCTCGCGCGAAAACTTCTCTATTCGGCTGAGATAATGTTTCAGCCATCCTCACACGAGTATGAGACTGAAATGCTGAACCAAGCGAAGACCGGGCTGGTTCTAGTCGGCATGGTCGGTATTGTCGATCCTCCGAGGGAAGAAATTCCAGACGTCATCAGTACCCTGCGACGCGCAGGGATTCGGATCTTCATGGTGCGTATCCGTGCAGATATTAAGATCTGGGCTGCATTGTGCTAACTGCATCTCCACCAGGTAACCGGCGACTTTGGCCTCACAGCGCTGGCTATCGCACGGCAATGTGGAATTGTTAGCACAAACGGTCTCGTTGATGATGCGACTGCTCTCAAAAGATCAACGGACTCCGAGAAGGCCTCCAGTGCTCCTACTGCCTCCGCGATCACCATCAGTGGAGCTGACCTTATGAGTCTCAATGACCACCAGTGGGAACAACTCTGTCAGTACCAGGAGATTGTCTTTTGGCGAACCACTCCCGAGCAAAAGCTTCGTATTGTTCGCGAGTTCCGCGCAAGAGACGAGATTGTCGGCATGACTGGCGACGGTGTTAATGATGCGCCTTCTCTGAAGGCAGCTGACATCGGCATCGCACTGGGTAGCGGGTCCGACATTGCCATCGAGGCCTCTGACATGGTTCTTCTGGAGTCTTTCTCTGCCATCGTCGAAGCGGTACAGTACGGGCGGGTTGTCTTTGACAACTTGAAGAAGACAATTGTCTATCTTCTCCCAGCGGGCTCGTTCTCAGAGTTCTGGCCTGTCTTTTGCAATGTCGTCTTCGGGCTTCCTCAGGTCCTCTCGTCCTTTCTGATGATCATCATCTGGTAAACCTCCCCCTTTTTTGTTTTTAGAATAATAACTCGCATTAGCTAACAAGCTCAATCCAATCAGTTGCTTCACAGACTGCGCGGCCGCGACAGTCCTCGCCTACGAGAAACCCGAAGCCGACGTCCTCCTCCGTTCCCCACGCAAGCCCAAGCAGAACCGCCTCGTGAACTGGAAACTCATCTTTCATGCATACGGTGTTCTTGGCATTATTGAAACCGTCTGCTCCTTTGCCATGGCCTTCTGGTACCTTGAGCGCAACGGCGTCCCCTTCTCCGTCTTCTGGTTCAAGTTCGGCAACTACCCGTCCGACATTGACCAAGACTGGCTCACAGCCCGCCTCAACGAAGCCAGCTCTGTCTACTTTGTCAACCTTGTCGTGATGTAAGTTGCCTCCTCCTGTACCACTGCTCGTCGATGTTCTCTTCTCATTCCGACAACTAACATCGAGACCAAAAAACCAGGCAATGGTTCAACCTCATGGCCGTCCGCACTCGCCGCCTCTCCATCTTCTCGCACCCACCAGCCTTCAATAAAAAGACTCAGAACCTACTCCTCTTCCCCGCCATCTTGTTTGCCTTCGTCATGGCCATCTTCTGGCTCTATATCCCCCCGCTCCAGCGCACGTTGAACACAACCAGCGTCCCCGCGATCCATTACTTCCTGCCTGCGGCATTCGGGGTGGGGATCGTGGTGCTGGATGAGCTGCGGAAGGCGGGAGTGAGGCGGTGGCCGAACGGCCTCCTGGCTCGATTCGCGTGGTGAGAGTCTGTTGCTTTACTTTGCTTTGTGGCCGGTGGTTTCAGGAGTATTGCTTAGAGGCTAGGCTACATACATATGTACTTGGTTGGGAGGCCCACCGGCAGGTTACACCCGGATCCCGGTGCATGTTGGTTCCGATTTAGACTAGGATCTCTGCTTTATCCGAATGGGGTAGTTAGACTAGCTTGTCGGCCATAGTGCAGTGGTCTGGTGGATCTGGACTCTGTCATACCTGGTTACTTACTAATTATGGGTTACGGCTGGCCGGGATATGGCTGGCTGGGCGGGAGGGGTTTTGAGTTATCTTTGTTCTTTTCGTTTCTTGATGTACATACATTCATACATACTTACATATGATATACGATAATTGCATGGATGGCATTTCTCCGTCCATGTATATCCGAGTTGACTTCGGTAGGGCGGGGACAGTGGTCTTGTGTCTATTATTGAATGACTCTTTGCCCGGAGAGGGACATTCAGAGTGGTGTTTGCACATTTTGGTCGGTAGTCAGGAAGCGGTCTGATCTATTGTCGCCACAATTGAGGACCAGGTATACCATGTGCACTCCGCAGAATTGACAAGCAAGCACCGTGAATAAAGACACGACTATCAAATTGCCATAGCCTAGTGCTTTATGTGTATGCAGACTACCACAGTCTCCCACCCTACGCTTGCACTCACGAAACAAAGTTTAATTTCAGGTATCATGTATATTTGCTCATTGATGGGACTTTTTAAATAAGAAAAAAAATAAATATGGAAACCAGATTTCCAAGACATATACAGCCAACACCACCGAAGTATAGATAGAAGACGTTGCGTGAGGTCGTCGCCAGATACAGGACCAGAGAAGGGCGAACGGCGGATTGGGGAAAAGAAAAATTACAAGGTAGATGATAGATGGGACAAAAAGGGAGGAGAGGAAGAAAGGGACGGGGTTTGGAGGGGTATTCTGTACAGACGCGGCGAGGGAGGGAGAGAGAAAGAGAGATGAAAGGGCAATCTATCACCAGAAGTAGGGGTTGCCGTAGACGTCTTCGTAGCATTGGTAGGAATCGGGGCAGCTATTACACGCTTCGGTTAGCATCGATTGTTTGTGATGGAGGCGCAGAAGATTGAAGGTAAAAGAGAACGTACTAGACAGGTTCCTGTCCGAAGATGATATGCCAAGTGTACTCCATCACACCCGCGGCCAGCTTGTCCGACAGCGGGGTGGTCAGCACCCACTCGTAGAACCACATGTAGTCGCTCAGGGGCCGCTGGAGCACCTGGTCGCGCGAGACGGCGAACTGCGAGCAGCAGGCGACGGCGACGACCTCGGGGACGTCGGTGTTGTTGAAGAGCTGCTCCCAGGCGTCCGCGTAGACCCGTTCGGTGGTCTGGCCCGACTGGGGCGGGTTGCGGAAGGGGCGGATCTCGTCCGGGCAGCCGGGAGTCATCTGGCAGCGGAGGTTTGCGTAGCCGTTGCGCTGGACGAAGTCGGTCTGCAGGGCGCGGATCGAGTCGACGTTGCTGTATTCCATGGTGTCGGTGTGCCAGGCGCCCGGGTAGCCGTCGCGGTGGCTGTGGATAAAGACGATCGTCGACGGGAGGTCGTCGTAGTGTTCGATGATATATTGGAGGTAGGCGAGACTCTCGCGGCCCTTGTTCTGGGGGGTGTGTTTGGCGGCATTGACGTCGTCGACGGTGTAGATGTAATTGCGCCAGCTACGAGAACAGAAAAGATCTTAGTTAGCGAGACAATTCTGCTTCCATTGAAGAAAGCGCACAGCTGGGGGTTCCGGCGCAGCCGTGCATAGAAAACAAAAAAGAGAGTTCGCAAAGATAAAGTTTAGATTGAGGGGAAACATACTCCGCCAAGTCGTTGCTAACCCAAGCTGTATCCTCCGCGGCCAATTTGGCCATGACAATCACCCGGTCATTGGGAACGATAATCGGAGTGGTTTCGTAGACCGGCCGTGACCCGAGCGCGATACCGTCGTCGTTGTCGTCCGCCGCGGCGGCGGATTGATCCTTCTTCCCCCCTCCCACCACCGGGAGTTCCTCCTTAGAGGCCGGGATAGTGGCATCCTTGCTCTTGTCGTTGGCCGCGGGTTCCGACGAGCCCGAACCGCCGCTTACGCCGTTATAGCTCCAGCCGGACTGGACGCGCGAATCATCCTGGACGAGATCGAGGTGGCGCTTGATCAGGAAGATGGCGACGATAAGGAGGGCGGCCGTACCGATACGGTAGGATAGTCTCATTTCATAACATTTGCTTGCTGTCTTACGGCCGAGGGGGGCTTTGGAATGGGGCGCGTGGGTGGCTGAATTCTGGATAGAAAGAGATTCCAATGAGCGATCGGTTTTAAGGCAAGGAGAAGGAGGAGAGGGGGGTGGAAGGGAAGAGGGAGGTCAGTAGTAATAAGAAGCGGAGAAATAAGGAGAGACACAGCGGGCAGCGGACACGGCAGGGCAAGACAGCAAATTAAACATCAGGGTGATTTAGGAGGACTTACTCTATGACGCCGAGGAGTTATTGTCTATGACTAGGGAATGGCGATTTCAGTCAGTCAAGAAGGAATGGAGTGATTGAAGAAGGAATGAATAGAAGGCAAGGAAGAAGAAAAGAAGCAGCAGCAAAGCAGCAAAGCAGCAATGAAGCAACGAAGCAGAAGCAGAAGAGCGGAAAGGAAAGAAGCAAGAGCCGGCCCCGTCGACGGGGGCCTGAGGCTTATCACCACCGAGTCTTTGCGCGGATTGGTGGATTGCCTGGTGGAGAGTGGAAGGGTTGTATGTATGTATGTATGTATGTATCGTACTGTCAGATGTAATTTTGCCCAGGCGCAGGAAATACCAGCCGAACAGTGGCTGTTTATAGACAGTAGACAGTAATTTGGCATTGTAAAGCATTTTAATGGACAATGAATAGGCTATTTTTACCAGATTCTAGACAGAGGTCTCACTTGTCCCATAGAATCATCCACATAGAATGCAATGCAAAATTGTCAAGCAGCAATTGTTCTGTAGGTCTCCGTAGAATCCCTAGAATAGTAATGTATGTCGCCATCCCCCCTTGTACTTGCGTTGCACATTACAGGCTTCTGTTCTTTTCTTCTTACCCCCCTCACGTTAGGCAACATGACGGGACGATCATTGCAGTCCTTCAGCCAAGTACGTACCCAGTAAACTCCATCTCCGGTGGGACGAATAGCATGAGTGCTGCCGTGTTTCCTCTCTCGGTGGGAAATGAACAATCCAGAGAGATTGTGTGGTGTGCCTGATCTGGGCCAGCCAGCCAGAAAAAGATCCACCGGCGAGTTCGAGTCTATCTCAAACGTCCCACCGAAACCGCGGGTGTGAGTGGCCACTGATAACCCGGCCATTCCACTTTGAACCCTTTTTTTTTTCTGCTGCCCTTTCTCTGCACTTCTGGTTCTAGCCCAGTCTCAGTCTCAGTCTCTCAATCCCACGATCAACCAGCTGCACTGACAGTCAGCTTGATCATTCACACAAGCCTTGTTAGACGGTTTCGAATTCCAACCAAGAAGGCAAAAGGTTGTGCCCGTGGACAGTACGGTACTCGCCTCGTGTATGTGGAACAGACATCCTTAACTTAGTTGTTGTTTGTTGTATGTAGTACAGCAGCAGAGAGAAACAATGCCCTTGTCAATTGCCCTCCCTCACCCTCCCCCTCCCCTCTTCTTCAGTCACAACACAACACAACACAACCTCGGCAATTAAAAGGCCACCACTGCAGGACAATCGAAACTTCCCCAAGAATCAAATCCATCAATAGGAACAAACCCCAATCCCACCTGATGCTTGCCGATCAATTCATTCGTCCCTGTTGAGAAATGAAAATCTTGGACGATCGAGCAAGACAGCAGTGAACATAACATAGAGTCTGAAACACGTCTTTTTTTTTCACGACTGTCAGCCCGCCGCCCGGCCTGCGGGTGTGGGGCTCGTATCGGGCGCGCGGAGTTTTGTGTCTGGAAGGGATCTGGCCCGTTGCAAATCTGGCAGGATCTTGTACGGGTTTGAATGTGGGAAGGGGGAGCGGGAGGCGGAGCTCGGAGGGCCTCGTGAAGGGTTCACTCAACGATATTTGAGGTTTGCAAGTTTACACAAGCGTGATCTGTTCACTAGCAGGCTGTGGACCATGAATAACCTAGTGGTATTGTGTACAGTACACACAGTAACAACTTCCTTCAATGTTTGAAAGGCGGTTTGTTTTTAGAGGAAGGCCTGTCCCACACTCTCATTTTACTAACGTTATCCATCGCCTCGAATACCTCAAACAGTCAGCAATACGACGATCCGTAAATCAACACGACTCGCTGAATTTTTTTTTCATTTGTTTCTATGTTTAAATAGCACCTAGAAGTCACATTAAATAATGCCTGGACCAAACACACCTGACGTTCAAATCATAATCTCATAATGGCTAATAACTCGTCAACCTGGAATCAATCGCAAACTGTTCGATTGCAGATTTTGACTCCAGAAGGAACCTTAGTACTTGCAAAAGCAACCAAAATAAGAGGCCGTCCCGGCAGCACGACAAAGATGCCGTAACGAATATACCTGGGCGAGTGACTCAGAGGCATGATCATCTTGGCAATCGGGCACTCGAGAGACGAAATGTAAGCTGGCTTACTATCACTGTTGGCGGTTGCAAGATCACATAGTATCGTCAGCTTCAACTGACCAGAGTACTTTAGAAACAGTTCATGTCATGTCCATTAGATCCTCCCAGAAGCGCCCTCATAAGATCTATCTAACGACCACCCAAATCCGATGCCATGCCAGCAATCATATGTAGCAGTTCGAGCAAAACCACAAGACAAAGAAAGAGAATGGAAAAAAAGTACAAACACAGCATGAAGAACAGAAGAATCAAAAGTCGTATACATCGTCATCAAATCATGCAAAATGGAGGAGAGAAATGCCGAATGCAGGTCGAACGCCCAACCGAGGTCCTCTCAACGCAAAGAACATACAGGGGCCGAGCAGTAGATGCGATGGCGTGAGGCAGGAAGACATAAGTTGTGGAGATTCCGTGCAGAGGTAGATGATAGCCGGAAACGAGAACCGAGGAACGCGCGCGATCAGCAGCATCCCCCTTTCTTCCTGGCCACCTCCACCGGAACATCGACCTCATCGCCCTGGCTGCTGGGCGGGAATCCAAGCCAACTGCGCCGCTTGTCGCCATACCCCAGCCGAAAGCTACCGCTGCCATCGATATTCGCCGGACTGGCCGGGGGCATGCCATCGAGTGAGGACGGCGACAGCAGCGACGGGCTCAGCCCGGCCTCGCGCTTGTTGCGCTGCTCGACCAGCTTCCGCGTGATCACCCGGAACACCTCCTCGATGCCCTCCCCGTCCTTGGCGCTGATCTCGTGGCAGCAGTCCCATCCGATATCCTGGCCCCAGAACCCGCTGCTGCGCTTGCTGTCGATGCCCTGGGGCGTGCTGGACGAGGGGCCGTATCCCGCGGACGGAGGAGGGGTCGAGGCCTGGGTGGGGTAGAGCTGTTCGGCGACGTAGGCGATGGTGCGCTCGAAGGGGACCCGGCGGCGCGAGGGTTCCATGGTCACGATGTCGGATTTCGTCCCCACCACGTGGATCACGATGGGATCGTCCTCGAAGACGTTCTTCTTGAGCTCGAGGAGCCACCCGGTCATTTCTTGGAAGCTCTGTTCGTCGGTGATGTCGTAGCAGAGGAGGCAGGCGTTGGCGCCGCGGTAGTAGAGTCGCGAGATGCTCCGGAACCGTTCCTGGCCAGCAGTGTCCCAGATTTGGAGGCGAACAATGGTATCGGAGGCGCTGTCGAGGACGCGTTTCGTGACAAAGGAGGCGCCGACGGTGGATGCGGTGCCGGCGGGATCGAAGGCGTTCTTGACATAGCGTTGGACGAGGGAGGTTTTGCCCACGCCTGCGCCATGGATGTGTGTTAGTAGAGTTACATGTAGTGTTTGTGTCTGCTATTTTGTTGTTGGGAAGATAACTGACCCTGGGCGCCGAGGACCACAATCTTGGCCTCAAGAGATGAGCTCATGGCGGGGTAGAGAAAGAGGCGGGGCCGAGGGAAAGCTGGATTTGCATGTTCCAGCAGGAAGAAGAGATAAATGAAAGAGCGCGCACGCGCAAATGAGATAAGTTTGTACAAGAAGAAAAGGGAAAAAAAGAAAGATAAGACAGAGAGTGAAAGAGTGTCAGAGTGTGAGAGGAAAACAAGCGAGAGGCGTGGAGTGTGAAAGGATCAGTCAGTCAGTTAGAGTCAAGCAAGCAAGCAAGCAAGCAAGCAAGCAGGCAAGCAGGCAAGCAGGCAAGCAAGCAGGATTCAAGGAAGACGAGCAGCAGCACGCAGTCATTTCCAAGAAAGCGGGAACGAGGCTCAAACAACCAACCCACCAGCCATTCGTTCATTCACTTCTTCATTTCATTGATTCACTTCAGCCCCCCCTCCTCTCTCCTCCTCTCTCCTCCACCCTTTGACCCTCCGCCTAAGATCAAATCGGAGCCATCACGAACTAGAGCAGATCAGCCGATCACTGACGTCTGTCTGTCGTGCTCCCCGGTGCGCTCTTTCCCTCCTCTTATCGCAGTCAACTGGACTGTGAACAAGAATCGGAACACAAATAACTCAAGCCACTTAATTGAAGCTGTGTGCAAATGGGTTGAGCACTCATTGCAATCAATAATGTTCACATATCCAGACGCAACAGTGAAATCTGGGTAGTTCCCTTTTCCCCAAAGACCCTTCCTTCGGCCCCCCCTTACAGGGATCAGCTGGGCTTGCTTGCTTGGCTGCAGAACTTCTAGCCACGGAATTCGCCTCGAAACATTCACAATCTGAAGAACACTCCCTCCCTTCGATCGGTCTTTTCCGGAGCCATTGCTGACGAACGTAAATGATGGACTTTGTCCGGGAGTTCATCCCATCCTTGCAAATTTTGAGCCTCAGTCCAGAGCTATTGCAGGGCACAGACCGCTAGAAGGTGCGAGAGCCCGCAAAGAACGAGGTTGGAGCTTCTAGCCTTTTTTTTTCTCCTTCCCTTCCCTGCTCTCAACTCCCCTCAAGCGATAAGCGACCGACCGAGCGAAACTCGGACCACCTGCATGCAGGTCCCGCGGATTTCTACCACTCACCTTTCAACCAGACAGTCGGGACGTGGTCAATACTTTAATCTACTCGCCACAGGCCAATTTAGAATCTACGAATAGAAAGTGGTTAAGTCCAAGAAAATGCGCTTTTGAAATCATTCCATGTTCTATCCACACCTTTTATGGGTGGTGATCGGCCAAAATGGCCGATCCTGAGAAATGTACAGAAACTCTCACCATAAGGCAAAACAAGACAAACATTTGAGCCTCGACCTGTTCCACACATGTCAAGTCACTCAGAGGGGTAATCGCGTACGAAAATACAAAAAGATCACAACGGTACTCTGGGGGAATCTATATGTTCAACGAGTCGGGGGGCGTAGCCGAAACAATGCCAATACCACAATCATGTAACTCCGGTCGTAGACCAGCACTGTCCTCTGTCATACCAAAGCGACAGAAGTTTTGGAAGACAGAATAACAACATCACAAGTAAAGAAAAAAAGGACCAAGCATTGAAATTGCATCTAGCCGCCTTCTAGGGTGTCACTCAAGCGCAGACAACCAGGGCTGGCAGCAACGAAAGGTCCGAAGCATGCAACACGTCAAGGCATTGACTCAAACGTTATGAAAATGACATGCGAGCATTTTACTCGAAGTCCTTACCGCTGTTCGAGCCGGACAGATCAGCAGCGCTCGTCTTCTCTTCGTCGTTGGCGCCACCGAATCCGTACTCCATGGCTTTCTGCTCGACTTCGTCGTCCGTAAGCCTGGGAAGATCCTTGGCAGCCTTGACGTAGCTGATATTTTCGGTGAAGCCCTTGGCGAAGATGATGTCAATTTCCTCCAAGCTTCGGTTGGCTGTCTCCGGGTAAAAGAACCAGATGAAGGGAATGAAGAGGGCGTTCATGGCAGCGAAGAAGCAGTAAGTACCCCAGCCAATGTTAGACACCATCACGGGGGTAATCATAACAACGAAGAAGTTGAACAGCCAGTTACTGCATGTAGACACAGCGTTCGCCTTGGCCCGAGTCTTGATAGGTGACAACTCGGCCGGGTACAACCAGGGCAGAGGAAGCCAAGTAGCACCAAACGCAGCCATGTAGAGGAAAATGCCGAAAATCGATCCCTTGGCCGTCGACTTGGTACCGGGAATAAGGCAACCGAAGGTAATAATCATCGCAACACACTGAACGATCGAACCGCCCAGGAAAAGCTTGCGGCGACCGATCTTTTCAATAAAGAACCATGAGAATGTAGCAAAGATAGCATAGACAATCATGTTGACGCCGGAGATCAAAAGGGCAAAGTTAGTACCCTCTTTCAGGTTTTCTTCGAGGAGCAGGGGCAAGTAATAGATGACCGCGTTGCAGCCACCGAGTTGCTGAAAGATCTGAGACGAAGAGCCGATCAACATGCGACGAAGATGTTGAGAACGACCGCCGGTGAGCAGGTCACGATATGTCACACCCTGACCCGCAGCACTCGAACTAATGACATCGGTGTTAGCCTCCCGCGCGACCAGGGACTCAGATTCGCAATGGCTGCGAAGGTGACTAGACTTACGCTCTGATGGAGTCGATGACCAGCTGCTTCTGGAGCTGTGTCTCGTGGTCGTTGATCTCGAAGCCGCCCAGAGCCGCCAGCACGTACTCTCCCTCCTGGACGCGATCCTTGGCAATCAAGTAGCGCGGGGAATCAGGAAGGTAGTACATTCCGACGATGATAATCAATCCAAAGAAGATCTGGAAGGCGATGGGGAAACGCCACACGAGATCCTTGTTACCGAAGTGGGCACCGTAATCGATCCAGTAGGCAATAGCAGTACCGATAGCGATGATACCACCCTCGATACAGATCAGAAGACCACGGTTGCTTGTCTTCGAACATTCAGCCTGGTAAGTAGGAATGGTTGAGGTATTCATTCCGTTCCCGATACCGGTGATGACACGACCGATGAAGAATTGCAACAGGGGGATGTGGCCGGCAAACGAGGTAACCTGAATAATAACACCGATAATCATGATAGTAGCTCCGCACATGATGATCAAGCGACGGCCAAGTCTATCACCAAAGAACAGAGCGAACAAAGCGCCAAACAAGCAGCCTGCATGGTGTGGTCGTTAGGAATGATCAAATGCTAACCTGATACAGACTGTGAAGTATACGAACCCAACTCATAGACCGAGGTCACCAAGGCCTGCATCGTGGCATTGCCCTTGGTGGCAGTGAAAAGGTCTTGGAAAGCCGTGTCGCTGATAATACCGGACATGACACCCTCTATAGTAAACTAAAATTAGCTCAAGACTCTTCATGGTGGCTCCCAGAGACACCCGGTAAAGGATCAAGACATACGATCGTAACCGAACAAGAGGAAGCCCATCGTAGCAATGGTCGAGATGGACACGGACAATTTCTTGCCCGACATCCCTGCGTACGTCGGCGCCATGGTGATAGGATCTGTGCAAGATAACGGCAAACACTCAAAAAGATAAATGTAGAGGTTGAGGAATCCCAGTCAAGACGGATGGGATATCTAGAGCGATCGAACACTTAAGTTGAGTCGCTCTCTTCTCCAATGAACTCCTGTTTCAGTCGAGTCTCCCTTTGCTCGGTTTCACCCAGGGCTAGGAGAGGAGAAGAAGGAGGGATGCAATAGAGATGAGTGAGAATGAGAAAATCCGAACGCGGAGAAGTCGGGGAGGGAAGGGGGGGGGATTATCTACTTATCCCCATGGTGCTCACGGTCTCATGCATGCTGGTTGACAATCTCTTATCCCCCAAGCTGCTGGGCGAATACTCCACTAGTCGGCGACGGACATTGAAAACATAACCACACTCCTCATTATTGTTTGTTTTGTGGAGCAGCAGGGGACCGAATGCATCAATAACGCTGGGTTAAGCATCTTTTGGGGGTGGATCCAAAGGCCCACTGTGGGTGGGCAATGAGCAATGACATCACGGCATTTTCCTTGGGACCACTAAAACATTTCCCTAGAAATTGATTTAATTATTTTGCTTATTTTGTGAAATAATTCAGGAAAAGAAAAAGAAAAAGAGGAAGAAAAAAAAGAAAAGAAAAGACATAAATGGAGGGGGGAAATATTGTAGCCGCAAAAAAGGGGGACGGGGAGGAAGGCAAAGAATCGTACCAAGGATTGTTATTCAATCCCACCCGAGGCTACCTGAGAATCGGGATGGGCCCTGCAGTTGGCCCTTTGTGGGTGAGTGAGTTAACATAGCAGGTGTCACTCGTTATTGTCCATTTCCGACACACAGGTTAAGACGCAGCATCGGGGCCATAATGGAAGCAAGGCTACAAGCCTGTGACATGTCTAGCAGTCACAAGTACGTGGCTGTGGTGTCCGAGAAATGTGTGCATCAAGGAATAATAGAGGATACTGTCGGTAGAAAGGCCCGGCGTAGAAGATCTGATGATGGGTAACATAGCCCAGCTGCCTGCCGGAGCGGAACTGCCGATTCCCAACGTGGAATCAACTGTGCAGGGCTGAGTTGCCTGTTGAATTGGCATGTTCCACTCAATTGAGCAACTCAAGCGAGGGGTACTTCATAATGGAGAATCCTCGTGCCGGCTGAATAATCTTACATGTTATCTCGCCTGCCTGGACTGGACTCCTGGAGTCAGTGCCCGCTCCCGGGGGAATCTGAATGCGGGCGCCATTGTTGTTGCAGTATTTAAGCCTCCAAGACTCGATTCCCGCTGCCTAACATCCACCATTATCAGGGTTCAACACACGTCTATTGCAATTGCATCACAGAACAAGATCTCCCTGCCCATGCAGCTCCAAGTCACTTCAGGCACATAAGGCAATGATGGTCAAAACTGAATGCGCGCAGCAGTCGGCCCTCCTTCGGGAAGCCGTTTCCGTAGGCGGTGCCATAAAGTTTTCCCGACTGCGCCTAGCGTTGAGACTGCAAGGTGAGACGACCTTGCGCCAATGGCAATATTCAATTAGCTTATGATGAATAAGTACCTATTAACTAACTATCCATAATTTTCGAGAATATCGAATGTCTGACTGGAAGAGGTTTAGACAGGTGTAGGGTTAACACACATCTTCGTCCAGTCCATTGCATTGGGTGGGAGGGCCCTCGTTGCTGATTCGGTCCCACCGCTCACCAAAATCTGGTTTCTCCCCACTTGGTCTTCCCCTCTCCATCTCCAGGCTCCATTTCCCCTCCCGTAATATGGGTTCAATATCCCTCCGCGTCTTTCCACTCCGTCGCGAGTCACGCATTTCTTCGTGGTTTATTCAGCCTTCTGAACCCGCGGTTTTCGTGATTATGTCTACTTCGCGAGGTACACCTACTAGAATTTAGATTCTCGACTTTAAGACACCTTACCCGTCATTGGGTCTTTGGAGGGTGTCCGAGGCTCTCTATGTCCGCAGTTCCACTCGGAACCGGAAGGGACTCAAGATCGGGAAGGCCGTTGGCCCGTCCAGGTACCCCCGAAAGTCGGCGGAAAAAGTAATTGACGACCCAGTCAGACATTCTGTAGTCATGAGACTGCCAAGCTTGCGATAAAAGTCGACGTGTGTCTCCTGCGATCTGCCTGGCTACTGTAACCTCGAAGCCCCCACTGACACTAAGCGAATTCGGGTGATCCTCTGGATTCCACCCCTCGGCGCTGACAAGCAATGAATCAGCACTTTTCGTTCGGAACCCATGCGCGCCGGGTTGCTTAGCAGAGCTTAGCATATGCCCTAATGGTCGAAGGATGACATGCTTGTCTCGTGCCGCAGAGTTGGTGGTGATCATGACGAGCTCGATCTAATTTTCATCTCGCCATTACGTCAATGGCGTTTTTGAGGCCGCATTGGCCATAAAAGCGAAGACCAAGCAAAAAAGAAGAAAAGAACACTATGCTTGTTTGGCCCTGGTGTACGAGATGTCCCAAACTCACAAGCCCTCGTCTCGGCAAGAGACGGAGTGGGGGAAAAGCTTGTGGGGAAGATCCAACCTTTTTGGGCAGATCAAGTGGGGGAAAGTCGGGGACTAAAAGAACGCGCACCTGCCGCCAATCGTCATTTGAATGCTTCGTCTTGTTGTACCCAACGAATGCGATCCATTGGTCAATGAAATTGCCAGTTCCTGATTCTGCGCCAATAGAACAGCTTGGTTCTGCTGAGCAAGACAATCTGACCTCTGCCCCTCAAGTCCGAATCCTACCCATGGCCCCATTGACTCTTGTCGGGGGAATTCATTTCCTTCCAGGAAGGAGACTTTCGATTCTTCGAAGCAGCATCTTCCGCGCTAGTCTTCCGACATTTGACGGGCAGACTCATGTAGCAAAGATCGACATGAACGAACGTGTCGAAGTCCACTCGAATAATTGTCTGACCAGCCGCTATATTGATCCGAAGAGCAATGGTGTAGCTACCGACCAAGCAATTTGGCATAGAGCGGTCCGGATAAAAGAAACGGTCGTAGCGAAAATAAGACACGCGACAGCCGAGGTAGTGACGACATCGACGATGGTCGGGTTGATTTCTTTTCTGATCGTGAGAATCGACAGATGATAATTGTTACCTGCATGAGAATTGGCCCCATGCTGCGGTCGCTAGCATTAAAATGATACGGTTCAAGTAATGATCACCGCATTAAGCAGGTATCAAATGTCCGGAGGGGGAAGAGGTCCGCGCCGTCTCAGGCATCAGTATCCATGTCCTGCTCAGTGGACGGAAAGCACGATAGCTTTTCTGGGCTAACACGGACCGAGTGGGTGCATCATCCTCTACGTCTGAAGAAAACTCATACAACGGGGTGTTGCGGTGAGGCCATCGGCCTTCATCCGACTTGTTTCCGAGACTCGGGTCGAATTTTGAAGTTGACTGACTGGTTGAGATCTCGACGGAGACGGCCCGAGGGTTGAAACCGACTGCACACGGTCGGGCTTGGCTGCAACAAAGATTCGGGATGGAACAACGGAACGGGGATTCGATTGTTGAGAATGTCGACGCTTCAGGAGATTCGACCCGCCTGACAGTGCGGAAATTTCCATTTCGCATACACCGTATCACGTAAGAGGTCACCGTTGCATGATCAGCCCATCATTGGCGGACACAAGTGGACTGAATAGAGCCGACATTGAGTAAGAGAAAGTCAAAGCTCGCCGGTTGTCCCAAGCGAAACCACAAAGTTCGATCGAATTATAATGGATGGTAAATATCTGGCCCCTCGCTAGCCAAGCTGCATTCCGGCGACATGAGTAATTAGTTGATTGGTGGTTGGTTGTTTAACAAGGGATGGCCGTGGGTTGACACCTGAAATGAGCCGAAAATTGAGGTAGCTTGCAGACCATGCTGTATCTGACGAGAATCTCGTGTGCGAGGTCGTGACTGTGCTGGAGCTTTCGTTGAACGGAAGACTCAGCAGGTCACATAGCTTTATATAAGATTGCTCTGCGCACGAGCTCGTATGTCCAGGGGTAGAGAGATCGGGAGCCCGATGCTTCTTATACCGACCAGCGGACCCGGCACCGGCGTGCCGAGTGCCAAAGGCCATCTCGGTCTGGATGCCGGAGCTCTCGGAGCTTCGAGTCACGAGGACACGCAAAAGAAGAAAGATATAGGATCGTGGAGTCCAGACTTGGGCCAATCAGGGGAATAAAGTACCCTCAGCTTGTGCGACGTGAAGAGGATGGAATGTGGACAGTACTGAAGGCAGGTTCAGAGAGTGCTTCACATGCAGACTCCCCAGTTCTAGAACCTCCATGCCAAAACTGCCAACCCAATCAAGGGCGACGCTTTCAGACATCAGCTCCTCTTTAGTCAATTGATACTCAGTTTCCGTCGCGGTGAAGGCTCATAAGATCCATTGTGGCTTTGCAGGTCAACAACTGCAACTAGGAAGCAATAAAAGTATGGCAGCCTACGGAGTAGAGTTGTAGCACTGAAGCCTGTTCCCTGCTGCATGATCCGTGCGTACCTGACAGCTGTAAACAAAAAAAGATCGGATTTGCGGCTTATGTAAGCAACAGCTTCGACTTTTTGTCTGACTCGGCATTGTTTCTCGCTTTCTTGGGGTTGTTCATTCAACTTGCCCATTCCTCGGCACATTCCTGTCTGACCTACGTCCAAAGACAATTGTGTAGCAGCAATACAATTGTTTATCGCATCCGCATGTACCCCATGCGTGACACCCTATCCCGTAACGTTATGCCGGTGGCACTACGAGCCGCTGCCCTTGCTTATCGACGGCAACGAGGGCTCTGTCCATTTTCCCCCTTAGGTATACCGCTATGCGCTGCTACGCCCCCTTGGACCCTCTTAAAGCAAGTGCTGTCTATCCCGGCAGGTCGGTTCGGAATTACCGGATATGATGTGAAGATATCATTCGGAATGTCGATTTCCGCGATCTATAGAATTTTGTGTCACCACTAGCAGCAAATAGACTCGGCGATCGCTGCACTGGACTATATGTGCCTCCCAGTCCTACGTGCCGTGCCGTGCTAATGCACCTCAATAGTTCATAACATAGACTTTCTTCGGAAGTCGCTTGATTTACCTTTAAATATTCTCTGATGTGACTGATGTATTACCGGAACGAAGCGAGAGGGTGGAATCAATGGCCATTAATGTCTCAGCGGGATACCCCTACTTCGGAGCTATTGTGTCTTCGTCCGCATCTCTATCGGCCTACTAGGACTCTCAGCGAGAGCGATGGAAACACGTAACAATCACTGATCTGGAAGATAAGACGCCGATTCCTCTGCTAGCAATATTCTGGCGACCTCAAATCCACGTGTGGACAGCGATGAGTGTGGCGCTTGTCATTTCTGAACACCTGGTCGATGATCCTGCCTGCCCTAGCTACTCGTATGCACCATCAATCTGCGCGTGATGGATGCTTTCCCTGTCCTTGGTATTCCGTCGCAAAATTATGACAAGCGCACAGACTTTCCATACCACCCTAAAAATCATGGAGCTATATTCTGCGGTTCTCATTCAACGGCAAAGTGCTCGGACGCAATTCTGTTGAGACAACAGCCGGAAAGCCTGTCTACCATTTAGACCTTTATCTTTTCATGGAACATCCAATGACTTCATGGGCTTCCTATGTCTGATCTATCCTTCATGTGTCTGATACGGTTTTGGTGCGGGGAAGAGGTATATCCGGGGCAAAGCCTGAGGCAGACAACTCTAGTCAACCAACCCATGTGGCCAACGACGTGGAGTACATATCCCACAAAATGAAAGAATATCATTGCATCGGATAACCTGCCATTTCAGACCATCCCTGAGAATCCGCAATCATCTCCGGCTTTTCTGAATGTCCCATGCATAGCAGCATGACTCGCTTCGGCGTCTTAGCTCAATCCTAGCGCGCAATGAAATCCTGGTAGCCTTTGCCGAAGGCATCGCTAGCTACCAGAATTTCCACTAGCTATCACAAGAGAGCATGACGACCTTCTTCTCACCATTCGGCCCCAACATGGCAACTAACGCCGTCGGGCAAGCTCTTTGCTTATACGTGGTCAGAGCCCCACCTGCGTTCAGACTTGGTTGCTTCCCGGGCGAGAGTCGTCATTTCCGGAGACGGCCGGCAAGAGTGTTTCTGGGGCACATGGGGGCCCATCTCCTCCCCCCCTCATTCTCCAAAGGGAGAAGAAAAATCTGTCCGGGGGCCCGAAGTAGTCGTCAGTTAGCTCTCCACAACTCCTGACTCCGGACTCCGAGACCAAAGTGGTTAGGATAATGTCTTTCCCGCTGCGGTCGTCATCCTCCGGACGATTCCTGTGAGCCACGAAGTTCACAGCAAACGACAGATTCTCACAACGTCTTGCCCATGTCATAACCAAAGACAGTTTGATAGAATTTGCTTCTTCCTGAGGGACATACTACCATGGCTTCGGGCTGGTGATAAGACCGGACCTGGGTGAGCGAGGGGCAAATGCTGCGCTGCCACGGGCTACAGATCGATGCTCGCTCAGATATACTTCCGATGCCAAGTATCGATTTGCGCTGTGCTGCAGACACTTGAAAAGCTTGGCCTCGCAAATTCAAGGCCTACACAGAAGTGACTTGTCGGGCGAACTTGTCTTGTTCCAATCCTATCGGATAAATATTCACCTCTGGAAAGTTATTGCATAAGGCTCGGCCATGCAACAGTTTGTGATGAGCGGAGACTGAGTATTCTTTACTCTCAAGTTCTCTCTCATGGTCCAAGCACAGCCATAGACGTCACAAATCTGCGCCCGCATTGTGTTGTATGCTGATCGATATTTCTCATACAATCTGAAAACAGACATCGTCTACAGAGAGTGTGCCTAACTTTCTCGGCACCTTTACAGCGGCGGTCAATGTGAAAGATGCTGGCAGCTGATAGACCATTTCGTTTACATGCAGCCAGCCACCAATTTCTGAGCCATCAGACCAGAAAGCTCTCGGTAAGACTTGAGTTATCTCATCCGCTGCACGACCCGGCTCAGTTGGGGACCAGGGCAAACCCACCTTTTTACTGCACTCCGATTGTGCCGTACTACAACTTGAGAGTTCCCGCTAGAGCCCCCCTCACCAGCCTCCGTTGCTCTGAGCTCCGACGCAGCCAGATACTTCTGATGTCGCGCTGACCGACATGCTCCCCATTCCTCCCGCAACATCGTCCGTATACATGCGTCCCTGGTCTCCTTGTAGCTCGGCACGCGACACTGACCCGGCGCAATGCAGCAACTTGTGCTCGACCTAGATCCTGAAGAAAACAAGCAAGAAAACCCCCAATATCACGTCTGTTTACTTTAGATTCTCATACCCGCCGCAGGAACAAGCTCCAAGCGAATAAAGTTGATATCTGGGGTCTGCTCGCCACTGCTTGTATTCAAGTCGGCCGGATGTGGTAATGTAGTGCAGCTCAGCATTCACATTCGTCCAAAGCGCGTTATGCCATCTAACAGCAAACTGAGCGTAGCTCAGGCCATGTCACTACGCGGCAATATTTTCATCGCTTAGCCGGCCGTTGGTGCGAAAAGAAAATCTCCTCCTGGCACCAGCTGTCGCCTCTCCGCCAAGACTCTCCGACTCTGGGATAGATAAGAAGCCTTTGTCGGATTAGAGGCGGCCCACGGGGAAGTATATTGACTCGGGAGGGGATGGCCTAACTTCGAGGCAGGGGAAACGGCCCACGATAGATGAGCAAGTTCGGGTGGTTCGGAAGGACATTTTCGAGGCCGTATCCGGACTGTCGTGAATAAGGTTGAACTCCCAAAGTCGGCAATTAGTGTTTCATTCAGGGGGTGCTGTCTGTGGTCCTGGTGAGATGAAGAACGACGGGAGCGGACCTAGGACGGGCATGAAGGACATAGCAAAGGATATACAGTACTGTGCGGTGCGGCATGAGCTTTATTCTATGATTATCCACAGTGAAAACACATTCCGTTCACTAAAATCGCCTAGAAATATTGTGAAATGAAGTTCAACAATGCTAGATAATCAATTTTACAAAGTAGAGTCAAGCCACTGTTCAGCTGTAAGTTATATATTCACCCGTTCGACCAGGCTCAATGTAAAACCCACTATGGCTAGCCGGATACGGTAGGTTGCGTATGACTTTTCCTAGCAGTCACATCATGGGTCTAGTGCATTCAATATTATGGTAAGACAGTTAAGCATAACAAAGATATCTGGCTAAGGTGGCGAGTTTCTCGTCGTGGGAGAGCGATTAAGGTGATCTTGGAGGACATGTCTGTATCTATTGAACAAACAACGCTCCCGCATAAGATTCTGAGGGTATCCCATTGCACCAGCCATTCTCCATATATAAAATTTCACTACATTCAGCCTTGAATGGAATGGTAATTTCCAGATGATCTTGGCCTATTGTGGATCAAATCTGATATTGCCGTTTTCGGCCACGGAGGATCGACTGGACCCTGGACCAACCCGTTCATTGAAGATACCCCAAGAATCTTAGTCTTACGTAGTAGCCCAAGAGTCGAGTTATCTGATCTCACTATGATCGTACTATGAAATGATTAGTCACTCACAAAATAAGGAACCTGGAAATTAAGTTGAGCTGTGGCTACGCCCCTATGGAGGCGTCAAGCAGACAATCTCGAAGGAGAGAAGCCGAGGATAAATGAGGATCGATAAGTCGGCCGAGAAGAGCCCGTCGCCCGAATTGCGCTGGCAAACCCGGGTCTTTTTGGCAGTGGGTTGACCAACGACCGCTCTGCAATTTCCCACCGGCCGGTGTCAGCGTTCAATAGGCTCGCTGGACATTATCCCGAGGATCATTTCCCCAGTCTGTCTCCTCCACAACTTAACTTGAAGTCTAGTCTATCTGTCCGCCGTGACGTTCTTCCATAACCCCGTGCTTCTCGGGCGAATCATTCCCTCGGCCTCCTTCACCTTTTCGTCCTGAATCCTTCTTTTTAACTTCCAATTCTTTGATCCGCCCACCACTTTCCATTCCTCAATCATCCATCTCTACCCCCGTTACCCCTCTCCCATCCCCTCATACCACATACCCATCGCCGCAATGACGAAACTCACCGGCGCTGATGTCGCCCAGCACAACTCCAAAGACTCGTGCTGGGTCATTGTCCACGGAAAGGCCTACGATGTGACGGAATTCCTGCCTGGTAAGATTTTTAATATTGCGTGTTTTCACCAACTTCCGTCGCCACTAACACCACCGCAGAACACCCCGGTGGCCAGAAGATCATTTTGAAGTATGCCGGCAAGGATGCGACCGAGGAGTTCGACCCCATCCACCCGCCCGACACACTGGACAAGTTCCTCGACCAGTCTAAGCACCTAGGCGAGGTCGACATGTCGACAGTCGAGCAAGAAGAGAAGGTCGCCGACCCGGAGGAGGAGGAACGCCAGGAGCGCATCAAGCGCATGCCCCCGCTGGCAGCGTGCTACAACCTGATGGACTTTGAGGCGGTTGCACGCAACGTGATGAAGAAGACGGCCTGGGCCTACTACTCCAGCGGTGCGGATGATGAAATTGTAAGCCTCCCTGCGCTAAACCCACACGCGAAAAATAAGGAGTGACGAGAAACATTCGCTAATTCGCCCCGAATCTCCAGACCATGCGCGAGAACCACTCCGCGTTCCACAAAATCTGGTTCCGCCCTCGGATCCTGGTGGATGTGGAGCACGTCGACTTCTCGACAACGATGCTGGGCACCAAGGTGTCGGCGCCGTTCTACGTGACGGCGACGGCGCTGGGCAAGCTGGGCCACCCGGAGGGGGAGGTGATCTTCACGCGGTCGGCGCACACGCACGACGTGATCCAGATGATCCCGACGCTGGCGTCGTGCTCGTTCGACGAGATCGTGGACGCGCGGCAGGGCGAGCAGGTGCAGTGGCTGCAGCTGTACGTGAACAAGGACCGGGCGATCACGAAGCGGATCGTGCAGCACGCGGAGGCGCGCGGGTGTAAGGGGCTGTTCATCACGGTGGATGCGCCGCAGCTGGGCCGGCGCGAGAAGGACATGCGGTCCAAGTTCTCGGACGTGGGGTCGAGCGTGCAGGCGTCGGGCGGCGACAGCGTGGACCGGTCGCAGGGCGCGGCGCGCGCCATCTCCTCGTTCATCGACCCCGCGCTCTCGTGGAAGGACATCCCCTGGTTCCAGTCCATCACGCGCATGCCCATCGTGCTCAAGGGCGTGCAGTGCGTCGAGGACGTGCTCCGCGCCGTCGAGGCCGGCGTCCAGGGCGTCGTCCTCTCCAACCACGGCGGCCGCCAGCTCGAGTTCGCCCCCTCCGCCGTCGAGCTCCTCGCCGAGGTCATGCCCGCCCTGCGCCAGCGCGGCTGGCAGGATCGCATCGAGGTCTACGTCGACGGCGGCATCCGTCGCGCCACCGACATGCTCAAGGCCCTCTGCCTCGGCGCCAAGGGCGTCGGCATCGGCCGCCCCTTCCTCTTCGCCATGTCCGCCTACGGCCAGCCCGGCGTCGAGCGCGCCATGCAGCTGCTCAAGGACGAGATGGAGATGAACATGCGTCTGATCGGCGCCAACAAGATCGAGGACCTGAACCCCAGTCTGCTGGATGTTCGTGGCCTGGTCGGCGGCCACAATGCCGTCGTGCCTTCCGATACGCTTTCCGCTGGGGCGTATGATCCTCTCGTCGCGCCGCGGTTCAGTGAGAAGGCCAAGTTGTAGGGCTCCTTCTCTTCTGGTTCAACTCTGCTTTCTCACCTCGGTTTTCGTGACGGCCTGTCTCTGCCTCTTTTTATATACATGTTCCTTTTATACCCTGTTGTTAGACTTTCATCCGATCGGATTATAAAACATATGGCCGGATGACCTTCCTGCCTATGCATATATACAATATATGATGACATCTCTGGATCTTGTTCTGAGTCTGTTGTAGCAAATAGTATAGTCACGGATCTGTCCATCGGAGTAATTCATCTGTAAATAGTGATATTAACGCCTAATGCACCCGATGCAGCGCTTTTGTTGAAAAACAATGACTGGCAAGTAGCAGATACGCTGGCACCCATCCTGTTCATGACCATGACCACTCACTGCTCCTGTAAACCGAACCGCCCCCCCCCCCCCGCTGGCTGCCTGCCATATGCAAACAAACAAAATTATATACAGTCCCGATATCAGCCCCAATCCCAACCCCCGTATGATCCATCTCCCATCTCACCTAGAATCTTCCCGAATCACAACACACAACATGGAGTCCTCCGTCAACTCGCCCCCGCCGCCCCCCCACCCAAGAAACCGCCTCACAGAACCACAACCTGCGGTTTATTCCTCAACACCCCTTCATCGCGATACATGGCCGCCGCGTTGACCATCCACCCGCAGCCGGCATTCTCGCCGCCCCAGACCTTCGCCCAGACGATCCCCAGCACACCGTAGACGACCACGCGCGCGGCGTCCACCCAGCCCGCCACATCCAGCAGATCCCGGATCCCGCCGGTGACGATGGCCCGGAAGCGCGACAGCCGGGCGCGCGGGCGGCGGGCCGCGCAGAGGCGCTCCCACGCGCGCTGCGCCTCGTCGTAGTAGCAGCGCTCCAGGCCGTAGGCGGCGTGGATGTGACCGAACACGTGCAGCGCGGGGCGCACGCGCCACGCCTCGGCCAGGAGGGCGGGGCACCCCGTCGAGAAGATCGGGGAGAGGTCCAGGTGCGCGGCTGGCGGGGTGTGGGTGATCAGGATGTCGGTGGAGGTCGGCACGGTGCCGGCCCAGGCGTCGTGTTGCGGGGGGTAGGTGAAGGCGTGTTCGGGGCCGAGGGGCGCGATGGCCGGGATTTGCGGGCCGCCGTAGAGGGTTAGCGTGCGTGGGCGGTGGTTGTTATTGTGGGAGTGGTGGTGGTGGAGGAGGGGGGTGGTTTGGTTTGTGGTTGATGCTGATGATGATGATGGTGGTAACGGAGGGGAGGGAGAGGTGGCGGGGAAGGTTAGGGTGATTGAGCTGTGTTGGAGGTAGTGGATGTCGCCCCAGTCGATGCGGTCGAGGTCGTCGGAGGGGAGGGAGCGGAGGGAGGCGGTCGAGGAGGAGACGGTCGCGAACGAGGATGTCGTCGATGCGTCGTCGCGGTCTTCCGCGCGGCGCGACCGCACGTCGAAGTAACTGTCGTGATTGCCGCAGATGACGACTTTATGGGCATGCGGCAGACGGCGCAGCCAGTTCACGGCTTGTTGGATCTCGCGCACCGAGCCGTCGTTGCTCAGGTCCCCGGCGTGGATGAGGAGGTCGCCATCGGGGATGTCGGCCCATTCCAGTGTGTGCGTGTCGGAGATGCAGACGACGCGGATCGGACGAGCGTTCGGGGGTGGTAGTCGTGGTGGTCCGCGGAGTCGATTGAGGAGGTGGTGCACGGGGTAGATGAAGGCGGCTAGAGGAGAGAAGATGATGTAGTCGGTAAATGGGCGGGGGTGGAAGGGGGAGGACATGGTTGGAGGTAGATGAGGGAGCGTAGGTGGGTAGATTGAGTCAAGATGAGGTGCATTCAAGGTGAGTACATGAGTAAGTTGAGTTGACTAGTCCATGGCTGTTTTTGTCTCAGCCAGTTCTGCAAGTAATTGTGTAATCGGATGGAGTCGTTGGGAGCTTGGGCGGTTTCCATGTGCTTGGCCGGCCTGAGGCTTCAATGACCTGACTGAGTCGATGCCTGCGGTTCCTCGGCCTACGTAACCTCAGGCTCAGGCCGAGTCTTTGCGGAGGTGGGGGAATTGGTTGGCCTCGTGCCCGCCATGATTGGCTCTGCCTTGATTTTCCCCAGTGCAACCCGTGATGCCTCAGGATTCAGGTTTCCTGGTACTCCGTACTTTCTATAATACGGTGCATAAGAGATCCTAGCGGCCTCCCTTGTCCTTGTCGAGCACCGTTTCATGCACCTGGCTGAGACAGCACACATACAATGCTAGACAGTCTGGGGCTGAATGAGTGATTCAGAGCACAATCATATCTCAGACATGTACCCGCATGGGCCGATCCGTTAGTTGAATCATAGACTCCGCCAGCATTGAGTGACATCAAGCCTAGATCGATCGGGTGCCAACGGGCGGGATCCTCCGATATGGCTGGGGAGGTGTTAGATTATATCTTGTGTAACAGCCTGGTAGCATGTAGTAGGCCTGTATATTGTATGGAACAAGTCCTAGCGGGAAGGATGGTTGTGTGGATGGACATTTTGTGGTAGATTCGTACTGTAGAACCCCGGATTCAAAGCTAGAAGCTTTTCTCTGCATGCAACACGAACAAGACCAATCAATATCTCACCACATACTTATTAATCAAGTCGATTATCGTACTCTGTTTGACTCCTCCTGGATCCAGCTTATGAGTATAAACAGACTAAGTTCCACAGTACATAGTAAGTTAATGTCTGTGCCCCTCTTCTCCCGCAACGCCATCTATAGATACGACAACTGCCACGCCGACAGCGCATGTTCTAGAAATTCATATACTGTATAAGCAAGCAGGTTGGCTTCTCTCCTGGGATCTGAACATGATATGATCTCTTCTTCACAATGGACTGATTTCTTGCCCATTCAGGCCCAACTGAGAAAATCTATTGATTTGCCACCTCAATGCAAATAGTGGTTGTGAGCCTTTAACACTGTGTTGCTTCGTGTGCGTGCTCTCTCTCTCTCTCGCCCTTTCTCTCGTCCTCACAACTTAACTACTCCCTCCCGCACCTACGCTTGCGGACATTCCTGGTTGATCTCTACCATCGGCACTCCGTTTTTCCTGTCTATTGTTCGCTTCTTCAGTTTTGTTTCTCCCTTGCTTGAAGCGCATTATTCCCCGAGAAGGTCTAGAGTTGTGGAAACCAGGCTCACATCGGATGGTGGTTGGTGGTTGTTGCATCGATCCGTCTATATCGTTTGCGTCATAACTCCGGTGCATCATCCCTCGTCTTTCTCCAAGTACTCTTCGTCTGGAGCAATATTAGGCTTTGATTTCCAGGTTCATGCATTGCATGCTGCACTATCTCATCGCCTGGTTGAAGAAATTCCTTGCGACTAATCTGGTTCATAGACTGTGAAGTGCAAGTGCGCCTTGTTGAACCATCGATTTCTTACAGTTCATATTTTTCTACAACCCATTGCGGGCGCTGCTGAACCCGAACCCAAACCAAAAGACGACCCCTCAGATTCGCAGAACCCAACACTCTCTCTACCCAGTAAGTTCCTGAGTTACCTCTTTCTTACCTACCTTACCTACTACTACCCTACTGTATCCTCTCCGCCCGCCTGCCGCTGCCGGCCACACCCACCAACTACAGGTACTGAATGGACTGACTGACTGACTGGACTTCGCGCTACCAAGTCGAACGCCCGCCATCCACCCCCCCCAACCTCCGGCCTATCTATCTTTTCTCTTTGCCCCCCTCCCCTCCTCTTCCTCCTCCCCTCCCCAAAAACTTTCGCCTCCGTCATTTTCAAACCCCCCCCGATATCCACCCCGTCGTTACTCATTCTTTTGTAACATCACCATGGACGGGGTTGAAATCACCAAAGCCGTTATCAATAAGGGAAAGCAGATGGCTAGTGTCGCTGCGGCCGCTGCTAATGGCAATGGCGGTAAGAAGAGAAGAAAAGGGACCGACTTAAAGCCGATCGTCACCAACGAACCCGGTGCGCCTGTCGACCAAACGACTACCACTACTGAGGGGTATGGTCTTTCGCCCGTCTTCCCCCCCCCCCCATATTCTCCATCGTGTCCATGAGTTCGGGTCCATCCCATCTGATTGCCTAATTTCTTGTTTTTCTGCTCCGCCCACTTTCCCAGCCCGCTTTTTCTTCTCCTAAAATCCTCTAACCGCCATGTCTGGCAGGAATCCCGCATACGGCGCCCCGCCATCGCGCTCATCCTCCTCATCCTCCGGCGAAGAACTGGAGACCACCGCTGAGGAGGAAGACTCGGAAGATTACTGCAAGGGCGGTTACCATCCGGTCAGCGTCGGAGAAACCTACAACAATGGTCGATACGTGGTCGTGCGCAAGCTCGGGTGGGGTCACTTTTCGACAGTCTGGCTGTCCCGCGATACGACGACCGGCAAGCACGTCGCCCTGAAGGTCGTTCGCTCCGCCGCTCATTATACCGAAACCGCTATCGACGAGATCAAGCTGCTGAATCGCATCGTCCAAGCGAAGCCATCCCACCCTGGTCGCAAACATGTGGTCAGTCTGCTCGACTCTTTCGAGCATAAGGGCCCCAATGGTGTCCACGTCTGCATGGTATTTGAAGTGCTGGGAGAAAACTTGCTTGGATTGATCAAGCGATGGAATCATCGCGGCATTCCTATGCCGCTCGTCAAACAGATTACGAAGCAAGTGCTGCTGGGTCTGGACTACTTGCACCGGGAATGTGGAATCATTCACACCGATCTGAAGCCGGAGAACGTGCTGATCGAGATCGGCGACGTGGAGCAGATCGTGAAAACGTACGTTAAGGAGGAGGCCAAGAAGGAGCAGAAGGAGGACAACCGCAACGGCCGGCGGCGGCGCCGCACCCTGATCACTGGAAGCCAACCGCTGCCCAGTCCCCTCAACACGAGTTTCGAGTTTAAACACAGTTCACAAAATTCCCACAGCAGTCTCAGCCAGATGATGAACGAGTCGTCAGGTATGTTCAAGAAAAGATTTCTGGGCCTCAGAAATCGCTAATCGCAAGTGACAGAGGCTAATTCGGGGGCTGCGTCCATGAAAGAGTTATTAGGCATCAAGGATGAAGATGAGAAACAGAAACAAAGAGAAAAGACTGCGTATGTCTACTCCCGATGGAATGAAGGTCAAAGATTATGTACTCATTGGTGTTAGTGATCTCTTGGAACGAGAGGTATCGGGCATCTCGCTCGACAAGTCTTCCACCCCGAGTGATGAGCTGGATTGTGATATCATTTCCGTGAAGATTGCCGATCTGGGCAATGCGTGCTGGGTTGGGCATCATTTCACCAATGACATCCAGACGCGACAATACCGTTCGCCTGAGGTCATTCTAGGATCCAAGTGGGGAGCTAGTACGGATATTTGGAGTATGGCATGCATGGTGAGTTGCAGGTACATCCCGACTACTGCGTCTGTCCTCTGACCGTGCAACAGGTCTTCGAATTAATCACAGGCGACTACTTGTTCGACCCGCAATCAGGCACTAAGTACGGCAAAGATGACGACCATATCGCACAAATTATCGAGCTGTTGGGCCCGTTCCCCAAGTCTCTCTGCCTATCGGGGAAGTGGTCCCAGGAAATCTTCAACCGCAAGGGAGAGTTGCGCAACATTCACCGCTTGCGCCACTGGTCACTTCCTGACGTGCTACGGGAGAAGTATCACTTCAGCGTGGAGGAGAGCTTGCGCATCAGCGAGTTCCTCCTTCCGATGCTCGAAGTCTCTCCCGAAAGACGAGCCAACGCTGGCGGTATGGCTGCCCATGAATGGATGAAGGACACGCTCGGCATGGAGGCGGTAGACCTGGGCATACTCCCTGGGAGTCGAGGCGAGGGGATTGACGGATGGGCGACCGAGGTCAAACGGAGATAAAGGCAAGCGGAAAAGACCCACGAAAAGCAAGTTAGGAATGAGAGAGGACCCGTGATATCTGTGTGCATCGCGGAGTCCGGCGACGAGTTTCCTTTGGTATGATTTCGAGAGGCGGATCTTTTATATTCTATATTTTTTGGTTCCTTACTGGCCCGTTTGACTGGATGTTTATGATTGCCCTACACATGATTGATTGCATGGTCGTCTACTGTGCCGGTCCCCTCCACAGACCCTCTTTACACTTTATTTTCTTCGCTTCAAATATTCTACCCTCATAGAAGTCCATCCCGCTCTCACACTATGAAAGTCTATTTGACCGACGACTTCGTTGCTACTAGGACTGATTGCCATACTCTTACGAGATATTGCTCTATCTGAGACAGACCTACAGTACATCTATATCCCGAAGGCAGTAAGAGTAGCAGCGAAAGAACATCAGACAAACAACTCATTTCCATTTCTATTTCGATCACCATCACTACGTACCTCTCCCTCCCCCTCCCCCTCGCCCTCCCCATCTCCATCCGACTCCAACCCTTCCTCACTCGGCAACACATCCGGAAACCACCCAAACCGCCCAAAATCCACATAGTACTCCCCCATACTATCCACCTCCACCTCCACGCCCTCCGCTCGCAGCACTTCAGCCTGCCGCTCTGCACTTCCTGGCCCTCTGTCCGCACCAAACAAAATCAGCAAGGAAAACACTTCGCTTCGAGAACCCACCTTAAGCCCAGAGACAAGTGTGGTTCAAGGGAAGACATACCGATGCGAAATCATCCCCTTGGAATTAATCACGCGCTGCCACGGGACGTTCCCGGAGTGAAAGAATGGGGTTGCGGCGGGCTCTTCTTCGCTATCTGCCTCTGCTTCTACAACTGTCTCTGTCTCGGGATTCGACGGCGCAGAGGGCAGATGTTTGAGGCTTACGCCGACTTGGCGGGGGCGTTTAGCTGATTTTCATTACTGGAGTTAGTTGGGTGATCTACAGCCCTGGGGGAGCCAAGGATAAAGGCTCGTTAAGGATATGAAGGGGGCTAGAAACGGCAGCTAGCACTGCATGCAGTGATACGTACGATATCCCAGGAGGCAGGCGATATGGCCGTAAGAGGTTACTCGGCCGCGGGGGATTTCTTGGATCGCTTCGTAGACGGCGTTGATCCACCATTCGGCTTCGTCGGAGCGGGGCATTTCTTTTCTTGTGTGGGTGTATGTGTATATGGTGTGAGGTTGGCGATGGCTGGAGGTGTTTGAGCTCTATGGTGAAGGGGGCGGAGGAGGGGTTTGCGGATTGATTATGACTGACGGCTGCATTGATAGATCTAGATGCATTGTAAGTTATGGGTGGAGGAGGGTGAGAAGTATGGTATTGTACTTTACGGGGGCGCAATAGATTACCGGCAGAACTCATCCTCCGAGCTGCCAGTTTAGACTGGGCTGGGCAGCTTTCCCGAGTTTACGAGGTCGGTGCTTTACACTGCTCTTTTGAGTTTCTGAACACTACCTTGCTCTACCTTTTCTTTTCTCTCTATTCACGTCTATACACATCCACTACTTGTTTCTACAATCGATCTACGTTTTCGAGACCTACCTTCCGCAAAATAAAACACACTACAATGCCCTCCTCCTCGCTAGCAGACTACCTCGCCAAAAACTACCTGACCGCCGACCCGGCCCCGACCGACCGCCCCAAGAAGAAACGCAAGAAGACCACCAAAGCCGAAGGATCCGGCCTCATCATCGCCGATGACGATCCGCCGGATCTCCGCGCCGCCTCTGGCGCCCGGGATCTAGACGATGACGAATATAACCCAGCGATCGTGTCGGGCGCACGCAGCGGGGGTGCCGGCGGCGAGTTCCGGCGGGCGAAGAAATCTGGGTGGAAGACGATTGGCAGCGCGGATGCGGATGCGGAGAGGGATGCGGCGGATGCGATATTGGCGTCTGCGGCGGCGGAACGGAAGGCCGGGCGTGGGGGGGATGACGGCGAGGATGAGGACGACGCGCCGGTTGTTGCAGATGAGGATGAAGACGATTACGACGGGATGAGGATGGAGTCCGGCGCGCGAGCGGGACTGCAGACGGCGGCGGATACAGCGGCCATGGTGGCGGCGCAGGAGCGGAGGAAGAAGCTGGAGGCGGCCCGGTACAAGGGCAGCGCCGCGGCCGCTGGGGAGCAGGCGCAGGAGACGATCTACCGTGATGCCTCGGGGCGCATCATCAATGTGGCGCTGAAGCGGGCGGAGGCGCGCCGGGCGGAGGAGGAGAAGAAGCTCAAGGAGGAAGAGGCGCGCGAGGCGCTCATGGGCGATGTGCAGCGGCAGCAGCGGGAGGAGAGGCGGCAGCAGCTACAGGAGGCCAAGGCGATGCCGCTGGCGCGCACCGCCGAGGACGACGAGCTGAACGACGAGCTCAAGGCGCGCCAGCGCTGGAATGACCCCGCCGCGCAGTTCTTGACCAAGACCGCCGGGCCCGGTACCAGTGTGACGGGCAAGCCCTTGTATAAGGGGGCGTTCCAGCCGAATCGCTATGGAATCCGGCCGGGCCATCGGTGGGATGGTGTGGATCGGAGTAACGGGTTCGAGAAGGAGTGGTTTGCGGCTAGGAATCGGAAGGGGAGGTTGGAGGCGTTGGATTACGAATGGCAGATGGATGAGTAACTGCTTTTTTGGAGAGTGGTGTGTATTGCGTGTGTGGTTTAGATACCTATGACTCTGCTATGACTTCTGTTACACGGATCCAGTGCTGGACACTGGCCATGATGACATTGATAATTACCGGATTTGGACCCCGACGTGATTTGCAGTGGGAAGAGTTTCCGTGCATACTCCTGGCGCTTCGCAGTTATGAGTATATGAGTATATGACTTATAATCACATCCAGTTCGGTTCGATGGAAAGTATCTCCGTCGCAGATTGGCGGTGAGTGGAGGAATTGCAAACCCGCCAGTTGACTTGACATACTCGCTGATGTCATGGCTGTGCCGGCACCGCCATGACCTCCAAGCCTCCCACTCTCTTTCTTACTCCTTCCCCAGCCATCAACTTGACGATCAGCCATCGAGTCACCGGCCGCGCTAACGGAATTCCGATCAGCGACAGGGAAGACGTGCAGCTGATGACTCGCTTGATGCGCTTGATGGGATCACGTTCACCAGGACTGTGGCTGACAAGCGTCATCACCTGGGTTTCAGTCATTCCCCGTGAGCACGGTGGTTTCCCTCATTCGTCCACCGCAAAGCCTGGACTGGCATATACTACTGTACATACTGTACCTATACTGTGAATCCTTGCGTGGAGAACAACAAGCGACAATCATTCATCATGCCATGCCTCAGCAAGTAAACATTCAGATAAGCCAACGTGCCTGGATTTAGTGGATCGGATTGACAACCCATCTTTGGTTCCAAACGTCTCAAAAATCTCAATAGTTCCTTTAACCTCGGGATAAGGAACAATGGAGGGGAAGATAAACCATGGTTGGGGCAGTGGCGCTCGGGGGATCGGCAAACTGCGATAACGAACAATCCAGGAGAGGCTGGCCACTCATCCTCGCTCACTTTATCCCCCATGGTCTTCCCGATAACGATCTTGTCTTGCCTCCAAAAAGTAAAAACCCTTTGGGAAGATGGTCAATAAGCAGGCTGCCAAGTGCTTGTTCATAAATAGAAAGAGAAAGAATGAATGATATCCAACAGATGACCTATCATCCGGCCACCAGCTCCCCATCTTTGTCCTGTACCCCGTGCTACCCATTTTCGTATCTGACTTATTGCGACGAACTAACTACGAAGGTACCGATAGTAGTAACCCTTCAGGAGGCTATTGAGAGCATAACCCTCCTCCATCCCCCATCCCTCATTTCAGGGAATGACTACTAGCCCATCCCCTCCTCACAAGGTTGTCACTTCCTTCTCTACTTTCCTTTCGCCTCCATCTCACTTGCAGTGAGGTTTGTCCCCCTTGGATTGCGCCATTTGCCGCCTTGACCAATATCCGGATCGCTGATGACTGGGAACCAGCCGGGGTTCTTTATGACTCAGACCAAGAACGCCTTGTAGCCACGGTCATTGTTTATCGGACTTCTTTGGTTCGTGGTTCATTACTCAGACTCAGGACCCTTCCTTCTCGCGCCTTACGCCGGCCAGCCTTGTTTCCCTGGCTTTATATCCCTTCACTCCTCAACCCCCATCACTTGGAGCTCGTCCAGGCAACCACCACTCATTCACTCTCCGAAGCGTGTACTACACGTCTCCTCAGACCCAGTCACAGCTCGTTCACCATACCACATCGCTTGACAGACAGCGTGTAACTCCGTTGACCGTCATGTCCGAATCCCTGCTTGATATGCGTCGGGCGGATAAGGAGGCGAAGCGGGCCCACGACCACAAGGCGAAATGGGCTTACGGTAGTCGACGTGCTCGTACTGTTCCTGACCCCCTCTCGTCCGCCCTTCCTTCCACTCGCCCAGCGATGCCGATCACCCATAGCATGAAGTAAGGCCCCAAGCTCCCGTGGTTGCCTAGTCTATTGCAAATCTGACCGAGGTGGGATAGCTTCACACGTGCCCTGCGGTTCGATCGCGAGAGAGAGTCCAACCATCTGGCCAGCGATGCGAAGATAGCCCTTCGCGCCGATGTCCGGGAGGCCCTCGAGAGTGGTCCGTCCGACTCTTCCGGTGATGATGTCGCCGCCCCGGGATCAGTCACTCGAATCCAAGAGGAGCTCGAGGACAAGGATGGCTCTTTGCACGACTATGACGTTTCGGGGCAGACTATACTCTCAGACGCTGTGAGCAAGGCGGTTGAGAAGTTTGAGATCAAGGAGACAGAGAAGATCATCAAGACGTATGAGATAATCTCTCGCGAGAGCGAGACCGCTATCGGTTATCTGGCGGATGATGATGACTTCGAACTGGTGGACCACGTCCATCCTTGAGTCCTGGTCTTACACTCTCTTACTGTTTTTCTAGCGTCATGATCTTTTCGGATTGGAGTTGGGAATCAACAACTCAGGTGTATTCTTTTTGCGCTGAACTTTTGGTTGATTGTATCATCATCATTCATGCATCATGTCTCCGTGCTTGGGATTCACTCCTCTTAATGGGCCTGCTGGGGCAAGCCTGAGGTCTTTTTTTTGTTTTATATCAGCACATTGTTATTATCATCAGGCTCGGTCCTAGCTTATTAGTTTAGTCTGGCTTTAGACAGTACATTAGAGCACGTATATATTTTTGATTGTCTTGATGGCTTGAATTAGATGGATGTATAGAGAGTAGAACGGAGTGCGGGGAAGGTTTAGTTGCAGCACGGTCGCGATTAACCCACCCATTGCAGGGGCTGGAGGCGAGTAAGTGGAGGCTTCCCGCATTGTCGCTATGATCGCCTGCAATACAGTTGTCTAATTTGATTGACATACATAGCATTATAGATAAGTAATGAGATCATACCTTGACTGGCAAGGGATCGAGACCATAGTAGAAGAAATGTAAGGTGATGGCAGTCAGTAGCTCAAGCCCACCCGACCGCGCTCCTGCAGACGTGCATATGCAATCACCACGACGTCGAAATTCGCCCAACAATCTCTTGGTATGCAGCAGCTTGTCAACCACGAAGCACATTTGTCAAGTTGACATCCATGTAGTTATCTAGACTTATCATAAAGAGAAACACGATTCCCCATTGTCCGGGCCTAAGGCGGGTAGTCGCCACCAAGCGTTGCTCGGCGGAGAGTCTGGATTGTTTACCAAAACAAAAAAAGGAACCAGGAATCGGAAAAAAGTCCATCTGCATCGGCCGCCCTCCGACCCTCTCAACCCCTTCACCGTCCTCAAACAACCCCAACTTATATTCTCACCACCACCTGCCTTCCTCTTTCTTGATACTGATTATCACTTTCTCTCTCCGACAAGATGGAGCCGCGAACGGCGGAAAGTCCGATGGACTTCGAGTGGCAGTCCAAACCCCCCGGAGATGTGACGTCGCCCTTTTACCAGGTGGGCATGAAGCATGACAACCAGAGGAAACGTGCGTCTATCAACTGTGATCGTTCATGTTAACTGCATGGAGAAAGCTTGCTAAAAGCTAATTATGCCAGTAGGCCCTCACAGTATTTTCGATTCCCCTGGAAAGAAGTCCCTACCTGCCCTCCGAGAGCCGAATTCGCAACCCTACCTCTTTTCTCAACCTAGAACCCAGCAGCCACCGGGCACACCTAAGCCCGCCTTCAGCCACGCAGCTTTCATGACCCCTCGCAAATTCGATGTCGACTTCTCATCCGGCGCCGAAAACATGTCCTCCCCTGAGCATGCGGACAACGAAGACACCCCCGATCAACCTACGAAGTCAGGACACCGCAACTCGTTGTACAGCATGTATGGTCGGTTTGCACCTAGCCCTGGCCGCGGAGAAATCCCTCGCGTGAGCCACTACTCGAACGCACTGGCGCGACGTGTTCAGAAGAGACGTCGCAGGGACAAGGCGCTAGATGTACAGTTGAGGAAGGAGGATAGTGATGATGAGAGTGATAACCCGGACGCAGGACCCCTGAAGAGTACAAAGACACGGCAGGACCAAACACAGCCTGAAGGCCAATCTGGATCGCGTTTGGCCTCGTTTTCGGATTTCTTCGCCCTGCTGGAAGCGCACCCGAATATCCCGAGCATTCTCTCGTGGTGGGCGCAGTTGGTGGTGAACCTTTCGTTATTCTCGCTTGCCGTCTACGTGGTTTTTGGCTTCGTTTCTGCTATTCGCGCTGAATTTGATCAGGCGGCGGAGGAGGTGTCGGATACTATTCTGGCGGAGATGGCGGCGTGTGCGAAGAGCTATGTTGACAATCGGTGCGCCGGCGGCGATCGCCTTCCAGCGCTGGAGACCGTGTGTGAGAACTGGGAACGATGCATGAATCGGGACCCGGCCAAGGTTGGCCGTGCCAAAGTGTCGGCGCATACGATGGCAGTGATCATCAACAGCTTCATTGATCCGATCAGTTGGAAAGCGATTGTATGGATCCACCTACACCCTTGCCTGGCTACACAGCTAACATCATCTCAGTTGTTCTTCCTAGCTACTATTTCGACCGTCACCGTCGTCAGCAACTGGTCCTTCCGATCCTTCCGCAACCGCTACAACCAACATGATTACTCTCATCCCGCCCCAGCTTTCACAAGACAGGCCTCCGGTCAGCATCATCCGCCGATCGCTCAATCGCAATACTCCTACCAGCATGACCCAGGTTACGGGTACATGGGCCCTCAGGGTCAGGGGTCAGTCTCCGGATTTGAAAAACAAGATGCACCCCTGCTTCTGGAAAAACCGCAAGGAAAGGGATTTGCGACCGAACGGGGCCGTAGCCGGGATTCCCGCCTACGCACTCCAAGTCCAGTCAAGCGATTGCTGTGAGCTGTTTATTAGCCTATCATCCTCAATTTCTCCATGGTGGTCTTGTGTGGTTGTATCTTTGGTTCATTTCTTAATTGCATCTGCCGGTGACAACGGAGTTTTTAAGTTGTTATCGATAGGAAAACAATATGGTCAGGTGTTCAGTGCATGTGTCCCGGCTGGGCTTGGAGTTTGGATAAGGGTATTGTGTACATATCCGATTTGTGTTTGAACCATGATCCAAATATAATTTGTATCTTCAGAAAGTGGTGAATAAATGCTCAGGTTGTGGTCATTGACTGGGATGTTGCACACATACTTAGTACCTGATGACAGCTGTATGACGTCAATGTTCAAGCCACCAGCAGCTTCGCCGGTGAAGTGAATTGGTATGAGCACTTGCATCAACCACCCAGCATCCAGCTTTCTTTCACACTCGGGAGATCGCCGTGACATTTGATCCAATTTCAAGTAGTGATTGGATGGGTACAGCTCCCAGGGATGTTGCCGAGACATAAGCTGATGGCAGCTCGCAAGGATAATTGAGGGCCAAAGTCCGTGGCTCCGTGCCTTCATCCTGACGTATTGCATACTACATCTGTACATCAAACTATATCAGCCTTATCTACTTTCCTATCTACTTTTGACATCGTTTCACCACCGTTCAGATCGGTTTGCCGAGAACAACAGTATCACATAGCACACCTCTACGATATCTCACCTATCTCAATCCACCCAGTCGTGTGTCCACCATGGCGCGCAGAGAAAGCACCAGGCAAAACCTCTTCGTCGTCTCCAACCGTCTCCCCCTGTCGGTCAAGAAGGCTGATGACGGCTCCTACCAGTCCTCCCTGTCGGGCGGCGGCCTAGTCACCTCGCTGTCGGGTCTCACTAAAACCACCCAATTCAGCTGGTTTGGCTGGCCAGGCCTCGACGTCGCCGAAGAGAAGGACCGGGAGTCGCTTCGCAAGAGCTTAGACGAACACAACGCGATTCCGATCTTCCTAGACAATGAGTTGGCGCACGATCACTACAACAACTTCTCCAGTAGGCAGCACTTTTTACTCCTGTGTCGCTTTCCTATTTGAACCCAAAGTCAAGCTAACCCGTCCTACAGACTCAATCCTCTGGCCTAGTCTACACTACCAATCCGGTGTCTCCTTCGAAGAAGGCCCCTGGGAGTCGTACAAACGCGTCAACGAGATCTTCGCCGACACGATCGCCGAGAAGGCCCTGCCAGGCACTCTGATTTGGGTCCACGACTATCATCTCATGCTTCTACCTCGGCTGCTGCGCGACCGGCTGAAGGACAAGAACTGCGCGATCGGGTTCTCCCTGCACACCCCCTTCCCTGCGGGCGATTGGTGGAGAAGTCTGCCGGTGCAGAAGGATCTGCTGGATGGGATGCTTGCAAGTGATGTGATCGGGTTCCATACGGAGGAGTACAAGCAGAACATGGTTCATTCTGCCGAGGCACTGTACGTTTCCTTTTCTGCTTCTTTACTCACTCCCTGCTTACTGGGAAATCACACCTTGAGCTACTGCTGACACTGTCTGTGGTGTGACAGGGGCGCGAAAACCGATACCCCGGGACAGATCGAGTACAGGGGTCGGAAGGTTGTGGTGGAGAAATTCATTGTCGGGATCGATCCGCAGAAGTTCGCGGACTCGCAAGCGAATGAAGATGTGCAGAAACGCATCAAGGAGCTGCAGGAGCGGTACAAGGGCATGAAGATCATTATCGGGGTGGATCGGTTGGACCACATCAAGGGACTTACGCAGAAGCTGAAGGCATATGACACGTTCCTGGACCAGCATCCGGAGCTCAGCAACAAGGTGGTGTTGATTCAAGTGGCCGTGCCAAGTCGCGAAGATGTCAAGGAGTATCAGGATCTGGAGACGGAGATCAGCACCATTGCGGGAAGGATCAATGGAAAGCACTGTGAGTTCTTTGTCGTCTTGGACTGCTTCAAGAATGTCTGGGGGCCTCAGCTAACCATCTCTTTCCTGCAGCAACGGCCGACGGATGTCCACTGATCTACATGCACCGATCGGTCAACTTCAGTGAGCTGACGGCATTGTACTCTGTCGCGGACGCGTGTTTGCTCACCTCTACGCGCGATGGCATGAACTTGGTTTCGTTCGAATACGTGGCGTGCCAGGCGCAACGGCACGGTGTGCTGGTCCTGTCCGAGTTTGCGGGAGCGGCGTCGTTCATGAAAGAGGGCTGTCTGACCTTCCACCCGGCCAACATGGCGGAAATGGTCGATGTCCTTTACAAGGCTGTGACCATGGGCGATGAGGACCGAGAGAAGAACTACGAGACTTTGCGAAAGTTTATTGAGACGAACACTAGGTGAGTGTTTCTGGCTCTGGTTCGTGGGTCATGACGTTTACTGATCGATGGTGGTTGGAATAGTGCGAAATGGGGAGAGACCTTTATTGACACGCTGTATGGACGCTTGAGAAGCTCGTGAGAGTCAATCCGGGCAGGACGAGGATTGGGTAAAGTACATGACACGTTGATACACACATAACGAATGGTAGTGATGTTGTACGTACAAAGTGAAACATAATTTTCTTCTTCAAAGAGCATGTGATCGACTGATCTCCATGCCAATTCTGCGCATGTGCTTGTTTTTTCTTTTGCCTGTACAAGCGAAAGCTCTGTCCCTCCGTGCTTGTAGAGTGTCCTTATTGGTACTATAGTACTATAGGGGTCTCGTGGTACTGGAAGCATGGAGGGTCTTTTAGACAAGAGTCAGCGAGAGTAAGACTCAGCTAACGTGTCTAGGTACTCTTCCCTGACCAAAGCTCGGCACCGAAGGCGACAACATTCCTGTGATAATACCTGAATCTACAGATCTACTTCAACTGCTTACCATCGTCATTGCCATAATTCATTGAGAAGGTACCAGAAAGACAGCAGAGATCAATTGATCTCCATCAGGTCTCTGTCTACGTATATGGAACAGCGATCCCAGAGGCTTTCTTGAAGCAGAAAAATCTGACCGCGTCAGCAAAAACTCTACCCATGTGTCAAAAACAGGATCATGACAACAGTCAGACCGTGGGAGATTTCTTTGTCCTTTACCATTGACCACAAGACCGACCCAAGTTGACCATGGAATATACTCAATACACGCGGTTTTGCCTTGGGGTCCGACAGTCAGTCGGCTGTTTCCGCATTCAATCCTGAGCCCCGGAATATTTCATGTTGTCCTTTGGATCGGTGATCGAATAAGCTCTCCCCGGAGTTTATTTACCTTGATTTCCTTGCCTCGGGGCACACAGGTCCCCCAATTTTCCACATCCGCCCCCTGAAACTGAACCTGATTCCTTACGGTCCAGGTCATCTTCGAATCGGCGATGTCCTTAAGTGGTCGCCACAGACGAAAGCGACCTTGTCACCGGGTCTGGGATGGACGGATCACCGCTGATTGTCGGCCAGGCTACCGTGTTATCAATAACACAGGGAGTATATAATCGAGCTGAATCTTATGCTGACGGAATAATGGACAGTCCATTACTTTCAGTTTATTAATTCATGCTGGACTCTATCTCTTACCGTCATGACAGAATGGCCCGTTTCAAATGGCTACTTGTCGCTGCCTATGCTACGCTGGCTGTAGCGAATCCTCTGCCTATTTCAGAGGCCGATCACCTCCAAACTCGTCAAACCGGGATAAATGCGAACGATATCATGGGTGGATCTTGCAAGGACTTCACATTGATCTTTGTCCGTGGATCTTGGGAACCAGGCAACATGGTGAGCCAGTTTCTCTTCAAGTCTCTTATCTACCGCCCCTATCGGCACGCCGTCCTCTTGATTTAACACCAATATAGGGCACAGTCATTGGACCGCCCCTTTGTGCCACTCTAAAAGAGCAGATCAGCCCTAACCGAGTGGCCTGCCAGGGCGTCGACGGCATGTACAGCGCTGACATACCTCAAAACTTCCTCACCCCGAACACGGATGCGAAGTCCATCGCGTCCGCGGCCACTATGCTCGAGCTGGCGACAACCAAGTGTCCGAAGACCCAGGTCGTGGCTGCTGGATACAGGTATGGTTTACTCTCTCGACATTCTTTATTTCCCCTAAGCCTGGGGGCTCACCTTCCTGATCTTCCCACTCTTTACACAAGCCACCAGCTAACCCAAGATGTTCAATAGTCAAGGCAGTGCCGTCATCGACTATGCCATTCAAGAAGTCAAGCACGAGGTCCGCAACAAGATCAAGGCGGTGGTGTTGTTTGGGTATTCGCGAAACATCCAGGACCGCGGGGGTATCCCGGGCTACCCGCAGGACCGAACCAAAGTGTACTGCGCGCCGGGCGATGTGGTGTGCGACGACATCTTGCTTTTGTTGCCGCCTCATTACACGTATTCTGTGTATGCGAAAGATGCATCTGACTTCTTGGCATCGAAAGTGAATCAATCCAACTAGGTGGTTGTGAGTATACAAAAAGGAGTTGGATGGGTTCAGGTTTGAACTTTTGACTTGTTGGGGCTCAGATAGATTGTTGCTTGCTTACTCCACACAGATTGATAGGATTCAAAGTGGGAGTTAGAGCTTTGCCTATCCAGATTGGTTATGTCTACGTGCTCATTCAATTGCAGCTATATGATATCGACAAGCATGTTATCGATAGGTTCCCAGTAGACCGGACCCTTTATGGTTTCTCCAACTCCCAGCTACACCTCCCTCCAATGACCTAGCACTTACTCGGGATAACACTGCACCGCCCTCGCCGGATTCAGCAGCTTGATAAAAGTATCTTCCGTCGAAATCGTCCCCACGACATCCCGACAGGGCAGCCTAGTTCATGCAGCACTTTTGTCAGCTCATATCCCCCAGACCAGCACCCTCCCTTCTCATATCTCAGCTGTACCCGCCACCCAGTGGCCTCAATCACAGCCTGGCACAGCACAACAGAGCAAAGCAAATAACGCACCCAAGAAGATAACACTCGACTTCAACCGGAGGGTCCTGCGGCAACAACGTCGCGTTGTACGCCCTTGCAGCACATTAGCCAGGTTCCTCCCTGAGTAGAGAATTCAAGGAGGGAGAAGAACCTACGTCAGAGGGAGATCCGTACAGGTGGCCGGCACCACGGAGCGGTTGCCGATGGGGACTTGCACGGAGGCCGTGGAGTCGGGGATCCCGAGGGTGGAGCCGTAGAAGCTTACTTCCTTTGGGAGATTCGCTGTTAGAGATTGCCTTTGAGGTGGGGGAATAGGGTCAGGGGCTGGTACGAGTTCAACGAAGGTGGCCGCGAGGGTGAGAGGGACTGGGATTGGGAGCAGGAGGAGGGAGGATAGTGGGAGGATGGTGGTGCTGGGTTTCATGGTTTCGGTTTTGTGAGGTGACGCTCAATTTGGTGCAGGTTTTGTCAGGCTGGGGGCTGAATGAGAATTTGGAATTGGGAGTGGTAGGTAGCGTAGGGGCTTGTTATATATGCGCTGCTGGGCGAGGAGCTACAAGGATTATTGCTATAGCTTTGCCCCCCGAGAGTGCGCGGAGGAGTAGGGGAGTAGGGGGTCAAGTGTAAGCTCATCTACTGGTAGTTAGTGCTTATGCGGACACTATAAATATCCGTGCTACTATGTATGTCTCAGAATCGGAGGTCATAATATATTGAAATATGATTCAAAGCAGATATCAAGTGTCGTACCTGTGGCGCCTGCTTCTATGTAGCTGACAGACTGGGGGGGGAGGGCGATAACTGTCTAGTAATCAACTTCCTATCCAGCTTACCTTTCCCTTGGAAAGTTTCCAACCCAATCCAGCTTCGAACGGATACTATGCTGCAGAATTATCAAATATCGAATCTCCTCTACCCCAGCCCCAGAGAATGGAATCGATCGATCGATCCTGAAGAACCCCCCCTTCACCGGCTATACCCCACCTCTTCCCCCCACGTCCGCCATGATCGACAAATCCGTATCTCCGCCATCGGCACTGAACATCGGGATCGCGATTGCCGAGTTCGATCCGTCCGTTCCCCATTCCCCGGACTCCCCCCCGCAGAACCAAACCTTTGAATCGAAGCTGCGATCATAGATAACTTCCACGTTCAGCTCCCTTGTTCTTGCTCTATACTCACCTATACACAAAGCCTTGAAAAGATCGCCTCCCATCGCCAGCAAGAGAAGAAAATGACCTCCATCCCACAAGTCCAGACTGCCGCCTGGATCGAGAATCCGCGCCCGCATGCGCAACTGGAACTGCGGCATGATATCCCGGTCCCTGAGCCGGCTGACGGTGAGGTACTGGTTCAGCTGGAGTGTACTGGTTTCTGGTGCGTGGGCCTTTTTCCCGGTCTTTCTTGCCCCGGGACCGGGCACTGGGACTGATTACATACCTGGTAGTCACTCGGATCTGCATTGCATTTATGGGGAATTGCCGTTGAGTGTGAATGTGGTCGGGCATGAGGGGGTCGGAAGGGTGGTTAAGCGTGTGTCCTCTCCTCCGTGACTTTTCTGGTGCTGTTGTATCGTGTGCGTCAGTGAGAGGTGGTTGGCTGATTTGCATTTGAATGATGCTAGTCGGTCCGAATGCCCCGAGTGATATGCTGGGTAAGCGAGTCGGTGTCAAGTCTGTTCCCTTCGTCTCGTTGCCTTTGTTCTCGGTTTACTGGTGTGGAGGGGGTAGGATTGCTTGGTATTTATGCTGACGCTTCTTGTTGTTTCATAGGTGGCTATGGAGTAGTTGCAACGACTGTCCGACGTGCAAGGTCCAGTATACCAATTGTCCGAATCAGAGGAATTCGGGGCGGGTGTGTGTTCATGATATATCGCTTTCTCTTTTCGTGGTGAAGTTCTGAAGAGGCTGACTTATCCATAATTCAGAGTGTGCCGGGGACGTTTCAGCGTGAGTGGATCCTTTTTTGTCAGGGACTTTTGGGGGGATAGCTGATCCAAGGTTGTTGTAGAGTACGTTGTCTCACCCGCCGACTTCGTGTCCCCGATTCCGGAGACCCTGAAGCCGGAAATTGTTGCCCCGTTGCTGTGTGGTATAGCTTTCCCCTCCTTCCTCTACATGCTTGCTTCATATCTAATGAGTCTATCCCAAGCTGGCCTCACCATGTACGGCGCATTGAACAAGCTAGACAAATACTGCGACAAGGGCGATTGGGTGGTGATCATGGGTGCCGGCGGGGGACTGGGTCATCTGTATCTTTCCCTATACTCTGCCCTCTCTCCCAATCCAGTATACACGGCGTACTAAATGCTCCCGGCGGCTAGAGGAATCCAAATCGGCAAGGAAATGGGCTACAGGATCATTGCCGTGGATAGGCAAGTCCCTCTGCCCTCCCAGCCAAACCGAGAATTCCCGGCTGATGAGCTTACAGCGAATCCAAACGAGACATCTGCATGCAATCCGGCGCGGAGGCATTTGTGGACTTTAGCGACGACGTATGAGTTCTTAAGAGCCCACCATCTACCAAATCTTGTCGTCATGAAAACTAAGAACTCGCACTGCAGCCCACAACCCACATCCAATCCCTGACCGACGGCATCGGCGCCCACGCCGTGATCGTGGTCGTCGGCCTGGAGAAGGCCTACGAGCAGAGCGTGGAGTTCCTCCGGCCCGTCGGCACCCTCGTCTGCGTGGGCCTGCCCCGGCCGGACTACCACCTCCCCATCTCGCCGCTGATGTGCGTGGACCGCGGGTACCGGATCGTGGGCAGCGCCGTCGGCACCGAGGATGAAATGCAGGCGCTGCTGCGGGTGGCGGTCGCGGGCAAGGTGGTCACCCATGTGACGGTGTTTGAGCTGGGGGAGATCAATGAGGTGGCGGGGTTGTTGGGGCGGTTTGCGGTGGAGGGGAGGGCGGTGTTGAGGATTCCTGCTTAGGGGGGCTGGACTCTATATCTTTATCATGAGGGCTAGAGGGCTCCCTCTTTTGCGGTTTGAAGGGTTCTTTGGCGATTATTGTCTGTGCTGGGTGGGGTGAGGGGATGCTAATATGTTACTTTACTATACCTAGGGTCTCTCTCAATTCTGTTCTACGCTAAGGAAGCAGTGAGTATCGGAGTTGATTCATTGTCATGTCATTATCATGCCGCTGGGGTCTTGATTTATGTATATAAGGGAATATAGTCTTGATCCCTTCCACCCTTCCAGCGTGGTATGTGCATTTGCGTTTCAGTGTCTGTACGCTTATGCGAGGAGACGGCCGCGCATGTTACCCTCGCGGAGGGCGTCGTACTTGAAGCGCATGGTCAGGTACTCTTTGTATCCATCAGCTGTTAGCTCTGTACCTGACTGAAAGGAATTTGATTGAAACAAGGAAGAGAAGCACTCACCCTCAAAGTTGATGCTGCCGTCGTGGTTCTCGTCGAACTCCTTGGCCTCATCGGCGGTCATGGAGAGACCATCCTTGGAGATGTGGCGGGCGGCCTCGTCGAAGGACATGCCCACTGGAGTTGTGGTTAGCCAAACCCCATTCCTCTTCCGCGTGCACGAGGGACGGATAAAGTGGGTGGGGTCAAGACTCACAGCAGCGGTCGGAGGACTGGGCGAAGCAGGCACATAATCAGTATCGAGAGTCCGTGCAGCACCGGGTATTGTAGAAACCTACCGCTTCGTCGTACTGTTTCTTCATCTGCTGGAACCAGTCCAGGGAGTAGTAGAGGTTCTGCTTCCACAACAGGTTTCAGCTTGGCTTTTCATGTTTCGATTTGAGGGCATCAAGAAAAGGAAGGGCTGTTCACCTTAGCGTCCTGGACCATTTTGAATGATGTTGTTCCGGATTGAGGATCCTTTGGATTGAAGAAGACTGTTCGATGCTTGCTCCGTTGGCTGGATGGCTTGGGATGGAAGAGGTCATCTCGCTGGTGCTCGAGGGGGTTTATATCCCTATTCTTCTGGTCTCGTCTACCGCATCGATATAGAGAGTGGGTTGAATACATCCCAGTCCAACCCCTCCAAAACCCCCGATATTCAGTTGCCTTGGGGTGGATGTGAGGTGTCAAATGTCCACTGCATGTGCAGTGCTGCTTGCTTCCTTGCGTGGCAGGTTCCAGTTTGGGCATTTCAGCATACAGCGTACAGCAAGCATCCAGCAGCTGCAAGCGTGAGAACGCAGCTGGGTCCACAGTGAAACGGAAGCTCGTGCAGGTATACTTCCAGGCAAAGTAGCTGGAGGTACCTTGGAGCTCTCTCAGCCCTATCACGGGGAGGCAATTGAGTTTTGCATATGTGGACTGCGGGGTTGGAGGGCAAGTAGGTAGGTAAATTGATATCAGGTGGTCGAGCTGTATGCTGCATGTCGAAATGCCCAAATGGCCTGCTGCTGCATCATCTATGAGTCTGAGAGGCCTGGTTGTCTGCGACAAGCAAGAGCTCAAATGTGATCGTTGCGTAGAAGGAAAGCAGGCGTGGATGGTGGGCGGTTGATAGAGGGGGGCGTGTGTAGGCGAAGGCAGCCATACGCAAGCAACCATACGAAGGAGTTCAAACTGGATGGTGGGGGTTATGGCTCGTCTGGTTCGATTGGACTCGCAACAAGCGCTGTCTATCTCAAGCGAAAGCGTATCAGTTTAGTACCAATCGAGTCCTCTTAGCAGTCTCAGGTCCTGTATCCCAACATCTTCATCTTCTCGCTTTCTGATGTCTACCTGGACGGAATCTAGTCAATCATCGAGTCGTTCTTAGTCAAAATGATCAGCCTACCTCAACATCAACAGCACAACCACCCACATCGTAGCAAGAGACACTCACCCATCTATCCTCGTATCCTCACGCAGTAGCAGCTTGCACCTTGCGCACAGCACAGTCCCCCTCCCTCTTCTGCATAAGATCCCCGTGACCGTTGCGCGTATCATATCGATCCAATCTGGCCGGGGATGTCGGAACCTGAAAAGCCCCGAAGCGAAGCTCGGGAGTGATCGTCGAATTCTCTTTCCCCGTTGAGGTCAGAAGGCGGAAAGTGAACGTGGAACGGACGGGGGGAACAAAGCTGCAGCTGTAGGCAGCTAGCTGCATGCAAGGCACTCTCGGACGAGTTTAGTTTGCTTTTCGCCCTAGCCGCTGGGCTCCGCTCATCCCTCGCCTGATAAGGCTGCCACATTCTTTTCCCGCTGTACGCGCTGGGGGAAAATTCCTGCATGCTCCAATGCTCATGCTGATCTTAGAATGATGGTGGAGAGGCGAAGGGGGAGGGGCAGAGATGAAAGAAAAATGCCGCATGGAAGGAGGGGCATTTGACAGCTCAGAGGCGGGTGGGTTGGTGGGTGTAGGATGGAGGAGGGATGGAGGGGCACGACAAATCCTCAGCACTGTTGATTCATTCTACCTTCCAAAGTAAGTCACACGTTTTTGCAATTTGTTCCACTATCCCATTCTTCATGACCGTCGTTCTTTGATCACCTCCTCCAAAACAGTACCGTGTGTTTCTTCGTCGTCTGATTTACATCTCGATCAGATTTCCTTCCACTCCACCGGCCACCATTTCTTCTCTCAGCTCCTCCATTATCATCCCTTCCCTGATGTCCTGCTCGGTGAGCTCTGTCTCGCCAAATTCCCGGTCCATATCCTCGGCTGGTCTCGCGCCTTCAGCGAGCTGATGGTTCAACCCTCCAACTGGGGCCTCGCACTGGGGACAACGGGCCTCCTCCATGGGCATGCCGCATTCGCCAATGGTGAACTATGAGATGAATACATTAGCAACTCTGTGAGTAGTAAGGAATGGTGGGTGGTCAAACAAAAGCACGACGTTGTACTTCAGCGTTGAAAAGACAGACACTTACTGGGTGATTGTTTTGGCAATAGTACCAATGCCCCGTTCCTGCGAACTGCTCCGCCATCGCTCTGTACACCTGGCGTTTCTCCTCGCTAGTCACCAAAGCATAGAACGTCCCATCATTGATAGTCCTCCGTGCGTCTTTGATATCCTCCATCAGATAGCCCAAGAGCTTCGGCGACTTGGTGCACAATCTCTCACAGAACGCAAGGTCGTCTTGGGCACGCTGGCGGATCTTGTTCTCGGTGTCCAACTCAACAGTCTTGCCGAGTGCCCGCATGTTGCTCAACGAAAGCATGGAAAACAGAGCAAAGTAGATCCCAGCTTCGACTCGTTCTTGCAGAAGATTAGCCTTCATGGTGGTCTGCTTCAGCGAAAGACACTTTTCAATCAGAGACTTGATGTGACTGGCCGTTAGTTGGACTAGGTTATTACGGATGCGGTGATCCACGTTCCGGTTGCTGCAAATGTGATCCCAATCGCGGAGTACGACCCAGCCGAGTCTGAGCCCGAGGACCTGCCCACGCAGGCCGAACCCAGTTTGTATGGCGGATTTATTAGCGATGGGCTTTGTGCTTGTAGTTTCGTTTTGGCGTGAAATGGCAGACGCGAGCATGTCGTTCAACTTGCCTAGCGGCTGTTCCGCGGTCGCAACAGACTTGACGTATTCCTTCACCTTCTTTACCAGGCCAATCCCTGCACCTCGATAAGCTTGTACTGCGCCTCTGGCTTGGTCGTTGCTTTTCAATCCACCAGCCTCATGGATCCAATACTTGAGGAACTCGGTCCGCGAATCGTCAACTTGCTTCTCGAAGCGAACAATCTTGTCTGCGAGCTCGGCATGCTGTGCACTGGCCAATGTGACGAACTTGCGGGTAAACTCGTCCAGCAGAAATCTTTTCAAGATACGACTGTATCTGTTGATGTCTCTGAGGGGGCGACGGCACTCTGGGCAGCCCTTCAGCGCTGATCCGGGCATCATCTCCCAATGTGCAGGCTTAGCTCCAATAATCTCGCCTGTAGACGCATCAATATTGAAATAATCATTCATACTTAAAAGTCCATCCAGGGAAGCAACGGTATAGAAGTGGTTGCACGGGAGAAAAATTAGGGGCGATGCATTCAGGTCAATCTCTCTGTAGGTCTTGAACTCCATAAGGTCAACCTGCTGTTGCAGGACTTCGTGTGGAGCACAGATTTGACAGAACTGCGAAGGTGGACATGGCTCTCCACACATTCCCGGGCACTGATGTCCACACGGCTTCAATCTCTTCTCGCAACGTCGACTGCATGGATTGTTTTCACATGGAACGGCACAGGGGAGCTTGCAAGCTTCGCGGTGTTCGCAGCCAGAGTCACATAGCTCTGCGCACGGAGGACACGGTTCCTTGCACGTTTTAAAACAACGGCTATGCTTGCAGTGTACTTCACAAGGGCGGCGGCAAGGCAAGCATGCCGTTGCAGGATGACATATACGGTCGCAGGAATGCGCGCAATTTGTGAAGCCCTTGCGACAGACACTAATGCATCTACCATGATCAAGGACAGTCACTTCCTTCCTCTGGACTCGACAGGAGGAGCATAGTTTCTGACAACTATGCCCGCATGGTAATTCCAGACCACACTGAAGGGAGCACTTCATGGGTTTCCCCTTCTCGTGGCATTGAACCTTGAAGCTGTGGTCACACCAGGGCAATTTGACGACAAGCTCTGCTGTGCATTGCACAGTGTCAAGTCTGTTCATGCGTGGGCATTCAACCTTGTCAATCCTATGTCCACAAGGTAGCATGACGTTGCAGACAAGGGCGGTACATGGGCCACATGGCTCGTAGCACTTCTTCGCGCATGGATGACCGCACCGGCTCATTCGATAGCACTTTTGAAGGCATTTGACTGCGTTGTGCTGTTTGGATGAGTGGCATTTAACCACACAAGTATGCCCGCAGTTCAGTCGCAAGCCGCATGTCTCCGCGCAACCACCCTCCGGGGACTTGACGGAGAAGTCATCGGGACACGAGACCTGCATGGCATTGTGGGGATGGCGCTCGCAGTCGAGCTCGAGATACGGTCCAATGTTCTCGTTCTTTTCGAACAGCTCGATGACAGACGCCCACATCGGCGCTGTTGAGGCCGTATTTGCATCGCCAATGAGGTACATGCCATGTTTTGCACGACTGGGGGGGAAGAAACATCAGCGACGGTTGTCCAATCTTAACTTGATTTTCTCGAACATGCTTACCTTAGTAGAACATTGATGCGGTTCGGTGACTTAAGGAAACCGCAATTTCTGAACCTGTTGCTTCGGACCAGGGAAACAATAACAACGGTTGCCTCCTCGCCCTGGATTGAACTCATGGTTAGTTTGGTGCGCGACACAGTGGCGTGAAGAAAAGTAGAAGGTAGTACAGATCTAACGTACCTGGAAATTGTCAACCGTTGACAGTCTCAGAGCGTCAAGCAAGCTACCCTTGCTCACGACACGTTGTCCCTGGAGCCATCTTTCACCACGACCGCTAGGCTCATTGGCTGTTTCTGTAACCTCCGCCTCACCCAGTCCTTCAGTATCTCTCTCACCAATTATAAGGGTCATCTCCTGTTCAAGAATATCCTTAAGCATTCTCAATTGTCCGACGTATGGTGTCAGAACAGCAATCTCGCCAGGACCATACTTTCCTTGTCTCAGAAGATGCCTTACGAGCGATATCACCATGTGAACTTCCCATGTATTAGTCTTGCTATACATGGGATCTGAAGGGTCACCATCATCTTCTGTATTCCGATGGTCAAGCCAAAATAGTCGGTGCTTCATTCCCGCAACAGCAGGATACATAGTTGTGGAAATGTGATCTTGCAACTTCGGATAGAGCGTCTCGCGAACTAGATTAGCAACCGAGGGATGCATGCGTCGCTGGACATTCAACTGCGTAACAGGGAATCGACGCCCTCCCGTCTGTTCTTCGTCGCCATCATTGCCTCCAAAATGGCTATTCGCGAGTCGCTCGAACAGTGATTCATCGAGGCCGTATTTTGCTCCTTCACGGTCATAACTCATGGAAAGTCTGAGGGTGCTGATCCGTGGACGAAGCTGAAGGTGGTCTCCGATCAGAATGGCATGCTGCACCGATGGCAATAGCGCGGTCAGGACATGCGATTCGAGTACCTCTCCAGCCTCCTCGCAAATCAAGATTTTAGCCTGAACGCCACGAATTTGGGACGAGAGATTCGCCAACATCGTCGTCGTGACACCTATGACTTGGAATCCTTGCAGCATGCGAGCTTCGGCCGCGTGATATATGGCGGTTAAGTTCTGTTTCTGCCTGTAATATGCTTTCACTAAGGACGAGAAGACTTTCCGAAGTTCATCGCGTGCTCCCTCATGCCAAAAGTCATGCAAGCGCATGCGTTCTGTCGGCGAGAGTGTCCACACATCGGCCTGCAAGAGTTCTTCGGGAGAACGCGGCCCATCGATCTCCACCCAAGCACTAGCATCATCACCTTGTGTCCAAAGCCTGAAAGCCTCGACCTCACTTCGGTCGGGATCGACAGCTGTGATACGTTCTGCTTCAAAAGGGAAGCGCTTCTTGACGAACCACAGCGTCATCTCCATGCCACCGGTCTCCATCGATCTGCATACTTGTTCGAGTTCCGCCGAAATTTCCTTGAGTTTATCGTGATGGGACTTCCGCTGATTATTATAAGCTCGGATAAATGGCCCTCGATCAGCCTGTTTGTAACTGTCGATAGATAGTGCTTCCAAGTGTGGGAATGCGCTTCGCGGGCCAAGGCGCACGATGCTTGCAATTCCTGCATTGAGGAGACCTTGCAGAAATTGATCGAGCGCGTGGGGAGTGTAACATACACATAATATCGGACCAAGGTCAAGCAAGTCCCTATTAGATGACAGGCACTTGGCCAGCTGTATTCCGACGTATGACTTTCCTGTTCCCGGCGGTCCCTGTATGAGTGCAATCTCACGGCGGAGGGCCCAGACTAACGCCGTCGCCTGACCCTTATCGAGGCTTGTTGTGTTCGCAAGCTCATTTGCTACCCACGCTGGGTCGTCTTGGAGAGAGAAGAATGGGGTAGGGTCATCGCTGCTTCTGCTTGTTTCGGTGCTGTCATCCGCGATTGGGTCTCCAAAAAGGGAGGATAGATCCAGAGACTTGTGGAGATCAAGATAGGCAGGCGGGGGCACGGTAACATATTGTTCCACGGGATCAATCGACGCAATCTGCTTCCGGGAATTCCAATCTGGACGAGAGACAATCCAGGTGGCGAACGGTAGATGCTCTGGGCGTGCATACTGAGCTTGCAAGCATTGTAAGACACCGTCAAATGAGTTCAAAAGCACAGCTGGAAACTCGGCTAACAAAAGCGGCTTTTTATTGGTCTTGAAGCGTGCAAAGTCGAAAACATTTGTGAGCTCCGTTTCATGAAAGTGGTTCGTCAATCTGAGGCTGATCGAAGCGCGTGTAGCACTCGCAACGAGACCATGGACGGGTGTGGGCATATTTTCTCGTGAAGCAGGTGGAGTGGCGTTGAGGTTTAGATCTCTCTTAGCAACCTGGAAGAAAGTCACAGAGACGTTTGTGTGATCTTCACCGTCGACTAGAGCAAGAACCACCGGACTCTCCTTCAAGGCTTGAGAGTTCTGCCACCATTGCTTGCGTCGGGCTGGGCTCATGGCTTTCAGTCTTGAAGGCTGGTCAAATTCGAGATCAACTTCAATGCCCTTCTTTCCACCCGCTCGGACCTGCCGGACATTCACCCCAAGATAGATACGCGCAGGCGTGATGTCACTGCCACGAAGGATCCTTCGCTTCAAGCGCCAATCTGGCTGGTGCACGAGGACATCCCAGTTGTGCAGAATCAACCGAATTGAGTCGCGGAGCAAGCCAGCGGTATCCTCACGCAGCAGGCGGAACTGGTTATCGAGAAGCCGACGAATACCAGTCTCATGTTGGTCCAATGTATCGAATACCGGATCTCTCGCTGGGAGAAACTCTGCTCGCTCGAGAGAAAAGATTTCGTTTATGGTTGGGAGCAGGCGGATGTGTGGGATAGAGGCGTGATCATTGTCGTGTCGAGGCCCATGAGCAGATAGCTCGCCTGGTAAGTCGACTTGAAACTCTTTGGCCTTGGGTAGCTTGTGTTGGGTATCATGATGAAAAGATACGGCTGTGGCGCGATTGAGCGACTCGCCCATGGACAAGACATCTTTCAGCTTTATGATGTTGTCATGGACCCACTGCAAGCTATGAGAGGCAACGCCACTGAAGATATCTTCGTCTTTATAACAGGTGCAAAGACTTTCAACAATAGGCGCAAAAGCAGTTTGAATGGCAGCCTCTTGGTTCAAGGTCAAGGTGGTAAGAAAAGCTTTCGCAACAAGCAGCAGTGTTTCTTCGAAATCAGACACGTCATTGCTCATTGACCTCTCATTGGCAGTGCTTGATTCAGGCCTCATGCGAATAACATGCTCTGTCACTTGAGTGAAAAATGTAACAGCACGACGTCCACTGGGCCCATAGATCACGTTATAAATGGTTCCCACTTGACGTTCGAGCGCAAGGGATGACAAAAGTCTGTCATTCGTGATAAGCTGAAGAAAGAGGATACCGTGAACCTGAAACATTAGACCAAGGACACTATATGACTTGGCAAACTCGGTCTCAACGATTTGTCGAACAACAGCAAGTCCTTCTTCTGTCGCAAGACTTGTGATGAAATCCTGACGTTCATCTGAGCTTCGCTCGATCATGAACAGCCCCTTCTCAAGAATGTCTTTGACCTGCGGTGCTGAAAGCGGCTCCTGAGTCTGTGGAGGTAGATTTCGGCTAACTCTTTGAAGTCTAGAACTTGTTGAAGGTCTAAGGCATTAGCAGAAAGACTTGAAGTGCAGCACTGTCATTCTCGTACCTGGTCTCGATCGGTGCGACAGGAAAAGTTTGAGCATTTCCGCGCTGCACTCTTCTCACCATAAGTCTTGGTCCACGAGAAGGGTTTCCACGTGAAGTATTTCTATGTGGATGGTTTCCGTGGGGAGGTCTTGTGTCTTGATCATCGGTTCTCTGCATTTCAGGATGTTGATTCCGAGAGACTTGACGTCGACCGCGACGAGCTCTACTTGATCCCATGGCTCTTGGAGGACCTAGCGGCGGTTGGCCAGTCCCATCCATGGCTCAAGAAGCTGGGGTGTCTTTTAAGTTTCTTGAATCTCTGAAAGAAAGAAGTTCAAGTCCGAGCTCAGATGATGTTGGTAGAAAGAAATTTGTGTGGGTTAACACGGGATGGATGGGGAGATCAAAATGAACAAACAAAAGAGGCGGTTGGTTTGGGCAAACAGAGGGACAGGCTTTTCAAGTTGTTATCAAAGGATTAGGCAGAAGCAACATGGAAATCTCAACATTCCTTCACGTGGGGTCACTTATGTTCAGTTTCTGACTTTATCCTGATCATATACATTAGGGCAGATTCACTGAGTATCTGCGCACGGACCGCTTTGATATACAAGAAGTGGGTCCAGGGCTGACAAGGCGGTGAGGCTGTCATGAATGGCAGTTACATACTGCAAAAACACCAAAGGTCAACTAGCTATTTGCTCATGGCTGAGTAGGCTGTCAACGAATGCGTGTTACTAAGGTAAGAGAACAATGTCATAATTAGTGATAATTAGTGGGTCAAGTACTATAGCTCACTTGCGCAGAATAAATGCAAAGAGTCTTCGTTTGCTGTCATCGGATATGATTTAACACTCAGGATGAGCTGAAACAAAACATGTAGGACTACCAGTTCGACATACCCAAATATGGCTAGGTATCAGGCTCAGTTGAATTGAGTAATCTGGCAGTCTGGCCTTGATGCAAAGACATGTAAGGCCAGCGATGAGGTGACCAGCAAAGGGGTCTCATGGGAGCCTAGAACTATCTCCATAGCGACATGCGAGCCTGACAGGGCGAGAAGTGCTGCTTCATCAAATAAAAAGACATTACAATAAGCATCAATGCTAGCTTGATGTGCAGTATACTAGAGAAGATTCCAAGTTCTCTAGAGGCCAGTAAGCATTGAGTCAAGATTCAAAAGTGATTGCAGGCATCCATGGCACGACCTACAGCATTGATCACTTACATCGTAGGCATAGTCCTTCGTATCTTTTTGTTTCTCCTTGGTTTCGACACTATTTGCATTTTGTACGAACTGAATAGGTCCGTCTTCGAAATCGAACTAATGTCTTGAGTGTGGCGATCATAGTCACATCAATGCGTACAGTTATTTAGACATAGGCAAGCATGGTTGTATGCCTCTCAGCATGGTGGAAGGAAGATTCTGAACGACAAATCTATCCGTCTCATCCACCATTCTACTGTCAGGATAGATGCAGCAGAGACTTATGTTATTTGTTTCACGAGCAAAGGCTACACATGTTGCAATTATGCTCACGTAGCGCACGTTTCATCGAGTCTCAAACCTGTCGATGGTCAAACACTTTTCGAACTGCGCATATTCCGATTGTAGTATAACGAGGTCTTCAGTCGCAGATTGGAGCAGTTGGCAATTGTTTGCGAGATAAAAATTCTAATTGTCGATCTACTCGGGTTGAAACACCGATTCTTAAACCCAAAATATGGAACCCGTGGGGTGCAGGGGAAGTGGCCCGGCCAGGCTCGTCGATCATCATAAACATAGACTCGAACAAACTACTTGAGAAGTCGAATGAGGTGAGATCTGGGTTGGTGATCCAGTGGCTTCTCGAAACCTACTTATGCGTCAAACATCTGTTTTGGGTATGCGAATTATATTCAGGAACATAGGTTCGGTGGTTTGGCGTCTGCGTTCGTAGCATCCGCAGCAAAGCTTATCTCTGTTCCGGCCCCGTTGAGATTCAAACCGGTTCACTAAGCTTGTTTCATAATATGGCTATATTGCCTCAATTCGGACGGGCGTTTGAATATTTGCAGGATAAATTATGAGAAAAAAAAAAGCTTCCTCCCGATATAGGAGACGTGGGAAGCGGGCGCCGGAAATCGTGTGTAGTATAGACAATTTGCGTCGGAGGGGTGGGTTCGTAAGACTCTCTAGGTGCATGAACATAATCTGGGCTCTTACGGAGTTCGTGAAGAATCATCATACCGTCTGGGAGGTACGTAATACTTGGGGCTGTCAGAAGAAGTGCTAAAAAAAATAATGCCCAATAGAACAATTCGTCTATAGCTAGGCTGGACCCGAACGTCCTATTTGCACAGATTATCAAAGCAACAAGAATAGAAAGCAGGGCCTAGAGTGCAGATGTGCACATGACACCTCTGGGGTGCTTCCATAGCTCAGCAAGTGGTCGAGTCTCATTCCGAAGTTCCATAGAGCTTTGCTGCCATGCATTTGCCGTTGGTAGGATAAATTGACTCATGTGCCCATATGTCACGTCATGCTCGCCACCTGATTTAAGGAATGCATTGGCTGCATCGAAATAAGCAACAATTGGTCATCCCGTCAAGCATGCCCACTCATGCTCTGATGCAGAAAAGGAGTTGTATTTCCTTTCAGGGATCCAAAGCAAACATGTGCGTCCCAAGCATCAATTTGTGTAACGTGGAAGTGTACATGAGGCAAGGTAAGACAAGAACAACGTCTGCGGACGAACACCTTGTACAGAAGAGTGTGATAATTCTGAGTCTTTGCACATATTAGCGAGGCGTGGTTCGGAGGTACGAAGAGTAGACAGTACATGGACGGAGGGTCTAAGCTACGGAGAATCCCTAGTCTATCTTGGACCCGTGCGGGGTTTTTGATACCTGGAGCTAAAGTCAGTAGGCAAGCATTACATCTCCATAGTCTAAGTCAAGCGAAGTGGGCAGAACACCACAGAAACTCACAGGAACAGACACTGCATCCAGGTTCTCCTGCCCAGTGGCGAACTCGGGCCTTCACTGCTTCCGGACCTGCAGATCTCCTCGGTCTTCTTTTCCACCCTTCTGGCGCCCTCTTTTCGCTCAGGAATAGAATGGGCCTTTTGACCGCAATAATCAGGCAAAAGCAAAGAGATCCATGATGTTTGGGGGGGATGGGGAATTTGTGCAGTCTCCATCCGTGGGTCGGCCGTACTGCCGAATTGAGAGAAAGAAGCGGAAGATCCCTGGTTAAATCCACCCAACGGAAAGCCCCGAATTTGAGCCATGGAAGGTGCGGGGTAACTTTAGTCCTGGACTCCACCTGGAATCTATTCCTCATACGGAGCACCTCACTTTACACCATCATTCCTGGCAGTGATGGTGTCTTACTCTTCTTCCCTGGATCGACTACTCAACCCAACCCACTCTCAGACCCTGAGGGAAATTTCTGCGCCATGCACCACCGTATCACTCGCTCCGTCTTTAGGTCGGTTCTCTTAGCCAATGCAACACAAATAAACAAATGAGAATCCGGGGGTGGGTCCCCGGCTGGGTCAACACTGGTGGCCGCTAATTGTTGGTTCGTCCACCATTGAACTCAAATCAATTGCTGCTCACAACTTGAATGCTACCCACTTCGAAGTAGCTGAGGTCTACTCCAGCCTTCCAACAGTACGCCGCACGCTATTCTCTATTCCCAATAATTCCTAGTTGTCTAACCTCCGAATACAGATCGCCGCTGCCGCCATCTTCCGCCAGCCGGACACCCTGGAAAGAGGCAATCAAGATTGTAGCCACTTCGCAGAGCGGGAAATGAGCCCGTCATCAAATCGTTGGTCCAGAACGACCATCACACTGACGATCCTGTCTAGCTTTCCCAGGCACCACCCCCTCTTCGTCCTAAATTGGGGTCAATCATGGAGGAGAGCCTTGGTCCTGGCAATGACACGATCCATCGGAGCAGCAAAACCTTCCCCTGGTCCAAGATTGGCCTCGGCCCCCGTGCCGTGGTGCACATGTGAGGATGTACATCGGAATTCTCTCTATATATAGAGGGCTACACTTGCAGCTTCCATGACCACCAGCATCGATACATTCTTTAGATCGCCTGCCTCCTACAGCAATCAGACTTGAGCATTCGTTTAGCCTACACAGTCCAATATCTGTTACTCTAATCCACCGTCGTTCTCATCGTCAAAATGAAGTTCACCAGTGTTCTCTTCACTCTGGGCCTGGCCACCAGTGTTTTGGCCAACCCTACTAAGGTCGTCCGTGAGCCCAGCCTCGTTGAGCGTGATGTCGCCGCTGTGACCAGCGTTCTTGCCGACATCGAGACCAAGGTCAAGGCCCTTGATTCTGCCATCAACAGCTACAGCGGTGGAGACCCCTCCAAGGTCGAGTCTGCCTCGACCGACTTGGTCTCAACTATCAACTCGGGTACCACCACTGTTAACGGCGGCGACGATCTTAGCTCCACCGATGCTCTCGAGATCCCTGGTCCTGTCCAGGACCTGACCAAGGACGTTCAGACTGCGGTCAACGACCTGATCTCGAAGAAGGACCAGTTCGTCTCGGCTGGTGCTGGTGCCACTGTCTACCAGCAGCTCCAGAAGCAGTACACTGCTGCCAAGAGCCTGGCCGACGCTCTCACTTCCAAGGTTCCCGAGTCTCTCTCTAGCCTTGCCAGTTCTCTGTCTGCTGGCATCACCGATGCCATCCAGAAGGGTGTCGATGAGTACAAGGATGTTGCTACTAGCTCTGGCACCGCTTCCAGCGCTACTTCCGCTGCCTCTTCCGCCACTGACAAGACCGCCACCAGCGCTGCGTCTTCCGCCACTGAGAAGAGCGAGACCACCGCTGCCGCTGCAACCACGGGCGATTCCGCTACCACTGGTGCTCAAACCTCGTCTCCCGTGATCCCCTCCTCCGCCAGCGCCTCTGCTACCCCCTCCAGCTCCAGCACCCCCTCTGCTTCCGCCAGCTCCACCCTCTTCACTGGGGCTGCCAACTCTGACCGCTTCAGCTACGTCTTCGGTGGTGCTGCTGCCGCTGCTGCCGCTGTTGCTGTTGCCTTGTAAGAGAGACAGCCGAAGATGGCTTGAGCCTGCAATGGATAATCGATTGTGAAGGACCAAGTGCAACGGTATTCGACAAGTGCGATCATGAAAAGATACGGGCTGGCCATGTATATCTATTCGCCGTTGATTGATTTCAGCCCGGGACTGTGGCTTAATATCTTTGGTTTTTGGTTTGGTTTGGTTTGTTGGATTTTTAATTGGTTGACAATGTAATATGGTCTCAGTACAACGAAAACACAGTGGATTGTTTGAACAGAAAACAACAACAGCGTCTAGATTATTTCCCGAACAGCGTAGCATATGCCCTTGTGAATCCTCTCCAATGGTTACCTGAATAGCGGATGATCAGATTTTGCTGCCCACCAGCCCAGAAAAAGCAACCTTGATGACCGGAGTATCCACAGTACCTTCGCCAAAGGTCAATCCCTGCATGGTTGCCTTTCGCCCGAAGCAGCAAGTTACACTACGATCAATAGCGAATTTCAACCCGAAAGTGCGGATCACCATTCCATTCCATCCCATCCCATCCCATCACTACTTCGTGCGTGCTCGGCTACCAGACGCGGGAAGTCTAAGCCGCACCACCGTCGACCGACCGCGGCAGGAAGCTTTCTGCTTCGCTTGCTCCCGCGCATTGTACTGTACTCGTTAGCTAGTAGTATTTCCAAGGGAAAGTCAAAAGAGGGTCCGTGCTAAAGTAAACAGCAATGGCGTGAGGTACCAGAGCTAAGTCACGAGTACGTCCCTGGGTATGCAACTAGCTACTCCATAGAATCTCCAGCCAGAACCACTATCTTACGGATTAGGCGCCCTATACAAAGCAAGCTTTACATTTACAGATCTAGTCAGAGGATTACAAGGAATGTAGGACACCGACTTTCATGCAACCACATTGGGCAAGCTCCCGAGGGGAGTCGCAAGTAGCAGCATGCTTGATTGATGCCCGCATGGATCTTGGTACTTTCTTAAAGGCAGACAGCAAGGACACTCGCCCCCTCGGGGTTGTGGAAACAAAACTCGCGAGGGGGGGCTGGTTGTCGGTGCTGAGAGGTAAATACCACTACCGAGTACCGTGGAGATTTTGCTCAGGAGGTTGAGATGCTGCCTACATTATGGCAGCGTGGATTTTCGTCTCACTTTCTGAGGATGATGGGAGGAGGAGGAGAGAGTGATGGGGCCATTTAATATGGTGGCTGGCAGCCTGGATGGTAAGAACTAGGCACTTTTTGGGAATAGTGTGAGGGGAAAGAGTGCGCGCAGGGAGTTCATCCTTGGCGTGATCGGTTGTTTTTATTGTTTGTGTGACAACTTGGAACTTGGTCATCGATGGTTCCAGAAAGGTCATTCTGCTCCAGAGACATTTTGTTGTTCAGATGTCCCAGCCGATGAATTGGGCTGCTGCTGCTGCTGCTACGCCAGCGTCGTCCCCTCGACAGCCCCGGCATACCGCGGACTCGTCGCGGAGAAGAACATATTCCCTGCAACCGCCACCACCATCGCTCGCGCGTAGACCATCTGCGCCTCTGACAGCACACCCGACTTTTCCAGGCGCAGACACTCTGCGCTCATCCTATCTTCTACATCTCGAATCATTACTCTCAATATCCTTGCAGCTAGAGCATCATCAATATCATCGCCGCCCATGAGCCCACGCACTACCCTGACAGCATTAAGCACCACTTCCCCGGTCTCCGCTTCCGCCCGGGCCTCCTTCGCGTACGAATACAGATCATTCGTTAACAACAGATGCTTCGCGCACAGCGCTTTCAATCGCTCTAACTCCGGAGCATCCTCGATCGCAGTCCCGCACGAGAACCGGACAGTCTGAAGGATCAATTCAGCCCCGAAATCCTCCAATCCAGGCACAAGATACTCCTCTAGCGACTTAAACGTCTTCGGTCGCTCGCGCTGCGTAGCTGATCCCCAGGATATGATCTCTTCGAGCAACCGCTCTCTCTCGTGAGGGTCCTCCGTTAGTAACTCCTTGGCTAGGATATTATAAGCATTATACTCTGCTGTAGAGGTCTGGTTGTGCGAGACTGCGCTGCGAGGAGGGATACGAAGAGCAGGGTTCTGGGTGCCGACTGCATCATCATGGAGGAAGAGGAGGACGTATGTTTTGGCTAGAAGTTGTATTCTGGTGATGTTGCTCAGGGGGACGAGATGGATAGTGTAAGACACCGCCGTGTCGATGAGTTTTCTTGTGCGGGCGGGATCGAGGGTCGGATGGGTCGAATGAGAGGTGCTGATGGTTTGCAGGTATGTAGTTGCTGCTGCTTCGGCTTGACGCGAGTGTTTGGACTGCAGAGCGATAGGGAGAGAGGTTGGCCATGGGACGCGGTGGGAGGGTGGGTGGATGGTGTTCGCATGATGGCAGTCCTCGAAGATCTCCAGTCGAATGATTGAGAATGGAGTTGAGGATTTAGTTGGTGGTTTGGAGTTGGCTGGGTCAAAGGCGTGCGAGATTGGACGGAGTGCTTCTGACGGTGGCGCGGTGTCCGGGCTCTTTTCGAAGGGCGTTTGTGTGTGGAGTTGTCTTCGAGGCTGTGCGATGTAGACGCTTATTTGGGTGCTGGTTGCGCGATGCTGCAGTATTTGAGGCGTTTGGGCGCAGAGAAGTTCTCTCGTTGCCCAAGCAAGTGCACGTCTCGGTCTGTTGGCATGTCGCGTCAAGCCTCGAGGGAGACGACGCGTCGCCATTGCGCGCTCTTGAGTATTCTTTGGGTCTCAAAAAAGCGTGGATTCTGCCCAGAGATGTTGTATGTTCAAAGAACAGTGAACGCAAAAGATCAGTCAACTTTGAAGGAATAATCATACTACAAAGCTGCTATCAGAAGCGATGACTACGGAGCCGAAACCATGATGTCAGCTGGCAGCTAGCGGAGTTCCTTTCGCTTGTCCCCCACCCACTTCGGAACTCCGCGTAGTCACCACAACACTCACTAACCAGTTCCACACAACATCAGCATGGCAAGCCCAAGTTCCTCCCAGTCAAGCAGACGACGACAGCCACCTCCTCCACGGAAGAAGGCCTGCCAAAGTTGTACCAAATCCAAAGTTCGGTGCAGTCTCGAAAGACCTACCTGCTCTCGATGCAAGTCTCTCGGTCGCGTATGCGAATACTACACTGCCCCTGAATCCTCACACACTAGTCCTCAGACCGAAGACTTGGAGAATCCGGGCTCGAGGGGTCTCGCTGAGCTCCAGCCCTCTACATCGTTTGCTATGCCCATAGCTTTACCATCCTATCTTGACAGCAGCCCCGGACGCGTTACGCCGATTCGAGAACGCAGGCATCGACAGGTGGGGTCAGCGAAAGATGAGCGACCGCATGTCGACTTCATCAAGATCGACCTAGTCCCTGCTTCAGGGGTAGAGAGTATTCGAGATCGCTGGCTTCGGCCATATATTCTCCCACCACTGGGGCGAGACGAGGTTCCGAAGGTCTATCATCCGTTTACACTGCAGTACATCTCGAGGGTTCTGGCCACCTATCCCCGGTTCATGCTGAAGGACCGCAAAGCACCTCCTATCATTCATCACTCACAAGTCTCCGGTGAGAACCTGCCACAGGCCTTGGCCAATTGCTACAGCCTCGTTCGAATGTGGGAGAACGCTGTTTCAGGAAGTGAAGCCATGGTCATCAACATGATCGAAATGGAGATGGAGAGGTTGTCCAACGAGGTATGCCGACCCAGCTCTGCTCGTACATACGGAATTTAATGAAATCACGATCGCAGCTTCCAAGCCAACACGACTATAACCTTCTATCTACTTTTCAAGCCTACCTAATCTACTCCGTCATGTTATATTTCTCCCCGCGACTCGCTGCCCCGGCCGCTGTCACCGACAAAGTCATGATCACACTCATGGAACTGGCCTTTCGCACGGCTCGCAACGGCTTCTTCTGTGTGGCCGAATTATCCCACTCGCGACCTAGTTGGGAGTCGTGGATTGTGGTGGCCTCGAAACGCCGCGCCATCTTCGCCATGTACCTCTTCTGCAGCGTTTACAACTCCGACCGACTCTTGCCAAACTTCATAGCCGATGAAGTAAGGGGTGTTTTTGCTCCAGAAGGAAGATCATTGTGGGAGGCGCCCGACCGGGAGACGTGGGAACGGGAGTATGACCGTCATTTGTTGACCTGGGAGGATGGGATGCTGGAAATCTCAGAGCTGTGGCGATCCGCGGATACGGGAACAGTCGAGCAGAGAGAAAGGATCGAGAGGTGGCTGCAGACTGTGGATGAGTTTGGGATGTTACTGTTCGGAGTCACAACGCACATTCATGGGTGTTGATCTAGTCAGTGCACATCAACCGCTCACAGCCATTCCCCCGCCCCTATTTCGGAACTCCGAGAATGACCCACCTTACTGATCAACCACGACTGGGCACCTATATATTGCCATCATAACCATTCTGAAACCAGCCTATACACATTTCCTGAACCATTAACTCAAGCTACGAAGCCCACGCCTATCTTCAAAGATGACATCAACCTACTCAACAAACCACACTCCCAGCGTCCTCCGCACGCACAACTGGCGCACCCTCGCCAACTCCGCACCATACCTCCTCCCCCACCTCGATCACCTCCAATCCACCACCCCCAACCTCAAAATCCTGGACATCGGCTGCGGACCAGGCAGCATAACCATTGACTTAGCCCGCCGTCATCCAACCGCCCAGGTTACAGGTCTGGACTCCTTCGCCGACCCGCTTCCCACCGCGCGGCGCCTCGCCGCCGCCGAAGGCCTAGCCAACGTCACCTTCGACGTCGGCGACATCCACGCCCTGGACTTTCCCGACAACACCTTCGACCTCGTCCACGTCCACCAGGTCCTGCAGCACATCGCCGACCCCGTCCAGGCTCTCCGTGAGATGCGCCGCGTCGCCAAACCCAATGGCGGGATCGTTGCCGCCCGGGAATCCAGCATCCACACCTGGCACCCGGCGAACCGCGGGATCGAGCTCTGGGACCGTCTGACCCGGGAGCTGGCGCAGCGGAGCGGCGGGAACCCGCACCCCGGGGCGAGGATCCACGTGTGGGCGGAGGAGGCGGGCTTCGCGCAGACGCAAATCCATAAAAGCACGGGCAGCTGGTGTTTCAGTTCGGCGGAGGAGCGCGAGTACTGGGGCGGCTCCATGGCGGAGCGGGCGCGCAACTCGGGGTTTGCGGATCGGGCGGTGGGGAGTGGGCTGGCAACGAGGGAGGAGCTGGAGGTGGTGGTGGACGGGTGGCGGGAATTTGTAGCGTGTGAGCAGGGATGGTATGGGCTGTTGCATGGGGAGATTGTTTGTTTCAAGTGATTCTATTGTATGTTGCTGACCTATGCCTCGTCATCGGGGTCCGATGGATGGGTGGAGAGTATATGCCACTTGCATTGATAACTCTAAGCTCTCCATATAACATGTAAAGTCTAATACAATACATCGCTATACACAAGATGCATATACAATGTAGTCACGCCCATTAACTTGACCAAAAACCCAATCCAGCAGCATACTATGTACGCATCATCATCATCCATACAGCGACAGCCAGTATAACCGGGGTGGGGGGGAGGAGAAGAAGAAGAAGAAGAAGAAGAAGAAAACAACTAAAAAGCAAAAAGAAGCTTCGGCCTATGACTGTTCATACCAATAACAACCCAGCCTCCGTCTCTCACACGGCAGCCGGGGGTTCGATTCCCCTATCGGAGGTATATATATATAAATTAACCCCGTAGGCTATATATGTTTTTGTTTTTTTTTGTCATGTTCGGAACATCCACAGCGCCTTTTTGCGGGTCTCTCATATGGCCAGCTGATAAGTTACTGTATTGTCTATGAGTGCAGAGTATATATCGCCCAGCAATGCTGTTTGATGCTCGCGCTTGATCAGTTCTTCCTTTCCCCGAGAACTTACGATATAGGTCTTTTTATGTGTGTTGGGGCTTGTTTGAGTGCATGTTAATGGCGTTAAGAAACTTGGGATTATTGATCTAGTAGAGGATGAAGGTTGCTCGACCTGGAAGGTGCGATGGTATCTAGTTCTTTCCGGAATGGGCAATATGGCACTATACTGGACCCGTGACCCGTGACTTCAGTTCGACGCTTTGCGTCACGGTATA